TCACTCCTCCATGGCACCTGATCAAACCTCTGATGTTTTGAAGGTCCGTGTTTGCTCTACTCCTGTTTTGTATTGTTTTATGGACTTTGATATTGAATACTGTTCGTCATTTCCATATCCTTCACTTTAAGAATCCAAATCTGATTTAAATCACTTTTCCAGTTCATATACATTGTTGTTTCCCTGTTTTTTCTTCAATGCTGTTAATATTTCAGTAAGAATATAGAATGGTAGAATATTTCCTGGAACCCACTTAACATCTTTGTTCGTAAAAATTTGTTTGAGGAATCCAGATAGGAAAATGAAATATTCATTTTGATTGGTAAAAATATTTAATCTATTTATAACTGGTATTAAGATATTGGAGAATTTCCTCCTTAAAAACGGAACTGTAGGGAAATCAGTTCTATTTATTTATTTTTAACTTTTCTGTACACCCAGAAAGAATAAGAAAACATTCTTCTTAACTTTTCTGTACACCCAGAAAGAATAAGAAAACATTCTTCTTTTTGGAAATTCTTTGTATAAATCTCTAACAAAATTAAACGATTAATAACCTCAAAAACCTAATTAATAAGAGGTTGATGTATTGTGTTATTGTGAATAAGGAGGAGATTTCTAAAACTGTGCATCTGAAATCAGTTAAATTTCTGAATCTTGAAAGTAGGACATGAATATTTTTAATATAAAAGTCATGAAGGTTACAAACATCGTGTTAGACAAGGATTATTCATAAGGGCTCAAGATCCTTAACAGTCAACCTAATACAATGCTACACTATTAGAATTATATACTAATATTTCAAGTATATTATTTTGTTATCAATATTTATATTATTAGATTATATACAAGTCTACTGGACCCTTACAATTATTTTAATTATGTCTACACGTTTGATGTCCAGGAGTCACACAGGATTTTTTGTTTAGATTTCATCAATTTTCATGCTTTAAGTCCCCTTAAGTTACGGGTATCATAAAATTCACAGATTTTGTTCCAATTTATCCATAGATACCAAGAACTATAAATCAAATTTTGACATTTTCTTTTAATTGCACGAAAGATCAACATCTAAATCTACAATTTTACTTAAATATAAAAAATAAAAACATGCATCACGAAGTACATTGTACGAATCTGTTTTCAAGGGCGGGGTTATGACAATTTCTTCGATTTCCGTTATGAGAAATTTATACATGTACATAGTTTGCACATATTATGTTTGTCTATTGTTCTCCTTTTAACAGTAGTCGTATACGTGGCATTAATAATGTTGTATTAAGGATATATTCTCAGCCAGGAAGGATAAGTCTTTAAATAGTTAGTTTATTTAAAAAGTGTCAAAATTAAGCTTGAAATTGAAAGCGACAATTTTTATTTAATGCATCTCAATGTGATTCATCAAGATTCTTTGAAGTCTTAGAAATGGTCTCGTAAAACTACACTTTGTGCTACCATGCTCAAATCAAACTAGAAGTGTCCTCTGATGTCTAACAACGATAGTATAACAATGCATAATTTGTTGTTGTTGTTGTTGTTTTTTATTACAAATGAACTAAATAGGAAAACATAAGCATTGAATAAGTATCAAAACAGGCAATTTTCTCTCTGATGTCTTACAAAGACAATATACAAATGTTTCATACCTTGGTTTTATAGCAAATGAACTAAATAGAAAAACTTCAGTGTTGAATAAGTATGAAAAACAGGTAATTTTCTCTAAATGCCAGGATAAGTATAAATTTTTATCGTAAAATATATCTGTTTGAATCATAAAAACCTCTTCCATTTCTATATTGGATTCCGAAACTACATGAAAATCCTTACAAACAAAGATACATACGTGTAGCTGGTTCCAGTAACTCCTTACTAAATATTAACAGTAGTGAAGGATCGAGAAACTTCAAGTGGACTGCGCAGCAATATATTCAAGAAGTGTAAATCAGATGTGGATATTGAAAAATTCCAAGGAACTTTTGAAGAATTTGAAATCCCACGATTTTACCAAAATTAACAGCTTAAAAACGTACGACCTTTCAACTTTATGCTCAACTACGCCCCACGATTAATTAAAGTCCAGGCTTTTTGATATAATTGACAGCAGCATTTTCAATAAACATGGAACTCGTAAATTTACTTACCTTGTCATTGGCCATTTGCAAAATTATTTTGTTTAAAAAAATGCGGTCTATTTCTTTTGAATTTTGGCCCGTTTCCAACTGGTATAGATCCGAACTGAATAAAATTGTCCGGCAAAATATCACCCCTCATCTCAAGTTTTCCTTTATAGGTCCTATATCGTTTTACATATTCTAACAAAAAACATTGGTGTAACCATCAATTGTCGCGCGGGAAAGATCTTGATCATCAAACCGCTTCGATATGTGTGAAAAAGACATACGTCTAAATGATGGAGACGATAGTCGAAAATATTTTGAAAACCTATAGTCGGTCCGTCCGTCTGTCTGTCTTTTTCTCCGCAAAAACTTTTACCTTGTCCATAACTTTTGAATGGGTGGGACTGTGGCTTTCATACTTCGTAGATGTATTTCTTCTGACAAGATCTTTCTTTGAGTGCAACCATATTTGACCTCTTGACCTTGGAGTTTGACACACTTTTACATCAAAATTCTTAACTTTAACTTTGACCATAACTTTTGAACGGTTGGTGCAAGGACTTTCATACTTCACATATGTAATCTTTGTGACAAGACCTTTCAATGGATAGGTCATTTGACCTTTCGACGTTGGAGATTGGCCTTCTTTTACAAGAAGGTTATGGAGATAACGAACAGTATTCAATCTCAAAGTCCATAAAACAATACAAAATTAGAGCAGAGCAAACACGGACCCCCGAAACATCAGAGGTGGGATCAGGTGCCATGGAGGAGTGAGCATCCCCTGCCGACCGGTCACACCCGCCGTGTCATGATCAGAAAATAACGGAAAAAATCCGTCGTCCATTCAGTGTATAAATAATGGACTAACAATTGGTATGAAAAACGTCAGTCAGCATTTGACTCAATGATAAATTGTATTTGCTGACAAGGTCATTGTATCGACCATAGAACTTACGAAATGATGACTTTAAACGAGACTGCTGATATTCTTGTTTCATCAACTTGCTTGTCAATAATTTACCTCATTTTAGAAATTGTTCATACGTAGAGCATGCTCTTGCGTATCAAATCAATTGAGATATATATACTCCGTATGCAGGTGATGTAGGTGTATTACTGCATAAGTAAGGGAAGTTGACGATAGAAAAGTTAAAGTCATCACGTTCATCATATAGCTTGGTTGTTAGATTACCATTAATGTCTTTTTCAAGTAAAATATCCAAGTATAAGTCTATAAGTCTAACAGAATTGTCAGACTCTGTGGTATCTTTTATCTCAAGCTCACCAGGATATATCGTATCGATATAGGAAAGGAAATCGATATATCTAATTTCGAGTTGAAGGCCACAGCAAGTGTTTTCTTCTTTTCACGCATAAGATTTTGCATACAAACCTTTAACCTTTTCCGTATCTTTTGAACGGTAAGGACTAGGGCTTTAATATTTCCCTTCTCCTTTAAAACCCATTCATTCCTGATACCAAATCAGTAATTATGATAAATAACACACACATTTAATGGACTAGCAACGACACGCAGCAGCTTTAATATATTAATAATACATTGTACACATATTATTAAGATACAAAATGTAAATATAAGTTGGATCCATTCAATTTTAACCGTGTTAACAGCTCTACGTGTCGTCCTAAACTGGCTTTAACTCACTATACTCTTGAAAACCGGTTCTATTGAACCGCATGACTGAACATACCTAAACAGGTATTCGAATAGAAAACTTTAAATATCCGGAATAATCCATTCATTATTATTACCAAGTAGAAATTGATTTCTGTCTAATTCGTTCCTCAAACGAAAGAAATCACATATATGTAATCCTTGTGACAAGATCTTTCTTTTGGTACCAAGAACTTTGACCCCTTGACCTTGACCTTTTTTTTTTTAAAACAAAACTTTAACCTTGGCCATGACATTTGAACAGTAAGGGCTAAGGCTTTCATACTTCACATATGTACTCCTTGTCAGGAGACCTTTCATTGGATAGCAAAAACTTTGAGCCTTTGACCTTTAAGTTTGACCTACTTTACAAAAACGGTGACCATAACTTTTGAAGGATTATGGCTAGGGCTTTCATACTTCACATATGTAATTCTTGTGAGAAGACCTTTCATTGGATTTCAATAACTGATCCTTTGACCTTGGAATTTGACCTACTTTTTAAACACTTTATTTTTGGCCATAACTTTTGAACGGTTAGGGCTAGGGCATTCATACTTCACAAATGTAATAACTGTGAAAAGACCTTTCTTAAGAAATCAGCAACTTTGATTCTATGACCTTGGGAGTTTGACCTACCTTTCAAAAACTTATCCTTGACCATAACTTTTGAACACGTGGTGCTAGGGCTTTCATATTTCACAATCGTATTTCCATTCAAAATGATACTGAATAGGAGTTATTTTTATGCCCCGCCATGAATATGGCCAGGGCATATAGTGTTTGTCATGCCCGTCTTCCGTCCTTCTGTCTTTCCGTCACACTTTGCGTTTAGTTCTGTTCAAAGCTCAGTTTCAAAGACACTATCCAAGATATTTTCAACCTTAATATGCTGATAGATATTGATGAGAGCTATTCAACAGCATTAACTTTTTTTTACCCTGACCCTTTTTTGACCTTGATGATAGATATTGATGAGAGCTATTCAACAGCATTAACTTTTTTTTACCCTGACCCTTTTTTGACCTTGACCCCACTTTTCTTAAACAAGTGTTTAGCTCAGTTTTAAACATCCCATTCAAGGTAGTGTTATCAAACTTCACATGTTGCACATATTGATGAGAGCTATTCAACTGCATCACCATTTTTGAGTCTGACCTTTGCTTTGAACTTGACCTCACCTTTCTTTAATTAGTGTTTAGCTCAAGATGCCATTCAAGATATTTTTATCAAACTTCATGTGATGATACATACTGATGAGAGCTATTCAACTGCATCAACTTTCTTGACCTTGACCTTTCCTTTGGCCTCACTTATCCTAAATCAGTGTCAAACTACATAGCTGATGTAAGTAATTCAACTGCATCAACATTTTTGACCTTGACGTTTTATTTTACCTTGACCCCACTTCTATCAAATTGTGTTTTAGTCACTTTTAATTAATAATTCTTGATATTTTTATCAAACTTCATATGTTGATACATATTGATGAGATATATATGCAACTGCATCAACATTTTGACCTTGACCTTTTATTTGACCTTGACCTCTTTTTTTATCGAATTGTTTTTAAGTCACTTTTATAAAAAAAAGAAAATTATTATTTTTTTAACTTCATTTGCTGATACATACTGAGGAGAACTTTTTAACTGCATAAGCAGTTTCTGAGCTTGGTATTTTCTTTGACCTTAACCTCACTTTAATGAATATAGTGTCAAACTTCATATGCTGATACATACTGATGTAAGCAATTCAAATGCATCACTTTTCAGGATATTCTGATCAAATTTCATACACTAATACAAATTTTCTAGCTGCATTATTAATATATCCTCGGCGGGGCATTCATGTCCTATGAATATATTTCTAGTTAACGTACATATTGTGTAATAGTTTTGTAGATCATTACGAGTTGTACAACTCAATGACAATAAAGAATAGATTTAAAAAAAATGATCTTGGTTATAATTGATTTCGTCTCCGCAATATTCCTTCCTGCAGTCTCCTGATGACCTGCAATATAATTGATACACAGAGTGACAGTGATACCTACTTTTGCATCAAATGTTGACGATATGTTTTGAGCATACAATAAAAAGCCTTAAACATGTATTATAATTGCTTCATATATTAAGGAATAAAATTATATACCTTTGTAAGATGGAACGAAATCTTTTTGAATCAATAAAAAGCCTTATACATGTATTATAATTGCTTAATATATTGAGGAATGAAATTATTTACCTTTGTAAGATCGGACGAAATCTTTTTGCATCTCTCGTAATCCAAATCATATTTTGTATGGGCAAGAATATTCCTGATTTGGCGAATTCTTTCAAGGTCATCACCCTCCGTTATTTGGTTCTCCTCTGGAATTCTCCCCCAACCATTACTAGGTGGTTGGACAGAAGGGGAATTGCGCAGTAATATGTACATGGCTGAAATGTTAAGATCTTTGGATGAAATTTGTAAGGGTTCCGAAGAATCTGGAAAAAAAAGACATTGAGAGTAAGGCAACTTCACGATTGGAATTTGAGCACACACACAATGACACATAGACCACAGACACACAAAACATACATATGTTTGTTCTATATAAGATTTATATTTGAAATTATCAAATTTTTTCAAAACAAATTTTCTTCCTGTCCAACAAAAATACCTAATGATTTTTAATTTGCTTCCTTGAGTATTAGCTGTAAAGCAAAGTAGAAAACAGAGTATGTTAACCTTGATAAGCATAAATTTTTTTCCTCAGATCTTCACTTAGTGAATACTTCATTGCCTGCCTGCTGCTTATAACGACTTCTGCAAGTCTTTGTGGTGGAATACAAATGTCGAAGAAATTCCTCATTGTTTCAGTACAATTTAGCATCAGTACATATAACTGATGATTTTGATCAGGCAATCTCCCAGTACTATCATAGGATAGTAAAGCTGCATGACAATATAAGCAAAAATAATTATAAAATATTATGTATAATAAATATAGAATTTCACTTATCATTAAAAAAATAATATATAATATGAAACATTGTACATTTTATACATGGAGATCAAAACAAAAGATGTCTTCCTTAAAAGAATTTAGGGGCTTATACCTTATTGAATTTTATTATTCCTAAACAAGTGAGCATTACAAAATTTGCATAATTTTAATATGTATTAGTCATCCACTTTAAAAAAAATTATATTTTGATTTTTTTTGGTCAATAATTAACTTTTCTGTATATTTGGGGGTTTTGTATCGGTTGATTTAATTTTGTCTGCTTTAAATACCTTCAATCCTTTCTGAATTGGGGGCAGAATATCTTCCTTTTTTCATTTTTTTGACGAAGTAAATCACCGCAAAGAAGATTAAGACCGTAACTAAAACGAGGGACACTAATCCCATGGTGAAGCTTGGAACAATCAGTGACTGATGTTTGAACGACATCATATTTTCGTTTGATTTTTGAATAAATGATCTACATAAATAAAAAAAACCCAATATTACAAAATATTACAATATCAAAATGTCTATATAATTGTACCTTCACTTCTTGCGGGGTTTATTATATATTTATTTTTTTTAATAAAAATGCATACACATATACTTATTAGCAAAATTGAAATCAAATTGTTAAAATATGTTTTCTGATTTATATAGAAAGAATGTACTTACGATGCTATAACAACAAAGCCAAAACATTATTAAACACTTTTGAATGTTTTGCATTAGATATTTATATCGGAAATAAACAGAATTATACTTACTTATCAGGGCAAATTGGGTCTGCATAGAAGCACCTGTCCTTTGCATTAATATTATGGCACGCGGGGTCTAATTTGAAAAAAAATAAAGTTTAAAGTTTTCAAGCATTTTTGGTGAGAATGTAAATGAGATTTACGGCAGGATAAGACAATCAGAATTTTCCGATTAGATTGATACATAACCTATAAACACGGAACTGTTTATATTATTAATATTATGAAAGGTCACCACTCTAAGATAAATCCTTAATATAAAGCTTTACTTGAACATTTCACCTTAAAAATCATACTCTTTTTCTAGTTAGAAAATGCTATCAAGTAAAATCTTACATTGATATAAATCAGTAATTCTGAAAGGAACCTTTGGACATCCCTCCTTGAAATGAGTACAGCTAATATCATCTAAGTCACCATCTCCAACCAGTATTAAGCATGTACCTGTATTAAATAACAAGGAAACTGCAATGAGCTTCTAATTTATATCAGAGCTTCTTGCATTCTTCAACCCAATAAGGCTCAATTATTTATTAACCAATTGCTGTTCATAACGCCATGTTTACTGAATAACGTTGTTTATTTCTTTTAAATGAAAGGTATATACAAAAGGATAACCAGAATTTTTAAAATGCTGAATTTATCATAAATATTAAGATTTCACTGGTAAAGCACTGAATATACAACAAAAGCCAATAATACTAGCAACCTGTTTATGTGCGTGGATTGGGGGTAGAGAGCGGAGGGCTAACATTGTTATATTGTTGATATTGATGAGTATGGAACGCCGTCACTGCCTTATAGCAGAACACAACAACTGCATTGCGTCAACCTTCGATGAGCACGTGCATGGTATCCCTTGTAGATACATTTATGTTATATAGGGCCGTGCGGCCAGAGAATTTTATCGACAATTATGTACTTTAAAAAAATGTATGTTCATTACAGTTTTTATTGACGCATCGAAAATAAAATACATGTGGAGGGATATTTATTTAATTAAATAAAGAGGGGCTAACCTCATGATGCAATGCCTATGTAAACGTAAATATAAATGTTTATAGTGCTATAATTGTACTATATGCGTATCTGCACTAAATATGATAAACGTCTGTTATATTATAAAGTTAAATCATTTCTAAATGTCAAACTTGTGTATCATACAATTAAAACGTTTTGGTGTCGGAATCAGATGGGGCACCAGAAAAGGGATTAATGCGTTATTTATTAACAATAACTTTAATCAACAACCTATCTCCTTCCTCCCAGACAGTGATCAATTAGACTTAGACCATACTCTTCATGAATATACTACTTAGTACTTAATTCTCATTTTTAATGTACTAATCACACTATATTAATTGTTTGCAATAGGCCCACTAAATCGATATTATGATAAAAAATGTACATATTCTTTTTTCCTCTTTTTTGTATTTTTGTTTCCTGTTCCTTGTCTTTTATTTTTGCAGTTTACCTAAACTTAAAATAAAAGGTGGAAAAAACGAAAAGATTTAAGCTCAAAAGTCAGTTCATCATAACTATCATCATAACTATCATGCCCATCATAACTATGTACTTAGTTTATTTAATACCCAGGAGCAGAGAAGAAAATTTTCAAAGATTAAATGTATTTTCACTGTATAATCAAAAGAGCCCCACCCTAACACCAGAACCCCTGACCCTGGGGCCATGAAATTCACAATTTTGGAAGAGGCACTCTTGCCCATCATAACTGTGTACTTAGTTAGTTTATTCAATACCCAGGAGCAGAGAAGAAGATTCTCAAAGAATTAATGCATTTTCACTACAAAATCAACAGAGCCCCGCCCTAACACCAGAACCCCTGACCCTGGGGCCATAAAATTCAAAATTTTGGAAAAGACGCACTGTTGCTCATAATAACTATGTACTTGGTTTGTTAATTTAATGCCCAGGAGCAGAGAAGATTTTCAAAGAAATAATGCATTTTCACTATATTATCTATATAGCCCCGCCCTAGCACTAGAATCCCTGACCCCGGGGCCATGAATTTCACAATTTTGGTAGAGGACTCAGTGCTGATTACAATCATGCCAACAGTTTGACTGCTTGATGTCCAGGAGTAAAAAAGAAGATTTTTAAAGATTGCATCAATTTTAGTGGTTTTGGCCCCATCCCTCAGGCCCCAGGGAGACAGGGATCATGAAATTCATAATTTTAGTTCCCTTTCACTCATAGATGCTTCATGCCAAAATTGGTTGAAATTGGTTGAGTGGTTTCAGAGAAGAAGCTGAAAATGTTCAAATGTTAACGCACGACGACGGACGAAAACGAATAGCAAAAATATGGCCGAAAAAGAAATTACACTTTTCACATTTTAAAAATATCTGGTTTGCATAAATATTAGATTCAGAATGCACATCTGTATACACAATGTAAGAAACTAGAAAGCTATACATTTCAGATCTATTACCTTTTTCATATAATCCCGCGGTACTTTTAAAGCAATATTCAACAACGGCCGTGAGATCCGCAGTAGGAACACAGGTATATAAATTTCGCCCATATTTATCGACCCCACAATTTAGCTTGCTGGCTGCGTTGTCTCTTTCTGTCCTAGACCTTGGGCATGAATCCACTATGTTACCAAAGCTTTTGTATTTCATACCTGTAAATATAAAAATACAAAAATCTAACGATGAATTTAATATTAAATTTTTTTTGAAGAACTTTAGGTCGATCATCCATTTGAAAAAAATAGTGATTATTTTCACCCACTGAATGTATGGAATACTTAGTTTAATTTTAAGATAACAAAGACTGAAGAAGCTCAAAAAATCAATAAATACGGATCCCCAAAGAAGAAAAAAGAGGTGACATGCATTGTTGGCATACCCTGTAGAAGTAAATAAAAAAATGAAGAAAATCCTATCTTAATAAAGTTTTATGCCATTTTTAGTTTTAATTTAACAATTAGGAAGCCCATTGATCATAGCGCTCATCTATGACATTTCCTCATAAAAAATTTTATCCTTTTAATTTCCTTTTTAATTTCATAAAAAAAAATCTTTCTCTATAATGTGGACCTAAATCTTTTTTTTTTTTTTATAATGCTTTATTTTTGAAAATTTTCATACATACAAATGCCTTAATTTTGAAAATTTTTATACATACAAAAGAACACAAACATACACTCCCAACAAACCCTCACGCACAACACGCACTCTGTGCACCTTTCCAAAAATACCAGCTGTTCATAATTACATTTTAAGTGATTACAAGGAAATTTAAAGAGTTGTGGTCCCCCGCTTTCGGTGTCTTTGTGGGTGAGATGTCTGTTTAATGACATATTGTGTCAAATATGAACACCCTATCATAGGTCAACATGTGCATTATCTGTGACAAGATATTTCTGAGCATGCTATGACTCCTTGACCTTGACCTTTACGACATTTTTGATATCCAATGAAAGTTCTTGTCACAAGGATTATATATGTGAAGTATGAAAGCACTAGGCCTAACTCTTCAAAAGTTGTGGTCAAGGTTTGTATTTTAAAGTAGGTCAAACTCCAAGGTCAACGTCAAAGGGTCAAAGTTCTCGGTAACCGATGAAAAGTCTTGTCACAAGAATCATATGTTAAGTATGAATGCCCTAGCCCTAATCTTTCAAAAGTTACAGCCATTTTTTTAACTGCATATATATCATTAAGAATGTTGGTTCCTGTTATCAAAAGTATTGAGAATTTTTTTGTAAAGTATATTTTGAGAACCTACACACATCGCTTAATAAAAGATCAAAACAAAAGATGGGGGTCAGTGCGCTTCTTTTAGCACTATGGAGCAATTAATATCACATTTTTGCACAACAATTATGTCTAACACATGAATCAGTTTTCAAGTTTTTCCTTGAATATTTTTTATCTAAATGAATTATTGGATCAAACACAGTCATTTTTTATCTTAAATAGTCACATTAAAATTGTTACAACAAAAATAGTTTCAAATTACTTCGCATAGTCAATTATTTGACCTTTCTGCACTCAAATATTGTTATTTTTCTGGTGTTAAATTTTTTAAAAGCAATAAGATCATTGGAAAATAATGTCAATTTTCTGAATTTAAGCAGAGCGGTTAAAAACAGGAAAATATATACACATCAAATGAAATAAAAAGTGGGGTTATGTGATGTTATGGGGATATATTTGATATTATTTGCCAAATATGTTAATATAATATATGAAAGTTAATTTAATATTATAATTTAGGACCAGCATAGAACATTTCATACTGACAGCACAAAATTACTCTTTGTGCATGCTGCATGTAAAAAACAGCAATCCAAACTTAACAATACTGAATATACTCCAGAAAGAGAAAAATTGATCTTTTTCTTCTAAAAAAAACCTTCTGCCACAAAATATAGTTACTCACTAATTGTTTTCGATATGGAATTTAATCATGGGGTTTTACTGAATATAGTTTAATTAGCATCATAGAATCCAAATTAATTGCAAGAACTAAAACATTATTTAGAAATTTTAGATCAAGAAAACAATTTGCTGAAAAGCTGAGGAGCGAACCTCGTTAAGTATTTACAAAATCATGTGTCTATTTTAGGTTTTAAGAGTTGAAATTGATCTTTGAAATTATAAAGATATTACAAAGGTAACATTGTAATCGACTTCAGAGAAATCTTAATTAATTCGGCATGTTTTTGTAGAATGACTGTTTATGTCCAATTTTCTAACATGACCCTAATAGGCTCTCGTAAAAAGAAAAAAATCATAAACACTGTAAACATTTTATATATATAATGTGTAATTCTTTCGCTTATTTTTCAAAAAAACATTCTTATAGACAATATTTTTAAAAATATTTGCATGAAAAATTTAAATCAGATAGATCTAACAGATTCTTGACAGTCTGAATTTTTCACATAGAACGATCTTCTTAGCTTTAGACGGTAGCTTTAATATGTATACCGGGTATAATATGGCGGATTGAACGGAATTAGTCTTCTGGGTTCATTGCAAAAGTCTAATTCATAGACTAATTTTCCCTAAAAACCTATTTTATAAAGCAATAAATAACTGATCCGAGGACGATCTTTTCAAATTGACGGACTTTTATTATAAGTGTGAGGAACTTGCATAATTCACACTTACCTGGCTACATAAGTCTTTACTCCTTCATTTTAAAGATCTTTCTAAGCCCTCTGTGGCAACGCACTTTGAAAAAATTACGCACTTTGAAAAATTTTTTCAAAGTGCGTAATTTTTGGGACCAAATCAACGCACTTTGAAAAAATTTTTCAAAGTGCGTTAAATTTGGGACCAAATCAACGCACTTTGAAAAATTTTTTCAAAGTGCGTTAAGAGTCTACATCAATATATTTTACCATGGAGACACTTAACGCACTTTGAAAAAAGAAATCATATTTTATTCATGGAAAGATTTTATTTGTTATTTTTCTTTCAAAAAACTAAGCCTAACCCTAACCTCAAAAATGAATTGATTTACTCCCGTCAAAAAGAGGAGAAGAAGGGTATAAGATCCCTAAGTCCAAATCTTTATCTTTCCAATACATAGGTGTCGGTAACAAACGGGGTAGGATGTATATATCTTTCCAAAATAAGAGGGGGGCTTAGCCCCCCTCCCCTCCCCTGGCCCTTCGCCCAGTCTCGATGTCTATGCTATACTCAAAGCATTCATATAATCATGTATTTACCTAACTGGTATGACTTTGAAAACTTTCAATAATAAATGAGTTAATCAAAACAGATGAAAACTATAATTTTTTAAGTACAGTAAAACGTATGAGAGAGAAAGAATTTCATAGTTTTGAACAATCAAATTGGCCCCATTTATTATGATAAGTTGCTTGAAGCTGTCCTCTGTTAGTGCCCCCTATACACCTTTACAACTACTTATCAAAGACTAGAATGAAAAAAAAAAAGAAGAAACGAATTAATGAACTTAAACAATCGTCACTCCTTTTTTCAAGACCCTTTAATTTTCCCTTTTATTTTATCAAAACTTTAAATATTTAAAACGTCACTATCTCAGGTCCTACAGTGACTTTATCATAAAAAAAGTTATTAAATTTATCATCCCGATTATTTGAAGGAATATTGATCAATCTTTACATTTTTTCAAAGTGCGTTAATATGATCGATATTAACGCACTTTGAAAAAAAAAAAATTTTTTCAAAGTGCGTTAGCTTGGTCCCAAATTTTAACGCACTTTGAAAAAATTTTTCAAAGTGCGTAATTTTTCAAAGTGCGTTGTAACAGCCCTCTCTTACATGTCTTTTTTCTAAGGCAGCGGGTACTTGACACCATTGACCAGTGCGAATCGAGAGTACCCTGGACCTCATGGCTCGCTTCCATCACTATAAACGGTATCTCGGATGCTACATCAAGAACACAGTAAATTCTAATTAAAGTTTGGAAGAAGAAAGTACCGTAGGGGTCAAGACTAGACAGTTCTGCAACATTGCCTTTGTTTGTAAGGCTCATTTCATAAATTGTATTTTAGAAGAACTTGGATTTAATTCTACAAGTGGTAATCCAACTTATACTCCTAGTTCCCTTTCTAAGGAAGAAATTCTACAAAATCAAATATATATCAGTTTTGAATACCTCGGTATATTTAATATCCCAAAGAACCAAAATCAATTTGAACTACCATATATATTTATGGATTCCGAAACTTCACAATCTATTGGAATCCCCATTGGTACCAATTGCGCTCCGATTAGCTGACCTATTTTTGTATTCATATGAAGCAGAATTTGTGTAAAATCTTATGCGTGATTAGAAGAAAACACTTGCTGTGGGCTTCAACTCGACATTTAGATATATCGACGACGCATTGTCAATTAACAATGGTTATTTCCATTCCTACATGAACGTTGATACGATAGATCCTGGTAAGCTTGAAATAAAAGATACCACAGAGTCTGACACATCTTTTTCAAAATAGGATATTTTACTTGAAAAAGACGTTAATGATATTCTAACAACCAAGCTCTATGATACACGTGATGACTTTAACTTTTCTATCGTCAACTCCCCTTACTTATGCAGCAATATACCTTTATCAACTGCATACGGAGTATATATCTCAGTTGATTCGAAACTCAGGAGCAAGCTCTACTTATAAACAATTTCTAAAACGAGGTAAATTATTGACAAGCAAGTTGAAAAAACAAGAATATCAGCAGTCTCGTTTAAAGTCATCATTTCGTAAGTTCTATGGTCGATACAATGATCTTGTCGGCAAATGCAATTTATTTTTAAGTCAAACGCTGACTGACGTTTTTCATACTAATTGTTAGTCCATTATTTATACATTGAATTGATGACGGATTTTCCCCCTTATTTCCCGATCATGACAAGGAGCACACGGCGCGTGTGACCGGTCGACAGAGGATGCTCACTCCTCCTTTGCACATGATCCCATCTCTGATGTTTTGTATTGTTTTATTGAACTTTGATATTGAATACTGCACAAGAAGCATGCACACACGACAGGTTTGACCAGTCGGCAGGGAATGTTTACTTGTCAATGGCACCTGAACCCGACTCTGTGTGTTTTGATTTCCATATTTGCTCTGCTTCCGATTTGTGTTGTTTTAATTGACTTTTGCAACTGATTACGGTTCCTTTTCTCCATGTTTTTTTAGAAACCGATTTTTGATAGTGCTTGGGAGTGCACGTGTCTTACAGAAGTTAACTTCTTTGTGATAAGATACAAGGCGATATGTAAGAATAGAAGCATTTACAGTAACTTACACGTTTAATCATGTCTCACAAAAAAAGCAATGATAAAATTAATGTGTAAGTGTCCTCTTTACAATTTGATTAACAGAAAGTTCTTAAACCAAAGAAAACAAATTTATATACTTGCAGTATCCGATCCTGCTAAGTCAATATATTAAGATATTTAAGATATATATAGAAATATAAAGATATTTTAAAGGAGAAGAAAAACGTCTGTAGTTTCATTTCACTCAAATTTCTGCTATTTGCTAAATAGGATTTTCTAAAATTTCTCTATTCACTTCAGGCACGGTGGTACCAAAAGACAATGCGTTTCTTGTTTCTATGATAACGAGAGTTCCCTCCGAGTGGAACGGCCCAAAAATTAAAGCAATATGATCTGCAAATTTGACATGGAAAAATTTTGTTGCAAATTTGAAATCAACTATTACAGTGACAGAAAAATTGCTCATTTATAAACTCCTGTTGTTCAAATTTGCAATGGAAGAATTTTTACCAGCTTTAAATGAAGCAAAATAATTATTGTCGTCCTGAACAATATAAATTTCTTATATAATAATGCCACATATTCTATTGTACCAAAATATTTCTCCTGAAGCAATTAAAAATTTTATTTTGGTTTAATTAATCATAGGGGTTTGAATAACATACAAATTTATCAGAATAACACATTTTAGCAGCAAAATATTTTTTTTTCAATTATGCAAATAATGCTTTAAACCAGCGCATTTTTGAAACAGAAAACTCGGCGCAACATCCCTAACCGTCTGCAAATTCTCTGCCAATAAAATTTCCCGTCACAGTGTCCCGGGATAACAGGATATTGACGAGAGGAACCCTATCCAAACTGAAAACGTAAAGAGTGATTTTCTTACAAAGAAACATGATTTCAGAGGAGGGATCAGATGTTGAGGAAGAGAAAGCACTGGAGGAAATTATGTTTAATTCTGAAAGTGGTAATCCAGCTTATAAATAAATATTCCGCTTTTTAGGAGGAAATTCTTCAAAAAATATTTCGAATTTAATTTTTATTTAAAAATACTCTCTATAATATTCAATTGCCACACCTGTTTCATTTTTCGATATTTTATTGACTATAGACCATATTGACCTATTATCAACTACGCAAATTATACACATGACAAATGAGAAATTTTTTTCCGTCATTTTCAGATCATAACAAGGAGCAGATGGCGGGTGTGACCGGTCGACAGGGAATGCTCACTTCTCCATGGCACCTGATCCCAATACTTTAATTACACTCTTTGTCCAGTTAAAGTAACCTTTAAAAGACAATGGTATTACCTCCCCGTCGGTTGGACCAGTACTGTGTCTATTAAATATGTAATCTAACTTTAAATGTGTTATTTATTCAAGAAGATGGATGAACAAGACATCCAGAATCCTATAGCTTCCTATAGCTTCAGCTATTTAAAAAAACGTATTCTGTGTTTTGAGTACCGTAAAATCACAAATTCTCAAGGGGTCACATTTCCTTAGTTGAGGAAAATACACTGGTTAATGGTGATATGATTTGTGGATGAAAACAAGTTGAGTAGTAGATCCTTAACTGCTCAATTTTCCTTGGCCCATGACCATAAACTGAGAACAACCTTAAGTAAAAAATTGAAATCAATGTAACTTTTGATATAATTTTGATTAAACGTGTCAGAAAATTCTTTTTTCAAGATTGGCATATCGCCTTGCGTAAACTTTGAAAGAATTTATTATACCCGGTATTTCAAAATTTTACCGGCGGATGATAGTTCAGATTACTAAATAGTGACAAAGAGAAACGAGTAATTAAAGATCTTTATTGTATTTACTTTATTTACATCAATTGCAATGAGCTGTCTGGTAGGACTGTAGTTGTAAGGAAGATTAAAAAAAACATCAACACGTATTAGGATTATGATTAAGAATGTTGGATATCTAGGCACTGTGCATTTATTCAAAGAAGTTGGAGCAATAGTCGATGATTACAAAAGTGCCACGTAATATTTTTAAATTAAGTTGGTAATTCCAACTTTAAAGTTGGCCTTTCCAACATTAATCTTGGTTTTTCAAACTTTAAACTTTGTAATTCCAACAATAATCTTGGCTTTTCCAACTTTAAAGTTTGCAATTACAACTATAATCTTTGCTTATTTAACTTTGTAGTTGGGAATTCCAACTTTAATCTTGGCTTTTCCAACTATATATTTGGCAATTCCAATTTTAGTTTTGGTTTTCCAGTTTTAAAGTTTGTAGCTAAACTCGGGTTGCGTTTTCTTTATTTTTTCACATGTAATTACAATGGAAAGATATGATTTAATTATATAAAATTATGATGAAAGGAGGAATAAATTCATTGTGTTCTACATATAGAATTGATAATTTAGTTCTATTATATTTGTAACATGTAATATAGCGTTTGATTAATCCTATATAATTTATATCAAACACTTAATAATGGTCTCATTTTAAAGCTTATTTTTTCATACCAAACAAAATTGTCCGATCTCTTATAGGTTAGGTTGAAATTCTGTCATGCACGGAGTTGTATGAATTAATTCTCTACATAATTGTATAAGATGGACCAAAGAAAATAAAGGGATTTTTAATTGAAAGTTGAAATAAAGGATATCTAGTTAAAGTCAAGGTAACAAAGGAAACTGGCAGAAAAGAAGTGCTAGCCAATTTATTTCAATGAATTTATTTTGCATTTATAAAGTTTGTAATAATTCAAAATAAAGGAGGAAAAGGCTGAGGGAAAGGGCTAGAAAAACTCAAATAAGGATTGGAAAGGCAAATATAAAAACTGGAATTACCAATAAGTCAATGTTAAAGTTAAAATAACCAATTTTAAAGTTGGAGAAGCCAAGAATAAAGTAAGAAAAGTCAACTTTAAATGTAAAAAAAACTTAGATTAAATTTGGTATTACTAACTTTGAATTAGGAAAAGCCAAGATAAAAGTCTGAGTTTCCAACTTTTAAGTTGGAATTACAAACTTAAAAAATATTACGTGGCACCAATTCGCTTCCGTAGATGACACAGGGTATGTGCCTTGACACGAAATAATGGACCCTTTTATGAAATATATGGAGATAACGAACCATATTCAAGATCAAACGTCAATAAAACAATACAAAACAGGAGCAGAGCAAACACGGACCTCCAAAACATAAAAGGTAGGATCAGGTGCGATTTATAGTATTTACTGGGACAAAGGCTTTTTTAACTTTAATTTTGGCATCTTCAACTTTAAAGTTGGTAATTTTAACTTTTTTTAACTTTTAAGTTGGATTTTTTTCTGCTATAAATTTAAAAAGCCCACACATGATTATAAAAAAAAACATTCATATAAGAAAAATGATCAAACTTTATAAATATCATAAGTTTATTAATAAGTCAATATATTGAAGAAAAAAATAATTGTATTTGTAAAAATTGTAAATGGGGTTTCTAATCATTACTCAATACTGATTTGTTTACTGATCTGCATACATTAAAATGTTGCCATTTTAATTTCAACAGAATTTGTCATATACAAAATAAAACAGCTATTGAATTTTGCTTCAAACTATTGTTTTATTTACAAAAAATAATTTAATATACATGTTTTTTAGACACACGTCACCTGGCTGGTTTTGTAGAATTCAGTAATATATAATCATCATACTGCGTGGAAGTAAGTTTTATTTATTTTTAGCTTTTCTGTACATCCCAGAAAATTTTGAACAAAACATTTTCTTTTTGGAAATTCTTTGCATAATTCTCACTAACAAAATTGAACGAAGATTGAACGAAGAAACGCCAAAAGCCTCATTCATTTAATCATTTGTTTATACTTGCTAGGTTGATGTATTGTGAATTTTCTTGTAAAAGAGGAGACCAACGACATGTAAATGTATCTATTTCTAAAACTATATTGCATAGTTAAATCTTGCATCGTTTAAATTTCTGAAATAACTTTGAAAATAGGACATGAATATTTTTTTAATATAAAAGCAAGGAAGGTTACAAAAGTCGTGTAAAAGAAGGATTATTCAAATGACTCAGGGGCCTTAACGCTCAACCTGATACACTGCTAAAATAATTGTTGAATTCATTATATCATTAGATCATATACAAGTCTATCGGACCATTAGAAAAAATACTTTTTGAGTTGTTATAACTTCGTGCTTATTACAATTATGCCAACAAGTTTGATGTCTAGGACGAAATGAGGAGATTTTTAAAGATTGCATCAATATTGATGGGTTAAATCCCACTTTTCTGGCCCAAGGGGTGACGGGGATAATAATATTCACAAAGTTTGTTCCCCCTTATCCATAGAATTAGCTAAAATGTGTTCATTAGTTTAAAAAACGAAACTGAAAATCTTCAGAAATTAACACATGCTTGCGGGATAGGAATAGGTCACCTGATTAACTCCTTTTATCCCTTCACGCACTAATGCTACAATGTATATGTCAAAATGATTTAAACAGCGGTTTAACAAAAGAAGTACAAGTACATAGTTATGTTGAATAAGGCTGTCTCTTCCCAAAGTGTGAATTCCATGGCCCCTGGGTCAGGGGTTTTCATGTAAGGGCGGGGCTCTATTGGTTATATAGTGAAAATACATCAATTCTTCGAAAATCTTACTAAACAAACTAACCAAGTACATAGTTATGTTGAATAAGACTGCCTCTTCCAACATTGTGAATTTAATTAACCCAGCTAGTGCAGGGTCAGGGGTTCTGGTGTTAAGGCAGGGCTCTATCGATTAAATAGTGAAAATGAGGCATAAATTCTTTGAAAATTTTCACCTCTGCTCCTGGGTATTAAACAAACTAACCAAGTACATAGTTAAGATGAGCAAGAATGTTTCTTCCAAAATTGTGAAATCCATGGCCCTTGGGTCAGGGGTTTTGGAGTTATGGCGGGATTTATTGATTATATCAGTATTGAGTCCTCTACCCATATTGTGAAATGCATGGCCTCTGGGTCAGGGGTTCTAGTACTAGGGCGGGGCTAGATAGACTATACAATGAAAATGCATTATTTCTATAAAATTCTTCTCTGCTCCTGGTCATTAGATAAACTAACCAAGTACATAGTTATGTTAAATTAGACTGCCTCTTCCAAAATTATGAATTCAATGGCCCCAGGGTCAGTGGTTCCTGTAGGGCGGAGTGCACAACTGGTTATAAAGTGGAAATGCATTTTCTCTGTGTGGTCTACCTCCGGGTATTAAGTAACCAAAGTAAGCATGCTAAGTGTATAGTTATGATAAGCAACGGTGCCTCTTTCAAAATTGTGAATTCCATGGCCTCTGATTTAAAACAAGAACCAAATTCAATTGTTGGAAAGTTGTTATATGAAACTCAGGTGACCTATAAGGTCCGTGCGCCCTTTTGGTTTGAAACAGCGATTCCGACGCAACAAACCTATCTTGAGAGGTTATTACCAAAAAAGTGTTTATTGTTTCAGATTAATGTTAAGGATATGTCCTGATGTTAGTTTTTAAAATCGGGAGGCAGTAAATACAAAGTTTAAGATAAATAAACATATAACACTCAAAATACAGTGACTGATAAAATGGATAGAAAATAGAATGAGACAATTCAACACCGTCCGATTTTGTTTATCAAATATTTATTTAATCATTGTTTTAGGTCATATTTATTGCCTTTTCCATTTTCTTCAATTCAAGCAGTGTGCTACCCATGGGCAGTGAGACTCTGGTGTTGACAGATAGTGAGACCTCCCTCCAAACCGAACGGCCGTGTAATATAGTCCTGCAAACTCTCTACATTTTCCAAAAGCACTATGCCAGAATCGTCTTCTGCAAATTGACAGCATGTTCCGAACGAATTTATTGTCACAGCTGAAACGACTTATGCGATATCGCCGAGAGGAACCCTATTAGAAAACAATAGAAAACACTGCTATAAAAGAGCTCTAAGATGATATATATAAGAGTTTAAATGATATAAATTCAAAGCATTTCTAAGGGAAAAGTTTGAATATATTGTTCTCCAACTAACATCGGGGGAATTCTAATGAAAGAAGGACAATATTCGTGTGTATAAAGTGTCAAATATTTGTTGTAGATTTTGGAGATCAAGCAAATTAAAATGATTGTGAACCCCACCCCCTCGCTTTCGTTGTCTTTGTGGGTGAGATGTCAATATCTATGGCATATTTTGTCAAACATGACATATTTATGATTTTAAAAAAATCAACTTAGACTTCTTTGACATAAATAAGAAAGAAAGAGAACACCATAAGAAAAACAAAACATTTTTGGGGGTGTTTCAAAAAGAACATAGCAGAAGTCGAGAACGATTTATACTTTCCATCATATAATTTATAGTATTACGTATATTACATACCGTTATATAGGCGTCTCTGTTTCCGGGGAAAGGGGAGGGACTTGATAAAATTTCGGTTATTTTACTATGTAATTTTAATGACTTTGAAAATACTCTCTTAATTTGTGCAAGTTCATAATTACTTACACACTTGTAGCACTGGTCATGTTTGTTGCACGCTGGTCTGAAAATATTTTTATAGAAAAAAGGCAGGTTTCCAGGTATGGAGCAGCCATTAGCTCTATAACCACAGGAGTACCTGAATGCATCGGTGCCAGGTGACAACAACATCAGAGAGGACATCCACAGAAGGAGGAACACAGGTATTGGACTCATAATGCTTGAATACACAGTTGAAAAAATTTAATGATAATTGAATACAAGTCTATATAATATTTTTGAATTTTTCTTATCATGTGAGAGAGAGAGAGAGAAAGAGAGATAATAAAGGTGTTTAGATTAAGGAGAAAATCTCGTATTTATAACGTTTACAAGTTAATTTCTTATAGATTCAACAAAACAAAATCTATTTTTTTTTGTTAAATCTATGATTCTTAAAAAATTATAGAGAATTAAAACTAGTCCACAGAACTTCAAAGTATGAAATTTCGATCTTTATTTCTTTTTTGGCCGTGGATTCGAAAATGAAAATTGAATTTTAGAAATGTAATACAGAAACATTTAAAATACTAAATCAATATTTTTTCTAGATGCTACTGGCGATAAATATGCATTGTATAATAAATGGATTTACAATTAGGAATATACTTCGCTGATTCACAAGTTGACATTAAAAATAAGATAAACAAGATAATTGGATAAATTAACAAATGAATAAATAAAAATTTAAAGATATATACTGCAGTACTAGATATATTCAGACCTGAATAAGATGTTCTTTTCTGATGTTCTGGAGAGATGTTCGTGCATGAAACAGATGGTAAGAGTTTATATATGGTATTAAGTATCCATGTGGTACTTGATAGCAATCATAATTGCATGTCAGTAAAATATTGAACAGACTGTGAATATGCACACTTACTTGTAGCTATAGTCAAGGCTGTGATAAGCGACCTATCTTTGGAAATTTCGAAATAGACACACATGACAGATATTCTTTTAAACCGAAGACTCAAATTCTCAAAAGCCCTAAAGAACACGTAGAAAATTTGTATAGCCATTTATCCATTCATGGATGAAGTTCCAAAAATCCCAAGTAGTCTACCCTAGGGTTTTATAAAATAAAGATGATTTATCATCTCAGGAAGAGTTACGGCCGTGTGTTAATTTGAAAAAACGCAATTTCTTGCATCAGTGTGACCTTCTTATTACCAAAAAGATGGTATCATGAGTTGTCAACTGTAAATAACACAAAATTCTGCCCAAATAAGTTAAATAACTATGATAGATGCTTAAAGAAAAAAACCCAAAAACTGTGCTTCCAGGTTTAAATACAAAAATTTAAAGAAATGGAATATTTCAAGTTTATGCAGGATCTTATGAATATTAATGATCATAATAATTGTAAGTAAATCACGTGGGGCAATCTCATGAATAAACAGTACATCATTTCTCCACAAGAGGGGGTGCTCAATCCTCCATGGTACCTGATCCCATCTCTGATGTTTTGGAGGTCCATATTTGCTCTGCTCCTATTTTGTATTGTTTCAATTGACTTTTTTTTTGCTTGATTAAGGTTCGTTTCCTCCGTTTATTATAAACCCATTTTTAAATACGTGTGCGAGTGTTGTCCAAGAAAGTTCAAAATTCTCTTCACACATGTCTAAAAGAAGACATCTTTAGAGGTTATAGGAAAATAAAACAAACTTAGCAAATAACAATGAAATACTTCTTAAGAATGTCTTACAAAAAGCAATGATAAATTTGTAAGTATCTGACATCCAAGACAAGTTGATAAACAGAAAGATCCAAAAGCAAAGAAAACAACTTCATAGCTGGCAGACCAAAAAAAGATTCATTGATTGTAAAACGCCGAATCGGCAGTATCTCTGCCATATTTCGGTGAAGTTACGCATTTTATTAAAAAAAAAAAACAGAAAAAAAGTCTGGTTCATTTTTATCAAGAAAACTTTCATTCTTGGTAATGTGTGCTATTTGCTAAATAATATTTTCAATATGAAGTGTAATCTTTCCTTTCACTTCAGACAGTGTGATACCAAAGGACAATGTTTTTCTGGTTTTCTTAGATATAGAGATTTCCTTCCAACTCGAACGGCCGTAAAGTAAACCAACGCGTACTTGAAACAGCTAATCCGACGCAACAAACCTATTCGTCTGCAAATTCTCTGCATATTCCGATGGAATTTATTGTCACAGCTTCTCCGGGAAATGCGATATTGGTGAGAGGAACCCTACAAAAAGAGAAGCAAAGAGTGATTCTCTTACAAAAAAGCAGTAAAGAAATTTTATCCGTGTTCAGCGTTTCTTGCTTCTTATACGAGATTTGTGGGCCTATAGCAATATTCAAAAGACATCTAGCCTATTTGATGTTATCTGATATAAATGTCATTATTTTTCTGTAAGTTGATATCCTTCCATGTCTTAACACCACGAATAAAAATTTTAGAAATCATTTGGAATTTATATCATTACATGCTTTGCTTTTAAAGATATGTATTTTGGTAGCCGGGTCCTAATTTTGACACTACTTGCACTACAGTAATCATCTTAGCTAAATGCAAAATTTTATACATTTCGCAAAACATGCATCTGTTGAACATTTCTCAAATAGAGGTTTGGTATTTGTCATATAATACCATCATCAAATACAGAATAATATACAATCATACAACCCCCCCCCCCTTCCTACTAAAGATATGTTCTTCACCTTTCATTTGCTCTAAATAAATTGGTCACAATTTATTTAGAAGGCGTTATGAATTTATTTAAGAAATTATTTAGTTTAATGAGAAATCTAATCACCCCATCATAGTTCAAAAGAAAGTGAACTTTTTTATATAATTTGAAAAGAATCTTAAGCAAAACTATTTAGAAATGTAAATATATAAAAATTAGAAAATGAATCTATCCAAGGACATTTAACACTCCTAAAAAAAGAACAAGAAAAAAGCAGACAAATAAAAAAAAACTGAATAATTTTTTTTTTTACTTCAATATATTAATTATTAGTTTATCAAAATGAGATTTGATTTTTCATATCTATCAAAAACCTTTTAAAGCATAGTAGACAATTACATTACCGTAATTTAGAATTTACATACATGGATAATGTCTAATTGTTGAAATAAATTATTCCGTCCACATCTTGCACTCGTTTTTTCAGCATTCATTTGAACGTTTAAACTAAAGAAACTTTTAATCTTCTAATATCTTTGATATAATATTGTAAAATCTTTTCCATTATCGCTTACACAGTTATAGCACTGGTCATGCATATTGCATGCTGGTTTAAAAGTTCTTTTATAGAAAAATGGCAGATTTCCAGGAATGGAACATCCATTAGCTCTATAGCTACAGGGTAATTGTGCATCAGTGACAGGTGAAAACAGCATCAGAGAGAAAAGAACCAGAAGAAGGGCTAGTGGTACAGGACCCATTAAACCTAAATAAAGTATAAATGAAAATAGAAAGACGTTATCAATTTAAAAGGCGTAGTGTGTGTGTGTGTGTGTGTGAGAGAGAGGGGGTGTGTGTGTGTGTGTGTGTGTGAGGGAGAGGGTGTGTGTGTGTGTGTGTTTGTGAGAGAGAGAGAGAGAGAGATTCCATATTGTAGGGATTAGATGAATTTTGTTGTATTCATTATTTTACTTCGCAAGCTTCTAAGATGGGGAAAAAAAGAAAGAAAAAACATCATTATATTTTATTAAGTCAGAATCTTATTATAAGTACACTATTTAGATCGTTTTAATTTAATTTCACTATTATAGGTTGTAACATAACCATGACTGAACATTTAAGGCTGCCGGTTTTGTTGTTGTTAATTGATTTTAAAATATATACATACATGTAACTACATGTAGAAATAATAAAAAGACGTTTGAAACGTGGTTTAAAATAAATTTGTAAAATACAAGTATATATATAAAATAAATCATGTAAACTTTATAAAAATTCTCATTATTTACCAGAGAGGACTAAAATTCTTCCTCACCTTTTATTTTATCCTATAAGATTACGAACAAAGTGTTTAGAAGGCGTTGTAATAAACCTGAAAATTCGGTTTTTAGCTCACCTGAGCCGAAGGCTCCAGTGAGCTTTTCTGATCACATTTTGTCCGGCGTCCGTCTGTCTGTCTGTCCGTCTGTCTGTAAACTTTTCACATTTTCAACTTCTTCTCAAGTCACAAAGCATCCTTGGGTAAAGGGGATTCAAGTTTGTTCAAATGAAGGGCCACGCTCTCATTCAAGCGGAGATAATTGGGAATTAATGAAAATTTGGTGGCATGTTTAAAAAATCTTCTTCTCAAGAACCACTGTGCCAGGAAAGATGAAATTTATGGGGAAACATCCTCAGGTAGTGTAGATTCAAGTTTGTTCAAATCATGACCCCCGGGGGTAGGGAAGAGCCACAATGGCCGACCAAAGTTTTACATAGAAATATAGGAAAATTCTTTAAAAATCTTCTTCTCAAGAACAGCAAATCCATAATTGATCATATTAATATAGAAGCATCCTCAGGTAGTGTAGGATCAAGTTTGTTCAAACCATGACCCCTAGGTGTAGGGCGGGGCCACAATGGCCGACCAAAATTTTACATAGAAATATATAGGAAAATTCTTTAAAAAATCTTCTCAAGAATAGAAAAGCTATAATTGATCATATTTATAATGAAGCAACCTTAGGTAGTGTAGATTCAAGTTTGTTCAAATCATGACCCCGGGGGGTAGGGCGGGGCCACAATGGCCGATCAAAGTTTTATATAGACATATGTAGGAAAATTCTTTAAAAATCATCTTCCCAAGAATAGCAAAGCCATGATTGGTCATGGGACAATTTTTTGGATTTAAACTTTTCAATAATAAACCAATTTCTACTTTTTCCTAGCCACAGTGCTCAGGTGAGCGATGTGGCCCATGGGCCTCTTGTTGAATTTTGCGTTATTACATTCTGCTTGGTCTCGATTCATAAAAGCTCAAGAGACCTAATGGTCTTCCGAGTACAATGCAACACTATAAAAAATTAACATCAGACGTGGGATCAGGTGCCATGGAGGAGTGAGCATCCCTGCCGACCGATCACACTCACCGTGTGCTCATTGTTGTGATCGGGAGCAACGGAAAAAATCTGTAGACAACTCAGTGTGTAAACAATGGCCTAACAATCAGTATACAAAAGGCAGTCAGCATTTAACTTAATGATGAATTGTATTTGTTGACAGTGTTATATTGTATCGACCTTAGAACTAACGAAATGAGGACTTTAGATTAGACTGCTGATATTCTCGCTTGTTAGTAACTAGTAGAATATCCAAATATGAAACAGTTGTGTCAGTCTCTAGTGTATCTTTTATCTCAAACTCACCGGGATATATCGTATCGACATAAGAATGGAAATAACCATTGTTAACTGACAATACGTCGTCGATATTACCAAAGGCAACAGCAAGTATTTTTTTTCAAGTAAAAGATTTTGAAATTCTGCTTCAAATAAATTCAAAAATAGGTCAGTAGGTCTGTTAATAACGGGGCGCAATCGGTACCCATGGGAATTTAAATAGATTGTTGGAAGACCTGGTATCCAAAAACCACATAGATATTGTCAATCAGAAACTCGAGCATCTTTTTAATATCAACTTCAGAATATTTGTGTGTACAATCAGAAGGTTTTAACAAAGTAATTTTGCACATCACCAATGACAACGTAAGTAAATTTACGAGTTCCATTTTTATTCAAAAAAAAAAAAAAAAAAAAAACTGTCAATGATGTCAAAAAGCCTGGAAACTAATTTATCGTGGGGAATAGTTGTATATAAAGTTGAAAAGTCGTAAGTTTTTATGTTCTTTTGTTCCCCTGTTACATGTAATAACAGATATATATTTGCATTATGCATCCCAAAATAATTCAAGTTTCTTTGAAGTCTTAGAAATGTTCTTGTAAAAATTTGACTTTGATATCTGCATGAAAGACAAAAATAAATCCATTTTATAGAAATCGAATTTCCTTCAGTATAGCCTTTCATACCATTGCTTATAAGCATGAAATGAAATAAGAAGTGATCTTTAATGTCTCACAACAATAATAATTTTTGTCGTAAAATATATCTGTTCATAAATTTTCAATCAGAAAATGTGTAGAGCGTATTTTGATTTGCATTTCCTGAAAAATATTAGGGATTAAATATATTTCCCAATACATGTATAATATGATTAATGTTAATGATGAACTTTGAAGAAGGGGGGTCAATGTTTGTCACAAAACTTTGACCTTGGTCATTATTTTTGAACGAGAAGAGACATCAGGGCTTCCATATTCCACATGTATATAAGTATCCATGATTGCATGTCAATGTGATATTGAACAGTCTGTGGATATGCATACATGTACTTACGTGTAACTACATTCAAACCTGTAAAAAGCAACCTATCATTGGAAATTCCATTTCCAGATAGACACAAATGACAGATACTCTTTTAAACCAAACATTCAAAATTTCAAACGCTCTAAAGAACATTTTTAAAATTTTAAAATCACAAAGTAGCATTAGTACGATTTAATTTTCTGCACTAGAAATTAGACCAAAGTTATATGAGAGGTAGCATTTTAAAGGATAAACTGTAATTAATGTATCTCAGTGTAGTTTATCTGTGTACCAAGTTATATTGAAATCAAACCAAAACTCTAGGAGGCGTACGTTTTGGAAAATTGTTTACGAACAGACAGACAGATCATTATAAAGACAGACGGACAGCTTGGCGGATGATCACGACCAGTCGAGCTAAAAACCAACCAACTTAAATTAATAAAGACGCATGGGTGCAGTCCCAAAATTCCCAAGTAGACCACATTTGGGTATATTATTGCATGTATCGGGTTTTGATTTCGATGTTCGGTGTTGTCATGATTACTAAAAATAGACATTTCTTTGAAAACTTCTCTTACAGTTATGGTCTGATTTCAAAATAACTTGGCACACAAGTAGACTACAAAAAGATACATAATTCTGAGTATCGGCTTGTGGTATTGTTGAAAGGTGTTGACATTGTTAATAAAAATAGAAATTTCTGTGAAATACTTTCAAAACGCTACTCTTCTTACAGTTTGGGTCCGATTTCAATATAACTTGGCACACAAGTAGACTGAACTAAGATACAAGATTTTGTTTACCATTTTTTTCATTTCAATAAATGGTGTCGGAAATTTTGCTAAAAACAGAAATTTCTGTGATATATTTTCAAATCGCTATCCTTCCTACAGTTTTGGTCCGATTTCAAAGAAACTTGACACACAAGTAGACAAACGTAAAAAAGGCTACTCTTCCTATAGTTTTATTCTGACTGCAATAAATCTTGCCACAACAAATACCAGATCATTATTCTATTATTGCTGTTGCAATGTTTCAAGTCCGTGACACTCTCTCTTCCTTTGATACAAATTCACATCAGTAGAGCTACAGTCTCGACACAAAATTCTGCAATCCCTTTTCGTTGTTTATTTTTCCCAGATAAAGATAGGTTTTGGAATTTCGGGTGGAAATGAATGTCATTCTTGAACATCTTCACCACAAATTCAATGAATAAACTACAAATATTTTGGTATTTAAATTTATTTTCATCATTATGGCACAAAGTAAAACATATCACAATTTGTTCTACATAATACAAGGAGTTGATGTAGTGTTGGGTTCTGACACCCTGATATTTTGATTGTGTGCGATGAGGGTCTGATTGTTATAATGAACACCAGTACTACATGTCTGACAACTAAAATCAGGACAAGTCTGAATGAAAACTTAAAATCAAGTGAATAATTAAAATTATTGCTAACTTAATAAAACTTTAAAGAATTGTCATTCAAATTATTGCTCACTGCCTAAACAATTCAGAACTGTTGTCAATAAAAATATTGCTAACTACTCAGCTTCTTTTTGCAATCAAGTGGAATTTTCAATCTAATGGTTAATGTTCTGTTTATATATTAATTAAGTAAAATAACCTAACCCAATAAAAAGTTCGTAAAAATAAACCAACATTATTGAGAAGAAACAATAGGACTAGACTGCTGGCTTCAACATAAAATTATTCATGAATGTATGTAAACCAATGCGTAAAATATGTTGAACTTTGGCACATCCATAGTACTATGTGTATACAACTAGTGCACAATATGGCTGTAACAATATTCATGATAAACATTTTAAAACATTTGAAAATCATATTATTTTTAAAATTTTGCACCATTTCAGTTTATCTACAATAAGATACAAGTACTATCACACATAAATACAAGTATGGCTTGAACGTCAGTACAATATGCATTGCTATGTTGTATTGATACATGGTACTGTAGACAATGGTTATGAACAGAACTGGAATGTTATTTGACGTTACATGTGGTGTGTTAAGTGCTGTATAAACAAGGTTACATGAATTCAAATTAATTAGTAGCACCTGTCAAGTGGACAACTAACATCTAAAGTAAAAATTCAGTTGATAATCATAAAATCAAATACAGATATGAAATTAATTTCCATATATACAACAAGGCACTCAATGTACTTATACAAGTATATTCACCTTCACTCAAATTCTCTAAACATTCTAAAAATTAATGGAGGCTTCAGAAATCAGAATTAAGTAACAAACATTCCACATTCAATAAGCCAACATTTGTTTCAACAAGAGTTAACAGTTTAAATAGTTACTCACAAACTAAAACTTAATGTTACATAAAGATTAAGAAAAATCCAGTTTGATCAAATTTAAATTAACAAAAACTGGACAAAAAGCAATTCTGAACCGGGAAGTAGTTTTTATACAAGGATAAATACCTCTCTATAATAAACCCTAATTGATCTTCCACACAATAACACGTCAATTTAAAATGAAATATAAATATTTACACAGACACTTTGAGCACTTAACATTAAGACACACATTTGGACCTGCCATTTTAAAAACGGATAAGATTTTCCCCATCTCTAAATTGTGTTATAAGTACAAGTCTATACATATTATATACAAAGTATAAAATAGACATCAGTAACTATACAACTAAATAAGTTAACAGGGACATTAATAACACACACACAAAACACAGGTACTGTGCAATCACTAAATGTTTTGTAAAAATTCTTGAATATTATTGCACCATTAATATGCATGTCAGTGCAGTAATGAAATATTTCACTAGCTTTGATTCAAAAGGTCTTTCATCCGTTTTGGATGTAAATGTTTTTTCCCCCTTAGTTATGCAATGCATAATGATGGATGCCTTTAGTTATGCTATGCATAATGATGGATGGTCTCCAATGCCAATCTTTTTTCTGCTGTCCTTTAGCCGTGGCTTTTTCCACTGAACACAGAAATGGTCCTCGTTCACAAGAGATTACTCTCACTCCAATATCATCCATGGTTCAGCGAGACTTAACAAAAGAATTCGTAATTAACATTCCTCTGATAGGAACGTCTCTGAACATGAAATGTGGAGAATGAACACAAATTATGACTTGATGATAAAAGTATATACACACATAAATATTGATGAGTTCAATAATGGGACATTCATACTGTTTTCTAAGTGTTATAACGTTTGACTCCCTATCATCATGACTAGTTCCAATATCCCCTGACTAGTTCACAGATTCACTGGTTTGTATGAGACTTTATGGCACAATTCCTCCATCTTCCCGTCCGTTAGGGAATGGAGAAATCTATGTTGTTCAGCACATCTCCAGGTATGTGCTTTTTCCCCCAAAATGATTCAGGCAATGTGAAGTAAAATCACATTTCATCTTTGATATTAATAAATTTTTAGGCTTTGAAATACTTTTGAGTTGGTATCACAACATTTTTTGGAATTTTCTGGACATATAATTTTGATATGACATTTGGTTTTCCCCCACTGTACAACATTTACATGTTTATCCTGGGGGGCTTGTGCAAGCTACCATGAGACTGAAATTTTCATCAGAATCTCTGTATAGTGGAATGGTGCTGTTCCACGTGATCAGAAGTAAGAGTCCGAGTCGACATCAAACCCGCTTCCTGAGCTACGCCCTCCCTCCGAGGAGCCATTTTCTGAGATATCCGAGATGTTGGGCGATTCATAGAAAGATGGCAGGATGTCATCATCCGACTGAAATAAAAATAATAACGTTACTGAAATTTATGCATATCAAAAGTACTCTGATGTTAAGAAATAGCTATTATGATATATGATCTTTGTATATGGTAACAACAATGACTCATTTTAATCCAAAGGTCAATTTCTCTTATTTTAAAACTAACAAAAGTAAAATCCCCTTGTAATAGTACTTTAAATGTACTGGTATTAAATATAATTTTCTTGGTGAAAGAAAATGTATTTCATTGCTGACAATTTGAATGCCTGTATATATTTGGAATATAGAAAATCAAATTTATCTATTCGCTAAAAATATCATATATTCACATATAATTGAATTAGCATTTATTAAATTCAAATTAATAAGCCTTTATAACTGTATGTACATATAAATAATACACTTACAGTTACAAATACACAAGCCTTTTTATCTGTATACTTATAAATAATACATTTTTACACAAAGACATGTGTATGATACAGTTTTGACGTGTGCAGATTCTGATTTTGAGGTAATACTTGTGGTATATGGATAAGAGGCATCGTTAATGGTGAGTCTTAGTGGTTACACTTATAAGAAGCATCTAAGTTGGTAATACTTGCTGGATACATCAATATGAAGCATCTGTGCATACTTGGGCATATTACTAACAATGACACTACCTCTGGAAATAAACTTGGATGCCAGCGAATAGGAGACATTACCGGTCTCAGCTCGATGTCAGAGCCAGGAAGTGACATCACGCTGCTGGAGCGGCTGGAGCTGTACACACGGTTCTGGTACGCTGTAGCTGGTCCTCCAGGTAGATAGACAACAGGTAGATCTCGATGGACTCTCGCCTTGTGCTCCATGGAATCCTTCTTTTTCCTATTCAGATGAAAACAATTCAATTTATTTAACTCATTAAAAAGCATGAGGTATTCAGTTGAAGACATACTAATCCAAAAAATATAAAAACAAATAGAAAAGTAACAAGTTCATAGGGCTTGCACATAAAATACATATATTTGTATCAATAATCTAAAACAAAAATATTGTCAAAAAATAAATACTATTAAAGGGAATACTATTTGTACAGAGGCATGATTTTTAGAATTGTTTCTTGGTTTGATAAATTAAGCCTGAAGATTTGTTTAAATTAAGCCTGAAGATTTGTTTAGATTATCTAAGTTGTACTTCTTAAAAAGAATGACCTGCAGCGAAGGCCCAGATAGATTCCCAGCACAACAAGAATGACAACTCCTGCCCCCACTGTCGCTCCGACTATGATTATTGTACTGTCATCTGGAGGTTAAAAAAAGGATATGTACACTCGTTAAAATTTTATATGTAGAGTTTAATTTCAAACTCTTGCATTATTCACTTTTTGTACTTTCTGTAAGTAATTTAAAAACCACACAAGTTTAACTTTGTATAAATATAAGCTTAAAATAGTTACCTTCTTTAACAGGTGTTTGGATTGCTTAAAAGAGATAAAAGAAAAAGAAATAAGTGAATTGATATAATTATAATGCAATCAGTTGGTAAAAGTAAGTTTTAAAAATATCCATATTACGTTCTAGTGCAAAGATCAACAAAAACCTAAACAATATGTTCCATCGACACGTTCATATCCTTGCTTACAGACACATTTATAGTAGTCTGGTGTGTCACTGCATTTTTCATTGGTTCCACACTCTGCTACACCAGTATCACATTCATTGACGTTTCCCTTCACACAGTCTGCGGGGCTTTGACTTCCCTCCAGGAGAGTTGTCTGCCCTTGGGCACATTTCAGACATTGGACCTGACCTCGGGCCGGCTGATATTGACCCAGGGGACAGAGAAGGCACTTGTTGTTTGAGGCATAAGATCCAGCAGGGCACACAACTAAAATAAAATTTAACTTTAGTGAACAAATCAAACTTTATAAACTGAACTGTTTAGTTGCTTACAATACACAAGTTGTCACAAAGAAATAGAATTCATCTTATAGTGAGTTACAGTTTACAGAGTTTTAGATTGTCTTGTCCACTTACTAATATTACACTGGTCTATAGACTTGCTTCCTAGATTTGATGTTGTGGTTCCAAAGGGACAGGGCTGACAGGAGGCCTGAGTGGTCCCCTCCTTGTAGAATCCCCGCCCACACAGCACACAGACCCCCCTCACTGATAGCTCTTCCCCAGCCAGACACCCAGCTGTAGTAAAGATAGCAAACCTTTATCATTGTATCCTTATATGAAACTGTATAAAGATTTAAACATTCCATTCAATATTTAAATAAATTCTCCTCCACTTGTCTCTAAAATTATCATTCCATAAATAGTAAAGCACAACTTTCTATAGGAATAGAGAGCACCTACTTCATTCATACTTGATTAAAATGGAGCAAAACTCATATTCTATTATAAGACTATTATGTGTGCTTTATTAACTTGCCTGTACAGTTCTGCAGTGACGTGGAGCCCTCTTCTAGAGTCATCTGACCGTTAGGACACGACTGACACATCCTTCTACCTGGCCTGGTCTGGTAGTAACCCCGCGGACAGTTCCTACACACATTAGTTACATCCTCTGCATACTGACCAGCTGGACAGATGGCTGTAATTAATAAATCATATTTATTAAAATAATCACATTAATTATTCCTCTCAACAACAAGATTACACATTGGCAAAGCTATAGGTATAACCACACATTTAATTTATTATTTCTAAGTGATTGTCGTAGTAATTCCATTCTATTTTTGGCAAAAAAATGTGACAATTTGATTCATTTTTAAAGTTTTTTAATGCCTACTGTAGCACTGAGCCTGTTGTGTGGCCCCTGGATCTTGAGTTGTCTGCCCCTCTGGACATGGTTTACACTGAGTTTGTCTTTCCTGATCATTATAAGAGCCAAGTGGACACAAGTCACATGTGCCCGGACTTACAGTCTGATTGTGGAAGCTACCTATGGCACAGTTCACTACAAGTACAGCAAAATTATCAATAAAAACTATGTTTATATCTGTATATTTTTGATAATAAAAAAATTGCACAGCATTTTCTAAACAGAGCTATGTTGGCAAATTTAAAACGGGGCAAAATTGTTCGCAAGTCAAGAAAATAACATGGGGCAAAATGCCACCTACCACAATACTCTGTGGTCTCTGTGTGTATGAGCTCCTGGCCATCTAAACAGTTATATTGGGCTGTTACAATCACAGAGTCATTTTTGGCAACAAAACCTTCACTGTTGAAGGCTCCTTTCTTTACATAAGTCTTGATGCTGTCCAATGGTTGAGCATTTGATGTCTCCAAGGATGTCCTATAAAGAAAATGTGGGTATATTATATTATCATCAGCTGAAGCACATGAAATCCCTCAATATGCATGCATAAATAGAGAAGAAAAAATTAATCAAAACAAATCTAACTTACTTGTTAACAGGAAAGTTGAATCTAACAAGGTAGGAGTTATCTTCAGCCTGTCGGCGCTTCCTCCTGCGACTGACGTCCCCCGAGCAGTGGATCTTGACGTACATGTTACAGACATTGTCTGGACACAGTCCAAACTCCTGGTTCCACTGAGCCATCGTCTGGTCAAACACCAGCTTCAGCTTCTGTCTCAGGTCCTCTCTACACAACGGTCCTCCAAAACTAATGGTTCCCGTCACACTCGCAGCAGGGGCAGAAAACCCTGTAGGAGCAACAGAGATATTTTAATATTCTATTTGTAAATAAACAAATTTAAGAAGTATACTTTCACTTTTTTATTTTATTTTGAAACATTTAAGCATGAAAGTACATGTATATCAAATGATATGTTAGTAACTTAAATTAATTGTCAAAGAAATTGAATATTTACCTGCACAAGCAGGGAATGTGAAGTTCTCTCCCCTGGCTGGGTCCCACTGCCCGGTCAGTCCACACTTGTAGAACTGTGGGACAGATTCGCTGAATGTGTGGGTGTCTGGACTGTCACAGCTCAGCCAGCAGTACCTCTTACTCCCTACCGTCCTACAGCTGTGGTTCACACCCAGTCAAACGCTAAAAACATATTTTGTAAGATACTAAAGGCACTTCACAGTCAAACGCTAAAAACATATTTTGTAAGATAGGATTTCAAGTTAAATATTTATTTAATTCTTTCTAGAATACAAATCATATCTAAATCATTATATTTTTTTATTCCAACTATAATTAGTTATTAAAGAAGATACTCTAAAGATTATCAATCTCCAGCAATACCAGTATAAACAATCTGAAATGAGCTGACTTACGAGAGACTGCGACGTGAAAGCTACAGTTTGCTGTGTTGTTTGCTGCATCAAATGCCACATACATGACGACATACTCCCCATAGGCCAGCACTTCCCCTAAAATCATAAGGCAGCTAGTTACTACAAAATACATACAGTACAATCTGATCAATACTTGTCTCCATATCTAAATAACCATACAAGAAATTCATTAAATTTATATAGCAAAAGGATATCCGTTCTTGTTTTGAAAACCAAAAGGAACATCAGTTTAGTAGTAAAGGAATAACAACAGTGCAACTCTACTCTAAAGAACTCATTTATTTGGAAATGTTAGTTACAACAAAGTTTATGAATTCCTTAGAAGTTTTTTCACCATGTTTCTTCCACAAATATAAAGAATTTTGGTAAAAAAAATGAGGTTTGAGGTCCCAGTGACATCCCTATGACTGAGTTTTACTGCATAGGCTTTCTGTGATCTCAGTCACTTGAGAACCTTTAGATCTGAACTACTTGTACTATTACCTGATCTGTGTGTTTGGATGATATTCACCACACCCACATCATCATAAAATACAGGCTCCGTCCAGTTGACCAGGCTTAACCGTTGAGAACTGACTACTCTGAAATCACTTGGACAGCTTACAAGTACTGGGGGACTTTTATCGATCTTAATGCTGCAGTTATGTCCCTTATACCCAGCAGGACACCGCTTGTCACCGCAGGTTGAGGGTTCGACCACCTCCAGATCACCTCGGATGTTAGCTTGTAACTCCATCCACGGACCACTGACTCCTGGCATGGAGTAGCATGTCTTGGATAATGTGGAGATGTAGTTTGGCTCTAACTGGTTAGGAAATACCTGAAGCTGGCTCATCTCACCATGAAACTGGTCCTGATCTGGCACTGATTGTAATGGTTGTCCCAGTAAAATCATTACCCTGGAAAACAAGTGTTCTTTTTCAGTAAATAGTAATCCTTAAATTCCTGAAAATGTACTTTACATTTTTTTTATCTAAAGTACATACTGTATATAAAGTGTTATTTTATTTTAATAAGTAATACACAGTATGCAACTTAAACCAGTCTTTCCGTATATTTTAGAATAATAATTGAACATCTGCATGAAATGCCTATCAATTAAAACAAAAGAAGTCATTTAAAATTACCCAACACACAATGATAATTCTTCCCAGTTGATATGTCTATGTTAGTTTATGTGTAACATAAAATTAATGTTCATGATATATACATATATTCTGAAACTATTCTATGATGTTTACCTATTGGGTATGTCCATCAGACTATCTCCCACTAGTTTTGTTCCATTCAGGTAAATAGACCAAGTTTTTGAGTTTTTCTTTGTCCAAACAAAGCAGACATGGTTCCAGAGGCCATTGTTAAGGTCCCAATTGTTGTACCACAGTTTGGCTTTGGAAATGGTTGCCAAACTGTTTTCACGGAACTCCACTATCTGGTAGGTATCATTTCTAGAAGATTTTATAGACACATTTGTAAATAAGAAGAAAACCAACTCTAAGACCGAAAGTTGAAATGTTGTTTTGTATGTTCAATTTAAAACAAGGTATAAAGAAATCTCACACTGCTAAGGTCAAAATGGTTTTATTCTGGCCAACAATGAAGGATCGCACCCATAGACAGATGGACAATTCATCTCCCACTGTGATCCAGGTCTGACTTGATGATCCATTCAATCCATGGAAGAACAAATCAAAATTAGAGACTTTCTCTGTAAATAAAAATTAAAATACAATCACAGATTTACAAGTATAACATTAAAGAATGTAAACCTGAGAGCATACTATAGTAATGTACTGCAAGTCAACAAGACAAGCTGCTTTCCAGATAAATTTACATATACTTAGACAGCATTTTTTAAAACAAATTACAAAACAATTCTTTAACTTGAGAAAATTCAGCAAAAATTCGAGGAACATCATTTTTACTGTACTGTTAAAGAATGGGCTTGATTCACAGAAAAAATTATCTGCACCTTTTCCGCAGTCAAATCCATTGTAATATGGAGAACACAGACAGGTGCCGTTCTGACAGGTCGCGCCGTTTTGACAGACATTGTGGCTGAGGCAGGGATCCACTTTATCCCCACACTTCTTCCCTGTGTATCCCGAGGTACAGTTACACATGAAGCCAGTCTCACCATTAACACAGATACCTCCATTTTTACAACGTGAAGATTCACAAGTTATCACCTCTTCTGAACAGTTGTCTCCATAATACCCTAATATAAGTGTCAAAGTATTAGTGTTAGTTTCAATAGTTATTCATGACAAATTTATTTCTGTGTTATTATGCAAAACAGTCTGCTCTCAAAAATTTCATTCTTGAGTGCATGTATTTTTTCTGAGTAGGATACATATAGCAAACACCAGCATTTGTGACAATGTTGTCTGGTTTGTTTATATCAAAAACATAAAGTGTTGCCAAAATTTTGTGATAAACAGTTCTTAATATTATTTAATCTTAGTCTTCTTAATTAAATGTGACTAATTAGATAATTTTCCCCTATCTATTCTCAAAGTGATAAATCCGAGCTTACACCTACCTTCTGGACAAACACAGAAGTATTTTCCACTCTGAGAAGAGTCCAAACATGTTCCATTATTCTGGCAGGGCAGAGAAGTACAGGGACTTATTTTGTTTTCACATGTGAGGCCTGTCCACTCAGATGGGACAGCTGTAAGGAAATGGATGCATCATTAAGTAATGAAGTGGTAACGAGTAAAGCAAAAAATTCCTATTTCACTTATTATCTCTGTTTTCCCCAATTGCATCTTAAAATATTTTCTATCTGTTATTCTTCATATTTTATATGCAGTTAAAATGTGCCTACAAAAGCATATTGAGCCTGTTCCCTTTTGTATGTACATGCAAAGAAATTGTGCAATGAAAGATAAATTGAACAGAATTACAGAAAAAAATTAAATAATAAAGATATCACTTAAATTTTACAAAATTAATATACCCACCTGCAGGTAAACTTATTAACCAGATCAAAACAGGTGCCCCCGTTTCTGCATGGATCTGAGCTGCAGTCATCAATATTGACATTACAGGTTTTATTTTTAAATCCTGGAGGACAGCTACAATAAAATCCATCTACAAGGTCTGTACAGTTCCCTCCATTTAAACAAGGCAGGGAGGCACACTCATCAAGTTCCACCTGAAGAAATATATATAATCTTTCAATCCAAAATTCTTTAATGAGTACAGTGCAGATAAATTTAGGTCAGATGAATGGAAATTTTGTGTGTGTGTTTCATTCAACAGTGAAAACAAGTGTAATTAAAAAAACCCCTCTTTTACCTCACAGTAAGGCCCTGTATATCCAGCTATGCAGTCACATCTTCCCAAACTGATGTTACACAATCCATCATTCTGGCACTGGAAGGGACAACTATGGGTACGAGTCTCACACCACTTGCCTATAAAATTCAATGAAAACTAATGTTTTCCATTTACTTTATATATATTTTCAAGCCATAAATTCTTATAAAAATAAGAATTGCCTGGTTAAGGTGCTTATTTTTCCAGACAACCTACCTGTCCAGCCTTCCCTACAAACACAGGTGAAGTCGTTGTCTCCATCGATACAGTCGATAGCCGAGGTTAGGTTACAGGGAAAGGGAGAGCACTCATCTCTATTGATCTCACACCGCTTCCCCTGAAAGCCTGTGATACAGAGTTCAACAATATTGTGAAAGACATTACACCAAATTCCTTAGAAAACTGATATAAGACTTTATAGATGATTTAAGTGATATTTCCTTATCTTACCGGGAGGACAGATACACTTGAAATCATTTTCTCCAGGTTCACATCTGGCAGAGTTCAGGCAGGGGTTGGCTAAACACTCATTGATATTTATGTTACAGTACTTTCCAGTAAAACCAGGCTAAAAGAAAAGAATTAAAATGACCAACATTCACAATTAATTTTAAATGTATAATTATAATAAAAGCAAATATTCTTTGTTGATCTGTGTGACTATTGGATTTTAGGAATGCAGGAGTCAGGTTGTGATTATCCAAACAACTAGTTCAATCTTTTATTCAGTCTCATCACTGTTTTAAGTTAAATCTTATTTTGTCCCTTACAATGAACAACTCACAAAGATAAAAAGAAATCAAACATATGAGACTGATTTTTGACATTCCCATCCCAGGAAAAGTATCAGTTACTTTTTATAGATATAATACAAAAATTGTTTAATACATCTCTAATGTCTCCTTCCCACAACCCAAAATCTAGGAATGAGGGCATATTAAGTTTTCAGAACTTGTGCCCAATCCCTTTGTAATTAAATTACAATAAAATATGTATAAATCCACCCAAAATCTGTTCCCTTTTTCTTAACAGTATTTTACCTCCTTACTGTTTTTTGTTGTTTATTTTTTCTGTCAGAGTTTTACATAACAAATATTGGCTGTTTAATACCTTGCAGATACAGGTGAAGTTGTTGATACCATCAATACAGTGACCATTATCTCCACAGAAGTTCAGGGTACACTCGTCAATCAAACCTTCACACTGATTCCCTGTGTACCCTACAACAGAAAACGCCAGCCATTACTCCACTACTAGATTACATACGGTACATCTGAATCAGTAAAGCCGTTCTGGACTGTGGTGATCCGATTTGATCATGCCTTACCTTGCTTACAGGAGCAGCTGCTGTATGGCGTGTGCTTTACTCCTCCATTGAAGCAGATTTTGGTGACTTCATTTTCAGGTTCTGTACAGTTAACTCCCCTGTACCCAGTCTCCTGTTAGCAAAGTAAAATACATTATGCAAACTATAATACATGTATACAAATGAAACCATAATCTTTTATGGAAAATTGAAAGTAAAAATACCAAAATTAAAAACATTTTTTATGGAAAATACTATTTTGGTAAACTGAAAGAAAAGATCTAAGGAATTCTTACGGAACAATCACACTGATATTGACCAATCAGATTGATACATCTGCCGCCATGGAGACACGGATTGGGTGAGCACTCATCAATGTCCTGGGAACAGCTAAAATCAGAAAAGGAACAGTGTATTACAGAAAATGAATGTACTCATTAAGGAAAACTGTCCTGGGAACAGCTATAATTAGAACAGGGACATTGTATTACAGAAACTGAATGTACTCATTAAGGAAAACTTGTATTTTTTATTATTCTCATTGAACTTGTCTGAGAGAGTTCCCTTATATAAATATTTTAAGGACAGAGTTGGGGGATTTAATCAAGATAACACAATAAATAAATAAATGAAAATGTTAAAATCCTTTTAGATGTGGAACAACTATGGTTATCAACAATTCTGAAAAAAAAAATGTTTCAACACATTTGCATGGATAAGATTCACTTGAGTGATTATCTAGCAGATAAATAATCTTTCTACATGCATTTACATGAACACAACAACCTCTCTGATTTCTTTGATCCTTGATTTTTAAAAAGTTATTAGAATTATAATAATTTATAATTTCATGGATACATGTAAATGATCAATCAATTTGAGGTATAAATACTAACCTAAGGCCTGTAAATCCTTCAAAGCACTGGCAGTAATATCCACTTGTACTGGTTTTACAAGACCCGTGAACACATGAACAAGGAGACTGGGGGACCTGACAGAAATCTCCAGTGTAACCTGTAACAGAAAAAATCCCCATCAACCAACAGAACAAGTCCATCATTCTCCTACCCTGCATATAGTCCAAAAAAGACAAAACCATGCTCCAAATCAATAAACTCAGAACAGACTTAAGTCAAAATTTAGATTCTGAATATCTTCTTTATTGCACAAACACATATATTTTAAATTGTGCAAGTTTGTATCATATTAAAAACAAATACAATAAAAATTTAGTTTCATTTCCAAAATTACTGTACACGTACTAAAAAGAGCAGGCTTCAAATTTTAGCAGCTTTGGCGCAGACAAGAATGTGCTAATTCATGAAAAATTTTGAATATGGCAATTCATGTACACGTACAGTATTTGAAAACATTCCCTTAATGTAGTGTTTTCTCATTTATGATCTTTGGACCAGTTCTTATTCTGTTAATTTGTGTGTGTGTGTGTCTGTCTATGTATTTAACTGTGTATGTCCGTGTACTTAGCCATAGGTATACTAACCTGCAGGGCAGTGGCAAACAGGTTTGTTGTACAACACACTACAGGTTCCTCCATTCATACACGGCTCACTGTCACAGACGCTGTAGTCATGTTCACAGTTATAACCTACAACAAAATACAATTACTTGTATCTATCAAACTAATATGATAGTTTTATTTTGGACGGCAATTATAATCAGGTCATATTACCCTGTATGATCAATCTTATTCATTGTCAGGTCTTTCATTACAATGTTAAGTAATGATCAGTCTCAAATCATGACTTCAGATATGAGCAGGTTTATTTACAAGTTTATTTTCAGCAGCTACCTCTATATTTATGATTCAACTCAGCGCTGTTACAAGGTTTTCAGATATAAGCCAGCCTTACCATAGTGTCCTGGAGCACAAGTACAGCTGTACCAATGGTCTACCAGGTTTGGTCTACAGGTCCCACCATTCAGACAAGGACTCTTGCTACAGAAGTCTAGAACTACAATTACAAGTCAATACTCAGTTATATCACCATCACTATTGTTTTATTACTGTAGACTGTAACATCTTTTTCAAATTATGCCATTTTTTTCAAAGTCTGTATCATTTTCTTTGAAATAAATGAATACTGTAATACAAGTACAACAATGAGAAAAACTCTGTATGTCAACTTCATGTGACATATCTCCTACGAGACATTTACCCAGTATCACATAAGTTTACACACCATCCCAACTCACACTACTAACGACAGAACAACAACATATTGGTAAATTCTTTTCCATTGTATAAAACATTCTTTTCCTCGAGTTCCTACCTTTGCAATCAGTAGGACTGGATTTCCCTGTACCATCAGTGGCAGTGTTAGTAGGGCATGCTGTACACTGGCTGGACATTTCTGAGCTGGAGTAGTGGTTCCATGGACAGTTGATACATGGCTCTAATCCAGTGTCACTATACTGGCCTGGCATACATACAGCTAAAAAGAGGTCTCAAAATTAAGAAGTGATACCAGGATAGGAGAACTGGAAACAAATTCAAAGTTGTTGAAAAACACGTTAATAGATTTATTTATGAACCTTACTTTTACACTGAGTTGAGCTTGCTGCCCCTGATTTTTCAGTGGATGACCCGTTGCTACAAGGAATACAAGATTTCGCTCCCTGCTGGTCAGTGTACTTTCCCTGTGGACACTTGATACAGGGCTGTAGTCCATTCTCTGAGAATTCACCCGGCTTACAAGATTCTACAACAGCAGTCAATTGGCTGTAACTAATTTGTTAATTCCACTCAAAAGCTTCACAATACATGTACATGTTTGTTAAAATCTACTCCTGTCCTAAGATACACAAACAATTCATAATCACTTTCAAGTTGGGAAAAACTTATTGACCCCCTCTTTCTCCTTGATAAATAAAATATACACATGTACACACACAGACTTACTGAGACAGGAGACTTGATGTTCACTGTCACACAATTGACAGTCCCATTCTATCTTCATTCCATCTATACCTGGGCACCTCAAACAGGTATGGCTGGTCTGGTTAGCATAGTAACCAAGGTCACATTGAACTGTCAACAGAACAAAAATGCCATTTGATCTCAAAATAAAAAGTATTCCTTATAGTACTCTTCTCTCAGACCTGTATTTAAATAAGCAAACCTTACCACATTTTAAGCTGGTCTCATTTAACACACTATCTGCGGGACAGGTAACGGCTGTTTTGGTGGCGTTCAGTGAGATGTTCATGTTCCCACAGACTGGGTCATTTACTGAGGATCCGTTCTGGTATTTGTTCACTATTTGTTGTGTAAAGTTATCCATACACTGGTAGAACTTCTGTCTGTGAACTTTGAGCTGGGTCACCACCAGGGTGAGCACTAGAGAATCCTGTAAAGGGATGTCACTCCTCATAATAAGGGTCACAATAATTATATAATACATCGATGAATACATATTGCAGTATATACACCTACCATTGGTAGAAATGAAGTTGAAATTAATTTCAAGAAATAAAAACACTGGAACACTTGTTGCAGTGAATTTAATAATTTGGAAAATATTTAAAATAAATGTAAAATCAATGAATCTTCTCTAATATATACCGTATACAAAGGAAAAGGAAATTTTTTACCTTTTTTTTTTTTTTTGCCCTATACTCACAGGTGGGTGAAATTAAAACGAGCAAATTCAAAGAACGCAGTATAATTTCTTAAACAGAGCTAGGACTTGGCGAATTTAAAGCAGGGCAAAATTGTTTGCACATGTGAAAGGGCAGATGTAACACAGGGAGAAATAAACCCTGTATGCAGTATGAATTGATAAATCCTGCTCAAAATATTATACAATTTAGATACTTAACAATGATGATGTTTATATTTAGTGTAAACTGCTTCCACATCCTCAAACAAAACATAAATACATTTCTGAAGAGGGGGGTGGGTGGGAGGAAATAACCAAATCAATAAAATATTAAAACACTTGAGCTCAGAAGAATTCCCCATGCCAATGTGTTCAATACATTCAAATGTTCTATCATACAGTAAATAAGAATAGATATATGTATGTCCAATAAATAATAGGTGTACTAAATAAATGTCTTTTAAATTCTGAAAAATGTGTTTTTGTTAAAATGTGCATTCTGCATTTGAAAAAAAAATCATCTGAAGTGAAACCAAAGTGTAAAATGCGGAAAAGCTGTGCTATCAGAAAAGCAGCCATTGTTTACTGTGCAGATATACCTGTTTGAAATCTCGGCCATTCTTTGTCTGTTTCTCATATACTTTGACAGTATATAAAATTGATTGCTCAAGCTTAAAGTAATAAAAACTTAATGTTAAGACGTGCATTAAAGTACTCACACTGTCCATCTGCAGCATTAATGAGAAGCACAGTGATCTTTGTAGTATCGGTATTTTAAAGCAATTCAACATCTTATATGTACACCTACTAAACATGCTTTATAAGGGCTGTCTTTTACATGTTGTAAATAAGGAAAACAGATTTTTTACAATGAAAACTGTGATTACAAAATATAAAGGATATATTCTGAAGTCTATTAGAATTCGCTGAGTTAAGGGCATTCCACATGCTGTTTGACAAAGATTTTATTTCTTATATTGATTATATCAATATAAACTTTATACTTGTAATTTAAGCATCTCCTACTTTAACACATCATAAATAAAAGAAGTACATGTATAGGAGACCATGTAAATATTTTAGCTATGATTGACTTAAAATGCAATAGTGTGAAGAAGGACATAATACACAGTTATCTTTAAATATACAAAACAGAATGGATTCAATGACTGCATGCATACAAAGCAAACATCTACAAACATAGATCTAGAGAATGCATAACAAGATGCTAACCAGTGACATAACCTGGCCATAGAGGAAGTAGCCCAGGTAGATCTCGGCGTTCTCTATACAGCTGTTGTTGGCGTAACTCAGCACGTCAAGGCTGATCAGGCGCGAGGTGTTGTCTGTACAGGCTTTCCTCGGATCTGTGATGGCCACAGAAAAATTCAACACCACATTTCCATGTGCATTCATATCTGCCCCTGAAAGTGTATAGATAAAATTGCAAAGTTACTCTTATGTGTACTTTAACTCGTGTACCAGAAACAGAAATCATGATGGGATCAAATGAATACAAGATACAGTAATGCAATTTAAACAGATACAATTTAAACGACATTCACTTCAAGAATGTAAAATACAGTATATCACACAATAAATAGACTTTATCTTCTGGAAATATTCGTTTGGTGTTAAGAAGCGAAACAAAATTTCATGAATTGTGATCACTCACTTTTAGCCTCATAAAGAAAGTCACATGACCCTTCATTGCCATAAGTGTCGTTAGCCTTTGCTGTAATGTTGACAAAATGTCGCACAGGTATCACTCCTGGTGAAATTCCATGACCCAAGTGTTCTAACATAACGCTGTAGTTGATTCGATTGTAGAGGATACCACTGCGGTCCTGGGCGGTGACCACATTAGGGATTGCGGTGATGTTGGTCTGGTTGTAGATTGTATCGTATTTCTCTACCACCACTGTATCGGGGCATATCACGTCAGGCGGAGTGGTGTCCTCTATAAAAATCAACAACAAATAGAAACATTCCTAAACAATTCCTTTCTACTACGTCTTAAAAATTTAGGCATATGATGTGCATTTAATGAATTATTTGGTAATAGGTTAAACATATTTGCTAATTTCTTCTTTTAAAGGAACTTAATGAACAAAAAATCTTAAGGAATCATTAGACCAAACTGCATAAAGACTACGCTGTGTAGTAAGTGTATACCATAGAGTAGCTGGATGATACAGGTGGCTGTGTTATTACTCTGGTCAGTGGCCATAACTGTGATGTTTTGCTGTTAAAAAATATATACATATATATGAAAATGTTACAATAAAATCAGATGCTACAAACATCTCTCCCCCTAATTTATACAAATAACAACTTAAATAATGCTTATATGAGAAAATTCAATAAATTTAGCTGCTGAGATTTATTTAAAGATTCACTTTAATCTCATAAAGAGATAAAAGTTTTGCAGATTTATAAAGGTGATGGTAAAAAGACACAATTTTCAAAATCATAGAAAGTTTACAAAGATCTAAAAATAAAAACCAATCTCAATTCTGTCCTAACCAAGGAAAAAAAAGTTTAATATGGTCTTTTAAAAATCTTCCTACAGACATATAGTAGAGTCTCAATTGAGTTCCTCCTTAAGAACTGTGTATGTTTCAAAATAAAACATTACAGCACAGTAGATATATCACCTGTCCCTCAAACAGATAGGGTTGTCTGAGTATGTCTGCTGGGTAGTACTGGACGACAGGGGGGACTCCAGTGTTATCTGTGGCTCTGGGCAGGGAGACATTGACAGGCAAGGGACCCTTTCTTCCCATTGGAACCTTAAGGATGGAAAGACAAGGTCCAAACACTGGGGCTTGTTGATCTAAAAAAAAAATCATGGCCATGTATGCATGAAAAATAAAAGTAATTGATCAATCATTACTGATATAATTACGGTAATACAGTGAAATCTATTATGGGATATAGGTAAATTACTTAAGTACCATTGTCAGTACTCTCTACAATGTTATTATTTGAAATATTTAACCTGACATCACTACGGTTATATGACCTTGACACTGATTTACAACTAACCTTGACATTCCGGCGAGGCAGGTAGCCAGGAAGCAGTCACATCGCTGGAAGTGTTTTGTGCTACGCTACGTTTCTGTCGATGTTTCTCACCATGTTGCTCCAGGTTACCTCCCCTTAGCTGTGTAGCTATTCCCTGTACCAGAGATCTCTGGTAAATACTTCTTCTCCTTCTAATACTTCCTACAAAAGTTAGTATCCCATATACTATAGCAGGAAGTCATTAGTTTCAACCATCACTACTTTACATTTATTGATGAGAGGGCAGGAACCTATATACATGTACTAATTTTAATACATGTAACTTGCGACTACATGTAAATTGCTTGTATGATAATGCTTACTAGTATCCCCCTCTCTTTCGGAGCGGGGATATAAAAATTCTAATATATGATACATACCTTTTATACAGAGAAGGTTCTTGTCATCCCATGTATAGTTTGGTGCCATGCATAGAAAGCTGACATTAGGGTTGGTGAAAGGCCTTGATTGACTGACTGGGCAAGTAGAACTGATATGTTGTTGGAATCTCTGATACCCAGAATTCAACTTCTTATTAAACAAGAGCTTCAAACACTCCAAAGTACGGTTTATGTCCCATTCATACGGCAAAATACTCAAAGTCAGTTTGATCTACAATCCAAAACACAACATGTTAGCTCTGTAAAAATATGTATGTATAATAGGGACTCAAATGAGTTACTTCATGAATTTTAAGACAGAACTTTCTCACACCTGATTCCCGTAAATGTTGGCTTCAATCCCTTTAGTCATCAGTCGACACTCGCTAAAATTGGCTTCATTCTTGATCACATCATTCAGGTATCCCCTCAGCTGTAGTCTGAGGCTTCTCAAACAGGTCTGGCTGGGATCCACCACCCAGCTTATGTCGGTGGAAAAGTTCGATCTTAATACGGCTGATCTGTCTGTAAAAGAAAAGCAATTTGTAAGCACTGTACCTTCTTCAAATTCATGTCAAGATTTCTAAAGACTGAAAACTCTAAATGTTGTGACGTACCGTCAATACATCGTTGCAGTTGTTTATAGTAGAGATAGGAACCCAGACAGTGATCTTTCATATCCAGAGGGTCATTTTTTTCCCATGTCACGTTCCCACATTCCCTCGAGTTCTCTGTTGCCACCACTAGGGCCCCTGGAATGAACTCTCTACCCCAAAGGTGCCTGTGCAATTCCGTTGAAGCACAACCTGCATAATTTGCTTGCTCAGATGTAGCCATCAAAAGAACACTAACATTACCATATATTTCACTGAGACTGTTTTCACTTCGGAGATATCCAAGTTCACCGATGTTTTTGCTGATTGTTACCACCACATTATGATCCAGGCACATGTCATACAGGCGATCCCTTATAATCGTGACTTCTTGCCTCTCCAGTTGTTTCCGAATTGACCTTTGGAAAGCTAACCTACACTGAGACGAGCTTAAGCTTGCTGTAGCAACTGAGAAGGTCACCTTCATTTTATATTCTCTAGTTATCATGTAAAGCACAGGGATTCGATAGCAGCGCCGGGCTAGGTAATGGAATTTATAAGGACTCTGACATCCAATGTCTAGTGTATAACCTGAGTTCACATAATCTATGGTGTGACAAATGTTGGCAGGGATTGCTTTAACAAGGTTTGAGATGTTATTGGTAAAGCTATTATCCAGTAATGGTCTGAGACTGTTGTTGATGCAGTACTCCATGTCATCCACGGGGAAATTCCTGGACTGCAGCACAAAGGGCACCCTCAGTTTCATCTAAGTAAAACAACAAAAAACATTGACATTCTACACATGTACAACATGTCATGAGTATTTATATATCTGTATAAATTCTTAAAAAGTCAAAAGCCTTTTTCCCATCAGTAATTAAACTTTTACTAATCAATCCCTTCCTTCCAGAATAATACTTTTCATAACAGGTTTATAAATTCAAAACAAGTTCATAAAATTCATATAAAAATTTAAAAAGTTTATCAGAAAATTTAATGATGAGTCAAAGGTGCTGCATCTCCCAATCAGAGTGTTCTACGAGTGACAGTATGTCTGTATTCTAGTATCAGTAATGCAGCTAGATTTAGAACTAGTGTGAGGCACTGGCCAGGTGTAACAAGGTGCATTCAAATGTGGACAAGACCTTTATTCTCATGATTCCCTTTTTAGATCTGTGGGTATCTGTGAGAGTAGATGCTGCTATATTGTGAATATAAAATCAGTTCTCAGCATGATCAGGATTCTCATGCAAAGTAAGAAACAACTGCTTTTTCAATCAATATAGCTCTTAAGCTAGCACCATAAGTCGTTTCAAGTTAAGTTTAGTTTATATATCATGCTTCAAAACTCTCTTTCTTTTAAAATGAAAATTAACAGGAGGCCCATAGGCCACAATGTTTGAGCCACCTTGGAACTGCCATTTCTGAGGGGGGGGGGGGGGGGGGGGGATCGATCTTTATTCCAGTAAATCCAGTAAAAAAAAATATTGTGGGCCAACATACCCAAAAAAGTTTATGATACAATAAAATATTAGCTTTTGGTCCTTTATTATGGCCCATCTCTGCCTCTATGAACATGATTTAAACCTTTTGAATTTTTTACACCACCTACGAATGATTATTAATGGCCACATAATATATTCTTATGAAGAAATTTTAAAAAATAATTTTTTTGTACACATTCAAATCTAAAATTTGTGCTCCTTATTGAGGCTCAACCTTTCCCTCAAGAATCTGATTTGAATAAACTCAAATCTACACTTTGTAAACAATTCTTTTGCCTAGTTGTTCTTGAATTTTTTTTAAAGATGCCAACATTCACTAATCCTTAATAATCTTTCCTGGAAAGAGGGTTACTGTGTCAGGCTCTTCATCTAAACAAACTTGATTTCCCTTCACCAAAGCATAATTTGTGGCAAGTTTGTTTGAAATTGATCCTGTAGTTCTATTTAAAAAGTCTAAAATGTGAAAATATTTAGAGACAACACAAAGCAGATGGATGCCGGGCACCTTTTGATCAGAAAAGCTCACTTGAAAAAATGTACAGTCACTGTGAATTCAAAATCATAGATGAATCATTCGTAGCAAATAATGTCAAATACAGAGTCCAAAAATTACATGAAGAAAGTTAGAATTTCAATTCAGTGAACTTCAAAATTCTCAAGTTAGCATTTAAAATAGATTTCATGCTCAGTCAGTCTAGGTGCACTCAGTGATAAATCTATGCAGTAGACCTATATAAATGAGGCCTGTACAAGTCTGCATAGAAACATGAGCCCAAGACATGCCATGCAGTCCAGGTATACCTTGTTTGGTGGGGTAGTCGTCTACAAATAAAGCCGTGTAAAATAAAATAAATTTTATTTTGATCCAGAAAAATCTCTGAATTTTAAACATGCTGACATAAAGCTATAAAATATGCTTACAAGATGATTTAATGATACACTTAATACCAAATAAATTTGATGAAAAGGATATTAATAACAATATTTTTTGTTTTTGTTTATAAGTACATTCTGCATCATGTGATTTAAATGGGTGACTAATGCTACTGCTAAAAACATATATTTTTTTAAAATGGTGTATAAAGCAAGCAGAAAGCTTTGCACAGATTAGCATGCCAAGTGATGAGTTTGGATAACAAAGCATTATCATAGAATTCTCTATAATCCAAACCCATTAAGGTATCGCACAAAGCACTTGCAATGATTGGATCATAAAAAAAATATACCAATATTTTTTTTTCTCCAAGAAAGTAACTAAAAAGAGATCTACAAGCCAGATTGAGATTTAGGGTGGATACACTGAATAGCTTACCGTTTCGTTCTCCAAGAACCTAAGATCAAACTGCAGAGACTGCAAAGGGAATGTGTCCAGTCAGTTGTTAGTTTTTAACATTTATCTGAAGAAATACTGCACAATGGGTAACATACAATCTCCCGGGTTGATTTAATAGCTTTTATTTACCCAGTGCACAGTTCTTTGTCATTTATGATTATTATACCTCTACTCAGGCTCTAGTGATTTTTTTCCTTATATAACATTAGATCGTTAGATGTGACTAATTCACTAGAAATATTTAAGAATGGACTTATCAACATGTGTTAGTCAAGTGAGCTAATCCCTGCTTCGAAAACTAATTTCTGGTTATCCATATTCCTCTAGATTTTACTTTTACATTGGTATGATATGTGAATGGACTAATCCCGTGCGTTAGATCACTGAGCTAATCCCTGCTTTGAGATCAGGCTATCTGAATCCTCTACATTTTACGTTTGTATCGGTATAATAAAACAGTTAAAAGTATATCTAGTGGGAGTTAGCAAGATTCCAGTTCCCCTCAATCAAGACTACTTCCCTCCACTTTGCATCAGGAAATAGTCCTGGTCTTTGGGAACTGGAATCTTGCTAACTCCCTAAAGATATACTTTAACTGTATATTAAATAATGCAAGCAATTAAGCACCATGCAAAGAACCCAGAATTTCAACTGTCACACAAGCTGAAGGATGAAAAAAATCTTTTGTACAATATGTTTCTGATACAGTATTCAAGACAGCCAATTTTTGTCTTTTAGAACAAAGACAATTTTAAGACAGGCCCTTCATAAGACAAAGGGACCCCCTCCCACCCCCATTACCCAAAATTTAAAGAGCAGAAAAAAGTTTCAGGTATGGGATAAGACCATTAAATTCATTAAATTGATTTATACTCCCAGACCTTACTCCACAGATGCTTACTGTATTTATGCCAAAAAAATGGTTGATATTGGTTTGACTGTTCCAGAGATAAATTCAACATATTAAAAAACTCTTATTGACAAATGGAAAATGATGCCTAATGCACAGCACAAACACAGTTCGGTTCTGTTATGGGGAAAAAATCCTTTATTCTAAGCAGCCTGCTGAAAACCTAAAGCAACTCTGCCATAACTAGATGTTGACCTCAAGTCAATCTTAAGACGAAACAAAGAGCATGCAGATAAATATAACATTTTGAATGATTTCCAAATGCCTCCTTTTCTTATTTATTTTATACACTCTTATTCTCTTCTTGGCATGCTTTAGTAGTAAGAAATAATTAGTATTTTTCCAAACAAGTAGTAAATGTCAACAAGACGAATGAAAACTTGAATTTGAGGCCACTTTTAAAATGACAGACCTGGTTTGTCGTTGGGTCGTGAGAGAATCTGGACATGGTGTTGAGGAGCTTGACGTCTGTGATGTGGTCGCAGTCTGGTAAGTGAGGGAAGATCTGTTGAATAGCCGCACTGGTCTGCTGGACGGCCTGCTCTACATCTTCACGCAATCTCTTCTTACAATCTTCTGTTAACCCCTCACTTTGTAGGGTGAAGTTATACTCCAGGATAAAGAATGGAGTCTGGTCTGGTTCAACTGGAAAATGGAACAAACATTAGCACAAAAAGGAACACTGGGGAATGAAAAGTAGACATGTATAAACATATAATTGATACTTATTTATTTGCCGACTGGGTAGGTTATGAAACTCGATATATCCAAAAAAGGGGGGTTTACAATTAATCATGAAAAATACAGTAGTCTTGCTTTGGATGGAGAGAAAGAGTCAAAATACAACAAGGTAGATTTCTACAATTGTCATATTAATATGCATATCATGCAGCATGCATATCTAAAAGGGACAGAGGAAATTGTAACCAAGAAAACATGCATCATTCTACTTAAAAGAAATATAGAAATACATGTAATAATTATAAAAACAAATCTGTATACATAATTTTTATAATTTGCTTGATTATAAATGAACACATGATCATTCTGGAATATAGAAGACTGAAATTTACTTCCAGTCCACTGAATTCTAAATAAAACAGACACAGGTGTAAACAAAATGTACATAATATGTATGGAAATACAATAAACAAACACCAATTTATAAAAAAAAATAAAATAAAAATAGTGACAGATACGAAACATGAAGCCGTTTGTTAGCTAACCAGGTGTCTGTGAGGTGGAGGTCGGAACCACAATGCTGGTAGAACTCGGGACAGTGGTGGTGGTGGAGACTACAGGAGTGGTGGTACTGGTGGTTTCCAGTCGTGGTACCGTCTGTATCACCACCTCGGGCTGGGTGTCGGCCCGTGAGTCTGGGCGGTAGAAGGACGCCGCCAGGTTCTGGAGTCTCAGTTTACAGAGATGCTGGGCTGCGTCATAGCTATAGTTGTCACTCCCGCACATCCAGGTATACTCTTTGGACAGTGTGCGACTTGAGAAGGGATAAATAGAGGGACAGGGTTGATTGTTCTCAATTTCATTAAATAAACTCTCTACTTTGGAGTTGATGGTGCCATTGACAGCCATAGCACAAGTTTCCACTGGAGTCTGGCTACCCATGAAACCAATTTTCAAAATGAAAATAAACTGGAACAAGAAATTAATTGCAAAATTTGAAATTTAAACATACTGTGATCAAGAAATGTTTTATATGTGGAAATTTTTTTGTGAAATTTGTGACATTAAAGTTTCATTAAATTTACTGTTTAAAAAATATGTATTTTTAAAAATTCAGTAATTGAGATATTGGAAATCCACAAAACTTCATATTTTTAGAATATTATTGGCTAATCCATGCCTTAGAGCTTTTTTCAGGCCAGTTCTTACCTCTTGGTATGGATCAGTGATGTAGGGCCTCTCTCGAGTTACTGACAAAGTAACCCCTTTACAGGATTTCCTATTAGCGGAATCTGCCATTGCATTATCAACTGCTTTTCTGCTGCTATCAAGATTGCTAACATATACATTTTCCAAACTCTGTTGGCAGGTAGTATCTTGAGGATATGCTGGATATTTGTAAGTCCAATAAATCCCATAATGCAGAGGTAGAAGAGCTAAAAAAATACATGCATACAAATTGTCTGTTATGGAAACCAAAATTCTGCATTGAAATCAGACATTTCTTGGTATAATGTGTATTTATTTTTTTTTTTATACTTATCCATGAGTTAATACTTATTTTAGTCTAAGATGAGGTAAAAATGATTTTCAAAAAAAAAATATATATAGTCTTGCAAATTTTTATATTGGACAGGTATCAAAATGGACTGAGGGTTAAATTCTGATTACCTGACTTGTTCACCTAAAGATCATCAAAATTTTTTTGCCAGCTTATTGAAACAAATTTAAAGATAAAAAAAACACAAACATGTAAACTTTTATGTTGAAAAGCCCTGTCATGCTAATATTTTCCTGTTACAATGACACAAGATCACTGTACTCTTACAATAACTTATGATAATCCACTGACTCTACAAACAGGCATCACTTCATGCTCATCATTCCGACTTAATTCTGTTACATGTCAATCATGCTAATTGTTGATTTCATATGTATGCATGCTTTATTGGGAGACATATAAGACACATACAAAATATAAAAAAAACCTTGGAAATAGCATATTATGTTAAGTTAAAATTAACCTTAAGACCTAACAGATGGTAAATTTTGAACTTTATCATTGGTCATAGTTTAAGACTTTTTCATTGAAATGGCCAAATATTTGTTACACACTGAACTATGACTGAGAAAATAATGCAGCTAAACCACTAAAATCTACACAATGCAGTGGATTCTCCATTTCTTCCTGAACTATTTTACCCTATGTTAGACAATTTAACCTATGTTAGATAAAACTATAAAATCTTACAGGCAGCCAATGTTGTTCCTGGTGTTGTTGTTTCAGCTATCAGTGGTTCGGTTGTTGTTGTCTGTGCAGTAGTAGTAGTAGAAGTTGTTGGTACATATGTGCTTGTGGTGGGTGTTTGAGAAGTATTTGTGAGTGAAATTGTATAAGACAAATCAGAAGTTGGAGCCACTGTTGTTGTGGTTGTTGAAGCTACTGTTGTTGTAGCTGTTATTTGAGCCTCTGTTGTTGGGCTGGTTGTTGTTCGTTGTTGTTGGAGCCTCTGTTGTTGTTGTTGTTGGAGCCTCTGTTGTTGTGGTTGTTGTTGGAGCCTCTGTTGTTGTGGTTGTTGTTGGAGCCTCTGTTGTTGTTGGAGCCTCTGTTGTTGTTAGAGCCTCTGTTGTGGTTGTTGTTGGAGCCTCTGTTGTTGTGGTTGTTGTAGGCACCTCTGTTGTTGTAAAAGCCTCTGTTGTTGTTGTGGATGTTGTTGGAGCATCTGTTATTGTAGGAGCCTCTGTTGCGATTGATGTTGTTGTTGGAGCCTCTGTTGTTGTTGTTGGAGCCTTTGTTGTTGTTGGAGCAACTGTTGTTGTGGTTGTTGTAACAGCCTCTGTTGTTGTTAGAGCCTCTGTTGTGGTTGTTGTATGCACCTCTGTTGTTGTGGTTGTTGTAGGCACCTCTGTTGTTGTGGTTGTTGTTGGAGCCTCTGTTGTTGTGGTTGTTGTTGGAGACTCTGTTGTTGTTGAAGCCTTTGTTGTGGTTGTTGTTGGAGCCTCTGTTGTTGTTAGAACCTCTGTTGTTGTGGATGTTGTTCTTGGAGCCTCTGTTTGGGTTGGAGCCTCTGTTGTTGTAGGAGCTTCTGTTGTTGTAGCCTCTGTTGGGGTTGTTGGAACCTCTGTTGTGGTTGTTGTTGGAGCCTTTGATGTTTTTGGAGCCTCTGTTGTTGTTTTTGTTGTTGGAGCCTCTGTTGTTGTGGTTGTTGCTGGCTTTTCTGTTGTTGTGGTTGTTGTGGGAGTTTCTGTTGTTGTGGTTGTTGTAGCAGCCTCTGTTGTTGTGGCTGTGGTTGTTGGAGCCCTTGTTGTTGGAACCTCTGTTGTTGTGCTTGTTGTTGGAACCTTTATTGTTGTAGTTGTTGTTGGAGTCTCTGTTGATGTGGTAGTGGTTGTAGCCTCTCTTGTGGTTGTTGTTGTTGGAGTCTCTGTTGTTATTGGAGCCTCTGTTGTTGTGGTAGTGGTTGGTGCCTCTGTTGTTGTGGTTGTTGTTAAAGCATTTGTTGTTTTCAATGTTGTTGTTGGAACCTCTGTTGTTGTGGTTGTTGTTGGAGCCTCTGTTGTTGTTGGAGCCTTAGTTGATGAGGAAGTTGTTTGAGCCTCTGTTGTAATGGTTGTTGTTGGGGCCACTCTTGTGGTGGTTGATGGAACCACTGTTGTCTTGGTTGTTGTTTGAGCCTCTGTTGTTGTTATCTCTGTAATTCTGGTAGTTGTTGGAACCACTGTTGATGTGGAAGTTGTTGGAGCGTCTGTTGTTTTAGTTGTTGGTGGTGCCTTTGTTGTTGCTGGAGCTTCTGTTGATGTTGGAGCCTTTGTTGTTGATAAAATTGTTGAAGCCTCTACTGTTGTGGTTGGAACTTGTGTTGTTGTTGGAGCCTCAATTGTTGTGGTTCTGGTTTGAGCCTTTGTTGATGAGGATGTTATTGAAGTCTCTGATGTTTGAGCAGTTGTTGGAACCACTGTTGATAATGGAGTCTCTGTTGTTATGGATGTTGTTGTTGGAGCCTTTGTTGATGTGGTTGTTGTTTTTGGAGCCTCTGTTACTGTGGATGTTGTTGTTGGAGCCTCTGCTGTTGAAGTTGTTGTAAGAGCATCTAGAGCCTCTATTGTTGTTGGAATTGTTGTTGGAGCCTCTGTTTTTGTTTGAGTCTCTGTTGTTTTTGTTGGAGCCTCTGTTGTTGTTGGAGCCTTTGTTGTTGTTGTTGGAGTCTTTGTTGTTGTAGCCTCTGTTGTTGTTGTTGCAGCCTCTGTTGTTGTTGTTGGAGCCTTCGTTGTAGTTGTAGTGGTTGGAGCCTCTGTTGTTTTTGTTGCAGCCTCTGATGTTGTTGTTGGAGCCACTGTTGTTGTTGTGGATGTTGTTGTTGGAGCCTCTGTTGTTGTGGATGTTGTTGTTGGAGTCTCTGCTGTTGAAGTTGTTGTATGAGCATCTAGAGCTTCTGTTGTTGTGGTTTTGCTTTGATCTATTGTTGTTGAAGATTTTAGCATTGAAGATGTTGTAAGAGTCTCTGTTGTAGTTGTTAAAGAAGCCTTTTTTGAAGTAAGATCTGTCAATGTTAAGGTTGTTGAATAAGGCTCTTTTGATTTTGTAGCAGCATCTGTTGTAACAGTTTCTGTTGTCTTGGTAGATAGTGCCTCCGTAGAAGTGGTTGTTAAAACTGTTTGTGAAGGTAAAAACGTTGTGGTTGATGCTTGCAATTCTCCTGTAACTTCTGTCATTGCCTCTGTGGTTGCTGTTGTTGATTTTGTTGTTGCAGGATTAAGATTTTCTGTTGTACTTATTACAGTTGTTTGTATTGATGAAGATGTTTGTGGGGGTTTTGTAGATAAGTCTGAAACAGAGTCTGAGTAAGGAAGTGAAGTTGTGTTTAAGAACAGTGTGCTGCTTTCTGCACTAGTTGAAGTTGTTTGTTCATTTATAAATGTGGTTTTAGTTGTTATTTGTTCTGTACGTGCACTAGTTGATGACAATGTGTAATCTTGTGTAAATGTTACAGTTGTGACCACTTCTGCTGGTTCTTCAGTGGTAAGAGTACTTTCAGTCCTTTGATCCTCTGCTGCAGTAGTTGATAATATGGTTGCAGTAGATTGAGATGTAAGAGGTGTAGAAATGGTAGAAGTTATTTCAACAGGCTCCTCTGTATCTAAACATTCTTAAAATCAAACAATAAATGTCAAATGGCATGCAACACTTTATACTGGCACCATATCAAAATAAACTATTAGTTATAATCTACAGGGGAATGACCAGATAAAAAAGACCACAGCCAGAGACAAAGAAAAGATGCATATACAAATATAATTCTCATTCCACTCCAAGCAATTTAGTAACAGAAAATATCAACAATTAGTACTTCTAGAGTTACATAAAAGAGAAGAGATAATTTTTTATATGTATAGGATATATAAATCTTACCAGTGACTTTCCGACATGTAGGAACCAAGGCGTCGTCTTGGCAGCCATCCGTCCGACCTTGTAGAGTGAAGTCTGCTGGACATTTCCAATCCTGAACCCTCTCCAGAAACTTCTTCTCTGGTGTTGCCGAGTCTTTATTAGCCAGCGTTGGACAACCTGCTACAGTTATTTGCCAGTGTATACTTGCTGGTGTGCTCTGTATGATGTCTGATGAACAACTGCACACCGCTAAGCCAGAGCCTCTCAGTGTTATTGATGTCCCAAGAGTGATCTGAAAATCAACAAAAGTTGCAGCAAAAATAGCATGTAATGGTTAACTTTCAAAAGCAAACATTTCTACAAAGCTTTACCTCAGAGCCAGAAAAGTTTATCTTGCTGGAGTCTAAAACATCCAAGTGCACTGAGGAACAGGCAGGCAGGTTACGAATGCTTTCATTATATTTGGTCGCTAACACATCTCCGTATTTTTGGGCACATCCTGCATTGATGTTGTTATCTCCCTTGAACTTGACCTTTAACAACAGCAAGAGGTCAGGAATAGTGGTTTCCTCTGGTAAGGCACAAGTGGAATGAGTAGACCCTGAAAAATCATAACAATTAGTTAATTTTAACAGAGTTCTAATACAGGTAAGTCCTTCTCAACATAATTTTAATGCAAATTAGAATTCCTTTTTTCAAAGAATTCTAAAACAGGATAAAAAAGACTAATTTAAACAAGTGTAACAGATTTAACTGACAGTTACCTATGAGAGAGTAACCTTTCTGACAGGTGTATGAAATTCTGGTCTTTGGCCCTCCAAAGACCCCAGACATCCCTGGCAGGTCTTTCACCTATATACCACACAGCACGAAATGAAACGGGAGAGGAGAAATTGGGTGACCAGAACATTCCATCCCAGGCCCCCTATCCGGTAAGGTGCTCCAAAAGCTATCTAGCCACCACTATCATATTCTCTTAAATAAGCAGATTTAACTGACAATTACCTATGAGAGAGTAATTTCATCAGGTTATTAAATTTCTTCCAATCATACTTTTTATACACCACCATTGAAGGGCACAGTGGGTGTAGAACATTCCATCTCTGTTAAAAAAGTAGACAGTGTCATATTCTCTTAAATAAGCAACTGATACATCTTCTTTATCTCAATTTCATCAATTATTATTTTCTAATCATACTTTTTATACAGCTCTCCTGACTAAACCTGAGAAATACCTTTTTGTTCTCTGTTTACCGACACATATGTTTCTGTTAATAACTTAATACCACTCATCAACACAAGTGGTACTGTTACTACTTAAGTACACATATGGTGCTGTTACCACTCAAACATGTGGTATATTTACCCCTCACTTAAACATATGGTAAGGTTACAATCACTATGACCACTCACCTACACATATGGTACTGTTACCACTCCAAACTCCATTTCCTTGACAGTGCCTGACCTTTGACCCCATCAGAGTGTAACCACACTGGCAGCTATAGGTAGCCACTGACCCATAAGATACACCTGAATAATTCACAAATCCATGGACTGGCTCTACTGGTCTTATACATGTCTTTGCTAAAATGAAGAATAGAACAATGCATTAAAGTTACTCAATCTATGTCAATATATATTATTGTTAATTTTACAAAAATAGTTACCACTTACAGTCATCATTCTTTCACATAATCTTGTAAGATTTCAAAATTTATTGATAGTCAAAAATATATCCTATAATGAAAGTGATAATATCTAAAAAGTAATCTTTCTTTAACCCAAGATGACAAAAAATATCCCATACGTATGAAATTTGTGTTGTCATATCCAATTCATTAGTTTGTTAAGGATTTCAGACACACACTTTCTATAGCTGGGTATACAAAGAGTAACCTTCTGCAGTATATCCATGAAGCCTCAATAGATCTCGGTCATAGTAAACATAGCCATTCTCTAATGTTGGAAGAGTTTCACACAGTTGATCTAAGTGAAAGAAAATAACAGTGAGTCAAGTTTCAACAGCCTACTTTAACTTTGATACAGATAAATCATAAATTATATGCTATTAAGATGTTTATATCTTATATATATACTGAATGGTATTTAAAAAATTTAGCTTATTTATTTTAAAATTTTAGCTCTAAGGCATCAAGGATATTTGGATATAAATCTTTTTTTTTCCATTTTCTTTGAAAAATTACCAACAAAAAAAAATCATATAAAATAATTTCAACAGCCTAATTTAACTTTAATATGTAGATTATCATAAATTAAATGCTATTAAGATGTTTATATTTTATATTTAATGAACGGTATTTTAAAAAAATTTATAGGTTCTTTCAAAATCTAGACCTTAAAACAGTGTATATTTAATTGTTACCTATACAGCTGTCGATGTTATAAGACCACGTCCCATTGGCCTGGCAGTAGATGGTGGTGGTGTTCCACAAGGGAAGAGTTCCAAAGGGACAGTAGATAAACATTGAGGTGGGGTAGATATAAGTATTATCTGGCAGCTTGGTAGTGTTGGCAAAACCTCTCCCTCCATTGGACACGTTGAAGGCTGGACATGACACTGAAAAAGAATATCATTGGGTATCATAAACATTTAGCAAGAAAGTTAGATTGTTCAATATTGATTGAGTTATTATTTCACTGTCTTCCTTTTTTAATCTACATTTTCATGAAAATATAATACTGCAAACATATACAGTCATTATAAAAACTGCTTTTCTTTTAGGAAATTTTTAAAAATTCTAAGTCTACTTTATATTTCTTTACAAGAGTAATCAATACCTATACAGGTTTTGTTGGGAATAAGCACTCTTTGGTTCAGGACGATGACGTCATTTCCACTGTAGAGTTGATAGCCAGGTTTACATTCACAGATATAGCCCCCCACTGTGTTATTACACCGGTGATCACAAACATCACTCTCACACTCATTAATATCTACAAAAGCGTGCATGATGAATGTCATATTCCTAATTGTATACTATCTAATAGATGTAATAAAATTTATCATTTTTAGCTAACAACTTAAAAATTTATTACATATAATCTTTCATGCTTTTAAAATTTTAATAGCTACACAAGTTAATTTGTAAATTTTGGACTGGGGAAAGCTTATGCTCCATAGCTCAATGTTCAGAGGTTTATAAATAAATCTTTTAAACTGTTACAATTAACCCATTTAATAGTAGTATAACTTGGGTAGCTCGTAAATTCATTTTCTCTCATTAAGTGTAAAAAATAAGAAAATTTTCCTTCAAAAATGACTTAAATTGCAAAACATCTACAAACTACATCATGCAAAATGACAAATATTTGACAGGTCATATTGTGATGTAAGCAATGCAGGCTATTGCAATATACACTTATTTTTTTAATCCAATCAAATGACATTTTACAAATACAATAAAATTGAATGATCATATTTGAAAACTTGGTATGATAATAGTCTTGGAACTATCATACTTAACCTACATACCCTGACATTCGTTCGATGTTTCATTAAGTTTCTGGTAGCCATGTGAACATCTACACTGGTAACTCCCCATCACATTGTGACACATGTGGGGGTAACACAGGTCTCTATTCTCACACTCATTTACATCTACAAAGACACATTGTGATATGTGTGTAGCTGCATGCATGCATACATAATTAAGTCTTTTTACAATCATTAACATTTACAAAATGGGCTAATAAATAGATTATAATGCATTGAACACACACACATGCATACATAAGTCCTTTACAATCATTAACATTTTTTAAAAATATAATGCATTGAAACACAAAGCTCCATATTCTAAATATTGCTGAACACATGAAAAATGACAGATATCTTATATTTCAAAGCTGGATTTTTCTTTCCTATGCAGATCAAGGCCCTTGATTCACTTTGAAAAATGATAGGTGATAGCTTATTTGACATTCCAAAAGTTGTTAATGTTTCAAAAAACATTTCAATGGTACACTAGAATTGAAGTGAATTTTTAATAGGATTTACCTGTACAGGAGGGTAGATTGGACTGGTAGGTTCCATCCAGGTAACAGCTGACACTTTGGGGGCCTTGTAGTTGATAGCCAGGGTTACAGGTCACCTGGACAGAAGTCCCGCCCACCGGCTGGACCACACTGGTACGTCCATTACTGATAGGCAAGTAAGGGCACAGGGGGGCTGAAGAGAAAAACATCAGTATATATATATATATTGTCATGACAGAGTTTTGAAGCTATAAAATGTAATTTTTTTGTAGGTGAGGCAGAGGGGGACTGAAGAGAAAAAAGTTGATTTATTTACCATAAAATGAGGTTATAGCATTCATGCTTGTAAGGAATTGACACTTACATAATTTTTATCCCCTGTGACTTTAAAATATATTATATACTTAAAAGATCTAACAATTTACATATATATAACCAAATTTTTTGTTATAATTGTGTTTTAAAATTGTTATGGCACATAGCTTTAAAACACAATTTTTTAAGCTTTGATATAAATAAAACTAATATTACTTACGTGCACACTTTGGCATTAGTGAAGACCATTGTCCATTATCTTGACAAACAATTTCTGAGGCATTAACAAGTCGGTAGTTCTCTCTACATATGAAGTAAACCTTCTGGCCATAAGAGGGATCAAAGTCATAGATAATTGATCCATTCTGCAGACTGTCTAACTTTGGACATCTGACTTCTAAAATAAGAAAATAAACAGAAAGCAAAATTTATTTCTATCCATGATGGTGGTATTAAAACTGGTAAGAAAGAGTTCTTGGTTACAAACCTAATGCATAAACCTCTCACTTATTTCATGAAATGGCAAATTTTTCTATTGATATTATTCCAAGATTAGAGAACATTGATTATAGGGTAACACACTTGAAAAATTGACTTACTTTCACACTTAGGAACAGAACTCCACTGCCCATTTCCTTGACATTTTGAGGAAAGTGGGTCGAGCGAACGATACCCCACATCACACTTATACTGAACCAGTCCTGTGTAATACGAGGAATTAGACCAAGTTATGGCTCCATGGTTGGGGACAGTCGGTGATCCACAGTTTATTTCTAAAAACAGACCAGTTCATGATCAATTTGTTTAAATTCTGGAATTTCTTACAAAATGTATTTCAAAAATAACTGTATGAAAATTTGTTAAGAAGTACTTAGGTGATCATCTTTATAAAAAAAAATATTGCTTCATAAAATATGGTAATTATTAGTAAAGCAGAGACTTTATGTACTACAATGTCTAAAAGGTTACAGATCAATAGAACCCTTACCTTTACAGGTGGGCAGTGAGTCTGACCAGGTTCCATTTATATCACAGATGAGAGTTGTGGCCCCTTCCAACAGGTAGCCAGTATCACAGGTAAATTTGACAGCAGTCCCATACTCCACTCTCAGACTACTCACATGCAGGTGTTTGGACAAGTTCTCCAACTTTGGACAATCTATATTTAATAATTTTAACTTATTAAAACGTTCATTTACTTGTTTCATATCTAGATTAATTTATGTTTTTTATATTGTATTTCCATTTCCTACACAATAACAATTTGTCTCAATTAATAGAAGATGAAAAGATATTCATAAAATTGGTTTCAGAATACATTAACATTGACAACTTTCTGATTTAATTTAACAAACACAGCAATAATCACCGTATGATATGGTAGCTCCCCAGCCTGGCCTTGATACAAGGTCATCTGAGATGAAGGAAATGTTGAAATGACCTTGACGTGAACGTGTGACAGAAGGTCCATTGGTCCCAGAATATCTACTTATCACAGCACCAGGTTCCTCTGACGAGGATCCATTTATAAGCTATAAAAAGAACAGAGGCTCCATGTCAACATTTGAAATTTAATATTTCTTAAACTGAATGTAATACAATGTATATTTATTAAGTTTATCAACTTTTTGATAAGTAAGTAGAAATAAAACTGATTTTAAAACATGGTTGAACTTCATTCTTAGAAAAAAATAATAATACTTTGCTTAAAAATCAAACTTTTTAAAATGTTTGATAAATTAACAACACTTTTTAAAAATATTTGATTAAATTTCGTAAAAAAATTTATAATAAAAAATTAAATCCCACACGAAATTTTATATGACTATATATTGAATAGGTTTACTATTAAAACAACGAAATTAAATGCCCACGAAACTATTACCGATGAACGAAATTTTATGCCCACGAAAATTTGTGCTTCTACAGTAGTTTAAATTTTATCAAATAATTACTGTTAAAACATCAAAGTCCACTTCGGTGTCGAAGTTGTCGTCAAATACGATGGTGAGTTGTGTATTACGTGGGTTGGTGATGAGCCATGAACACTGAAGACTGAGTGGATACGAGGCTCCCAGTTTGTAGCCAGGAGATGAAATAATGGCAGCTTCCTTGTTTATTATGATATTATTGCACCCTGAATAATAAACAAATGTTAAAGGAATAATAAACCAATGCATTTTTATACTTTCTGCTTTTTAAGTACATGTATATGATCTATAATCTTTTGATATGACCTTTGCTTGATAAGACTAGATATTATAGACAACAGAAGAGCTTTATTAGTGGAATAGTCTTGCCACTTCAGTGGAGGGGTAACATGCTTTTCTCAGGACTGACATGGACCTCAACATTTAAATGGAGGCACACAACTTTTGACACGTACCTGCTTTATATGAAATGTTGAATCCTCTCCCGACTTTCTCCCTGTCGGCCTGGAGCCGAATGAAGAGACAGTGACCAGTAGAGATGATAACGGGAGGTAAAGTTTCACCGGTGTACCTCCCAAACAGAGCCGAGTTCTCCGTGTCCCCATCTCTAATCTCCACCCAGTCCCCTGACCCCAGGGAAATATCCTCAATCTACAACATGAAACTCAATCTAAGCGTTTCCATTTAATGCATTTAATTCTAGGAAACTGCATAAAACAATGCTGTTGCAGTGAAATATATAGTTCTCATAACTTCTTGGGGAATCAAATGTACCATGTGCTTATTGTAACACATTTTTTTAAAAACTACATTACACTTCTTAACAAAAAATGTCAACACATCTGAGATATCTTAAGCTAGCTTCTTTCTCAGTTATCTTTTATTATTCGCACACTTTACTTCTTCATCTTTGCTTTTCAGTTTGAACATGCTTTGGTATTTTTTTTTATCTACTTTTGGAATATAGTACATAATCTTGCATTTAAAAACTCGTTTAAACTTTTTTCACGTCATCATCCGTTAGATTCAAGTCATGTTAATTAAACCTGAAAATTAATGCAAACTTCAACACTTCAATGTAAATCTTCCTATTTTCCACTTAACTTAATCTCTTTTTTTCACTGACTGAACTTGTGAAAATCACTTTTTATGCTATTTATAATATAAGATTACATGGCTTTTAAAAGATGATCTATATTGCATTAACTCTACCCAGTTCACTGGCTTGCCAGTTTGACATAATTTACAGTCTGAGAATTGCTGCACAAGTCTGAGCCACACCTACCTGCTCTAAGATAAAATATTGTTGAGCAGTGATTGTCCAGAAAACCTACCTGTAGTGAGATCAGGTTTTGTTGAGCAGTGATTGTCCAGACACCTACCTGTAGTGAGATCAGGTTTTGTTGAGCAGTGATCGTCCAGTGCACCTACCTGTAGTGAGATCAGGTTTTGTTGAGCAGTGATTGTCCAGTGCACCTACCTGTAGTGAGATCAGGTTTTGTTGAGCAGTGATTGTCCAGACACCTACCTGTAGTGAGATCAGGTTTTGTTGAGCAGTGATTGTCCAGACACCTACCTGTAGTGAGATCAGGTTTTGTTGAGCAGTGATCGTCCAGTCACAGATGAGGTTGTTAACATACTGAGATTTCTTATAACCAGGGGAGGTAACCCACTGAGACTGGGATGTAGCATTCAATGTGCCACCACAGCCCTCAATGGCAACTACAAAATAAAGTACAACATTAAGTAAATTAACCTAAAATTTTTAAAAACTGGAATGAAAGATATAATTTATTTCCCAACATGTAAAAGCATGACCTAAGAAAGGTCCCTACAGATTTTGAGGTCAAAAGGTCATATATCATGGTCACAAATTCTATTTTAAAACTTTCCTTTTCATGCAATATCTTGAGAAACCTTGGAGATCTTGCAGTGAAACTTGATACAACATCCTATGGCCTGAGGAAGACTCCTATTTATTTTCAGGTCAAAATGTCAAAGGTCAAGGTAAAAAAAAAAAAACATTCTCAGTGTATGTGTGTAAAACTTTCATTTCAGGGCAATACATCTCAAGAAGCCTTTGCGTTTATGAGAAATTTGGCCTAAATATTTTACCATGGCTCCACCCTCCCTTCTTTATGTGCCTCCCTTGACCCCGCCTCCCCCCATCCATCCATGCATGTATTTTCTTTTCTTTTTTTTTCTTAAGCAGGTGGAAACAGATTCTCTGAATTAGCTTGCTCTATTAGACTTTGTAAGGAGTTAATTTCAAAAATTTTTTGCAGAGAAAATGTAAAGGAGAAAAGTGATAAATCAAAGAAATATTACAAATATATTAGAATATTGTTTCCTCTAAAGACCAGGATCCATATAACGTACCTGCTTAACAGATACACTAATGTGCTGCACCTGAAATCGATCTGCTTTTGACAACACTAATTACTGCTCACAATAATTAGGACACAAGTCAGAGCTTTGGGAGACAACTGAGGGGTTGTTGAGTCTGTATAAAAAGTCTTGTCATGACAAACGGAGACATCAGTCACAACAGCCTTACACGGTCTGTAACAGGAATGTAACAAGCCAGAAACATGAGGTGTGTCAACTCCAGGCCTGTCACCGGTCCACAGAGGATCATGTTAGACACACATTAAATCAACCTGCTCTCCCTCTTACACAAAACTTCAAACTTCAAGTCGCAGGTAACCATTCTGTTCAAATGTATCATAGAGATCAGGAGGCTTATCTGTTAAAAAGAAACTATTTCCAGTTCTATTTGTCTAACTTCCTTTATTTCTAAATCATCATTTTAAAAAAATATTTTTGGCATATGTTCCAGGAAAAGTCCTTGGCATAAAGTATATTTACAATCTGTTTCACTGAATTTACACAAAAAATTATTTAAGATTTTCCTTTCTTCAAATTCACATGTCTGCATGTACTAGTTTCTTTTTTGATATATAAGATATAAACCAGAATAGTATAAAACAATTTTAACTCTAACTGTATTGCAAAGCTTTAGACATGTTTTATAACTTAAACAGCTATTTTCACTTTCTTAATTGCACAGAAAATGAGAATTGTTTATAAATAAATACGCAGCATGCTCTTAGATTGTTGTGACACTCCCTGAGCCTTTAGTGCAGTGAACACAGATGCTGTGTAATTCTCTGCAGGAGGATTAACAGAGCCAATTCTCACTCCAACAAGTTCAAACTCAGAGAGCATCAAATTAATGTTTACGCCCAAAATTATAATTGTTCTATCTATTTCTTGAAAGGATTATCTCAAGGGTTTGAAGACCTAGAGCAGTAATTTGATAGGAGTGAAGAAAACACCTAACTAAAAAAGGCTCCACAGCTGACGGGAATCTCAGAATAAGAATTAGTGAAACCTTGTGAAATATTTGACAGGACTGTCAAATTATCAGGTGCTGGATTCAACTAGCCAGCCTAATCAAAGTCTAATATGAAAGTCACTGAACGATAAAGTACTGCACCTGTTCTGTTAGACTGCAAAATCAAATTTAAGGGAAACAAGAGGCCCAAGGGCCACATCGCTCACCTGAGCAATGTGGATAGGAAAAAAGCAGAAATCAGTTTATGGTTGAAAAGTTTAAACCCAGTAGTGGTCTAAACCAATCCTTAAAAGGGAGATGGTATGATTTGAACAAACTTGAATCTTCACTAACTAAGGATGCATGTATATTTCTTTGATTACCTGTGGCTTTATTGCCCTTCACATTTGAACTTACATTGTGGCCCCATCCTATTCCCAAAGGGGTCATGTCTTGAACAAAATTGAATCTACACTACCCAAGAATGCTTCCATATGAACACGACTAATCATGGCTTTGCTATTCTTGAAAAGAATTTTAAAGATTTTTTTCTACATGTTTCTATGTAAAACTTGGATTCCATGTTGTGGCCCCGCCCTACCCCTTGGGGTCATGATTTGAACAAAAATTGAATGTCCACCACCTGAGGATGCTTCCACAAAAATATGATCATTCATGCCTTTGTTATTCTTGAGAAGAAGATTTTGAAAGAATTTTCCTATATATTTCTATGTAACATTTTGATTGGCCATTGTGGCCCTGCCCAACCCCCAGGGGTCATGATTTGTACAAACTTGAATCTACACTACCTGAGGATGCTTCCCTACAAGTTTCATCTTTCCTCAGGCACCATGGTTCTTGAGAAGAAGATTTTTAAAGAATTTTCCTATATATTTCTCCTATATATTTCTACGTAAAACTTTGATCGGCCATTTTGGCCCCACCCTACCCCCAGGGGTCATTCTTTGAACAAAATTGAATCTACTCTAGTTAAGGATGCTTCCCTATAAGTTTCATCTTTCTTGGCACAGTGGTTCTTGAGAAGAAGATTTTTAAAAAAATTTCCTATATATTTCTATGTAAAACTTTGATCAGCCATTTTTGCCCCAATTTGATAGGATGCTTCCCTACAAGTTTCATCTTTCCTCAGAAAAAGAAGATTTTTAAAGAATTTTCCTATATATTTCTATGTAAAACTTTGATCGGCCTTTTTGGCCCCACCCTACCCCCAGGGGTCATACTTTGAACAAAATTGAATCTACTCTAGTTAAGGATGCTTCCCTATAAGTTTCATCTTTCCTGGCACAGTGGTTCTTGAGAGGAAGATTTTTAAAGAATTTTCCTATATATTTCTATGTAAAACTTTGATCGGCCATTTTGGCCCCACCCTACCCCCAGGGGTCATGATTTGAACAAACTTGAATTTACACTAGTTGAGGATGCTTCCCTATAAGTTTCATCTTTCCTGGCACAGTGGTTCTTTAGAAGAAGATACATAAAAAAAATTTCCTATATATTTCTATGTAACACATTGATCAGCCATTGTGCCCCCCCCCTACCCCTGGGGGTCATGATTTGAACAAACTTGAATTTACACTAGTTGAGGATGCTTCCCTATAAGTTTCAAGTGGTTCTTGAGAAGATTTTTAAAGAATTTTCCTATATATTTCTATGTAAAACTTTGATCCGCCATTTTGGCCCCACCCTACCCCCAGGGGTCATGATTTGAACAAACTTGAATCTACACTAGTTGAGGATGCTTCCCTATAAGTTTCATCTTTCCTGGCACAGTGGTTCTCGAGAAGAAGATTTTTAAAGAATTTTCCTATATATTTCTATGTAAAACTTTGATCGGCCATTTTGGCCCCGCCCTACCCCCAGGAACAAACTTGAATCTACACTACCTGAGGATGCTTCCTTAAATCTTTCCTGGCACAGTGGTTCTTGACTGCAAATATTCATTATTTCTTAATTATCTCCCCTGTGGCCCTCATTTGAACAAACTTGAATCCCCTTCACCTAAGGATACTTTGTGCCAAGTTTGGTTGAAATTGGCCCAGTGGTTCTTGAGAAGAAGTCGAAAATGTGAAAAGTTTACAACGACGACGACGACTACGACGACGACAACAACGACAGACAACGGACAAATTTTGATCAGAAAAGCTCACTTGAGCCTTTGGCTCAGGTGAGCTAAAAAATTGTTGAGCTGATTATTCCTTTGCAAATTTGAACATAATGTTCATTATTTTATTATCAACCATTAAATCAACATCAATAGAAAATGAGAATAGATATTTGGGTGTGTCTAAAAGTATGCAAATAATCTCTTTTTCTCTGTGTCATTAATGGCTACAATCAGTGTGAAATTTACACAGAATGGTTCAGTTCACCATCTACACAAAAATTCTCATCATGTACAAAATCCATTTATTTTACCACACTAATCATCTTGGTGTGCACTTTTTTCCATAAAAAAACCTTTTTTTTTTATCTCTGCAGGGAAAATAAACATGAACCATTACATAAAGACCTTTCTGTCTGAATTCATAAACCCAAAGTTTTGATCAACAAGGAAACTCTAACTGTCAGAATTCACTAAGACAGGACAAGATGGAGATAAATCCTATTTTCACTTTTGTACAAACATCTCCACCTCTTTCTCCAAGAAAAGCTGCCTGTTATTTTAAGAGATTTATAACAGTCAAACTGTTTTTTCATCTTATCTGTGCTGTTTTGGGTGGACCGAGAATCCAGAAATTGATAATGTTCAAAAATTGATATCAATCTTTCATTTCCTGATAAAGATTTAAATGTCAAGCTACACATTAGATTCTGCATGATGTCATCATTTTCCCCCTTAAGTATTCTTTGAAACCATGCACCTAAGTAACAGTTTTTTTGTTCCTGCTAAGATTTTCAAATAAAATCTTATATGAAGCACCAAAATTTATGGTAGTATTTTTTTATTTATAAATGCATTCTAAATGACATTTTATGGTAGTATTTATAAAAGCCTTGTACAATATTCTCTGTTGAGCCCAGCCTGCTATTGTTTAATCCATTCTAAAACAGATCCCCTGTAGATTCCTCTCTCCTGCAGAGAGATGTACTTGGAGAATATTTATACAGGCTTGTGATTTTTTTGGGTGGAGCTGCTATTTCTTGCATGCCTTGGTAATCGATCATTGACAACAATAACACAAGTCTTTGTTATGCTGAATCGATGTCACAGAAAAGCTCCCAAGTGTTGACGCAAATTTTTAATTTAAACTACCCCCTCTGACTCCTACATGGGAAATAATCTATTTTAAGAAGTTGCAGTCTTTTGTATCGTTTGTTACACTTTCTGCATAACATAAACAATTAATATACATAAAGTAAGGATAAATTCCCACAAATACGAATTTATAATTCAATTTTATAAAAAACTCAAAAAAAAATTTTATAACCTTTTTTCATGGGAAAGAAATTATAATTGTATTCTATGCATATTGACAGAGTTATTTCCCTTGCCAACTAGAATCTTAATCACTTGAGAAAGGGAGGTCACCCATCACATTTAAGAGATAACATAACAAGAAGCCATTTAGTGGGGCCCTTTATTTCTGGCACACATCTGATCTGCCTAACTCCCAGTATCAGGAGCATTCTTCAGCAGCGGAATGCCCTTGTCAGTCCTGACATTAGTGGGGTCTTCTACAAGATAACGGACCCCAGAAGCTGCCATATCGTAGGAGAATCGTCAGTAAAATGTCATTTGTTGCTGGTATCTATTACAAATTCTATTGATAAGAAAGGCGAAAAAAAAAAATACTGAAAGGACTCAGGGTACGAATTCAAATTGATGGGAAAAAAATATTCTCATCAATTATAATACTTTATTTAAAGTATTTCTTGACATTGAGGAAGTTGTCACACCCAGCATAATTATTTCTTAAAAGCGTAGTACGTGAGCATGATTAAAATACGCCAAAATCTACAATTTTACAAGATACTGCCTCTAAAAGCTAGGGAATTATCATGGAATATCCATTGCCAAGACAATTTGAACAGAGACCCAAATGAAGCTGGTACTATACACAAAACATAAACTCAGCAAATAGATGCAGTAAATAAGGAAAGGGTGGGGCCCAGAAAGCACTACAGGTTTCCATGGTAAACTCCAAGGCAATCAAAGGAATGCTGTTATGCAACTACCACACGTTACATTCATGTAGTGAAAACACTTTATACTCTGTCCTTGATAAAGAACAGCTCTCAAAATCTTACAATGTGTTCATTTCAATATAAGTGTCATATTTATTAATCTTAGAACAATTTCTCTATAAAGCATGATGTATGCCTAAGCATGATGTACGGCTTTACAAAGCAAGTTTTGCTGTTTTCCTGAAAATGGTTTTATATTTTCCGTTTAAGTAAAGGTCAATGGCCTCATTCATGCCGATTGAAATATCTTTTATTTCTTGAAAGAATCTGTTATGTGATGTGTTAAAAAAGCAATAATAGATATTTTGAAAATAGCATATGTTTTATCAGAATATCAGTTAAATCATGATCATGCATTTCCTCATCTCAACCGCCTCAAGAGTACACATTGAATCATACAATCTAGAAGCTATAGTGGGACCTTAATAATGTGGAACTTGCATAAGGTCTAAGATACACTATATGAGAACTCTGGACCCAACTTACAAAGTTAATACTTCTAACAATCTGAAATATCAAGGGAACCAAAGTTTCGCTTTGAAAAGACACAATGAGGGACCTAAATCGGGCTGAGGGTACAACTTTAAGCTAGTAGGCTGGAACCTCAACAAAACTGAGGGTAAAACTTTATTCTAACAGGCTTGAACCTCAAATGAACAAGGTACACATCTTACAACAGGGTGGAACGGAACCAGGTGTACCCTTGTAACTTATGCAAAAAAATCAAAGGTACACTTTGTAGTTTGTACCTCAAACAATGTGGAAATACAATATGAAACCCAAACAGAGTAAAGTTAATTTTGGTTCCTGTAGTAATGTGATATTTCAATAAGGCTGAAGGAGCTATATTCAAATCACAAAATGTATATCTTAACTTAAAGTATAAGATCTCAACAAGACATAATGTAATATGCAAAAGGTGTAAACTTCACAAGCAGGTCACACTTTGGTACATCAAAGTGTCGGACCTTATAAAATAAAAGACAGTATTTAGCTGGTAACAAAATATGTGACTGTGAAAAAATGTCTACTAGTTGTACCTCAATTTAAGGTCACCTTCTCCCTCCGCCAATTTGGGACCTCAAAAAGGCGACACAAAAAGATATGTAAGTCACACATCTAACTAATTCTACACACAATATAATGCACATTTTGAATTCTGCACATGATTCTAGAACAAAAATTTGGTGACCTTGACTTTTGGTCCTATATTCAAACAGAGGTTCATATAATATAACTAATTATTGAAATAAAACATCTCTGTTCATCTATTGAAAAAAGAAGTTGTTATCTGCTAAAACATAGGAAATAGGTAATTCATTTTAGTGATGATAGCTAGGTGTTTCCCTAAACATTCTTCCAGTAACTAACAAGTGTCAGGCTATCTAGAAAAAGACAGATGCTTTTTTATACACATGATTCACACACTTTCACTCTGGAATCTCTGTTTATAGCTGCTGCATAGTAAATTATTTTTCCTAGTGTATGCACATGTATCACGTAATAACAATTCTACTCTAAAACTAGTTATATGCAAGTTCATTATTCAGTATGAATCTGGGGACTTTCAATGCATAGCAATTTATTTTTTATGCACTTTTTTTTTGCATTTATTAAAGATAATTTTCCCTGTAATTTTTTTGCTTCAAGACTTGCTGAAACTGTAAATCACATTATTTTTTACCAGACATATACCCCAATCAGACTCTATAAACTTAGACCTAATGAACATTTTATGAAGCGATCTCCATTAAATCTCCAGATGCCAGGCTTCTGTTGCTGTGAGTAGCTTTGTCATTTGACTTCATCAGGTTATTTCATCAGACACACCCTTGTTTTATTGATACCAGGAGATATCTAACACAATTAAAATCTTTCCACATCAAGAGTGATCCCCATCCCTCCATAAATAAATATCTCCCCACAGACAAAGGGGAAAAAGCTTACTGCAGAAAAGGTTTACTCCCTCTAATTAAATGCAGTCTCTTATTTATAAAGTACATAGTGTGAATTAAGCAAAGGGTGTTTCATCATGCCAAGATATTTAATAAATCATTCCACAAAAATTGCAGGGAATGAAGCAGCAGTTAAAAGAACTGAACTGAAACCAAATGCACTGGTATGCTGCAACTTTTTGGAAAATAACATTAATCATTTATTGTCAAGTTCACATCAACTTGTGCATTAAGAATATCAAATCTTTCAAACCTACTGAGTTTTATATATTTTGAATAAAGGTTGCATCCAATCAAAGATTGGGGATTTGCAATAATTTTTTTGATTTAAAAAAAAAAACTAACCAAGAAATAGAAAACAACCAAGCTACTATTTCTTGCAATTTTTAGGAGACAATAGAGCAAAAAATTAACCTTTTATGATTTTATCCCAAGCTTTATACATTTTTTTTTTAATTAAAATTTCAAATTTTGAACAAAAAATCCTCTGTAAAAATGAGTATCAACTGCAATACATTCTTTATTAAGATGATCAATACACAAGACCTATACAAATAAATTAATATACTAGTACAATGTATACTGTTAAGATTAAGATGAAGGTAAATAGCTGTGGTTTTCTCTTCTTTTTTTTTCAAATTCAAAAACCAAAATTTGGTTAAAACACCCAAACAATCATTAAAGGTCATCAATTAAGACATGAATAGATTTTAGGGAAGTCACCTTTTTTGTTACAATTAAGTTTCTGTCCTAATTCAAACTATTAATTAAAACCTTTTTTGATTCTTTTGAGGAATGAAGGGCACCTTCGATATCAAAGCCAATGATTGATGATAATACGTACATCAAACTAAATATTGAAATGTATGTCACTTATATATCATCCATGATCAGAACTTCTTTTGTAAAAATAAAATTCCATTATGTTAAATTATATATGTCATCTAGAAATGGATTAATGTTACAGGATATTAAGATTTATTGGATCTTAATTACATGTATTAAAAAAAATCAAAAACTAAGGAATGGTTCATAAAGCTGAGATTCCAAAACAATGATCCACTCTCATCACACCTTAATTAACTGTTCTGTATTTTACATCAGTATGAACTTGTGTTGAACAAAACTGATATATGTACCTTAAACCAATACTAATAAACCTGGCATTCAACTTCAAAATATATTTTCAACATACACTTATCTTTGAGAAAACAGGAGTCTTTCATTTGTTTCAGGAATAAGGTTATCAGCAATGGTTATTGTACAGAAAGTCCAAAGGACACATCTAAAAAAAATGTTGTGATTGTCAATATATTGTTTTATTTTTTTTAACTCACCTGCAAACCAGGTGACATTAAAGCCAGTGGTCTGATTGTCCTGATCCGAGAGAAACTTGACTACAAGGCTGTTACTGGAGGAGAGGGGAATTATGGGAATGCTGCTTCCACTGTAGTTTCCGACCAGCGGATCTAACATGGAGCGGCCATCATAAATGCTGACAACATCATAACCATTTTCTAAGTCAAAAGCTTCAAACTAAAAGTAGAAAAAGAATGTTCAATCAAACAAAATTTATATTCATATTTAGTGTTTCTGCCATGAATCACAGGCATCGGAACCGGGGGGGCTAGGGGGGGCTTAGCCCCCCACTTTTTTTCCAAATATATTACTTAGTATAGACATTGAACATATCTTCGTAGGTTTAGCCTCCCCACTTTCCACAGATACGTCTAAGTATAGGTTAAAAATGGGGAAAGTGGTGGTGTTTGGAAAAAAATTTTTGGTACTGAAGTTCGAACCTAACCCCCCCCCCCTCCCCCCACGAAATAGGATTTTCGTGTTTGGGAAATGAATTATTTCCTTTTTTTTTTTTTTTTTAATTGCTTGTTAGGTTTTTTTGAAGGTACAAATTTTTTTTTTTTACACTTAGCCCCCCCACTTTCAATTTGCTGCCGACGCCAATGCTGAATAACACTTCAACGAGATCTATTGTTTTCTTTTATGGATGGTATAGTAAACTCAGGTATATATTGCAAAGTCCATGGGACCCATAAATCCATAATTTGTTTTATCCATATATAACCATTTTTACTGTACTCAGAAAGATTTGTAAAATGAATTTCATCCAAATATTAATTACCAGAAAAAAGTTTTGCTGCACTCAGAAATTTGTAAAATGACCTGAGGGTTTGTCTTACTTGTAAATAGACTCTTGTCCCAAGAGGAGTATGAATGTCCCATTGACAGGATGAGAAGGGTGGGTAGTGATGAGGATAATACGGTGATTGGAATGTTCCAGTGTTTCCCTGATATGTATTGCCACAATAACCTGACAACAACAAAAATCAAAATAATCAAAATCATAATTGTTAGCTGGATTTTTTCATATATGTGTATCAGGGTTTCTACATTCCAGCATTTCTTTCTGTGACAACTTTTGTAGATGACCTGGAATGCAATCTATATTATATTCTCACAATTCATGGAACTTGCAGTCATAAAAGAATCCATTTTGAAAAAATGTCACTTTTTTTCTGACAAATTCTAAAACATCAATCAAATTCAAAATAATTGATCTGCTGCACTTTTAAAATTAAATTCCAGTCTGTTTTTTCCCTCCAAGGACTTTTAACAAAACCTGTCATGTGAAGATGCCTGGGCACCTAATATACAGAGAAATTATTGCACTCTTTCTCCACAAACTTAATTTCATTTTTTCTTTTCATTCCAAACTTTTTCTAGCAATATCACTGTGATTCAGCTTTCTTTTTTGTCGACATTTCAACTGCAAGTTTACTTAACAAGTTATCCTATTTCACCCTTAAAATCTAGACAGCAATGGTGCCCCGCCTTAAACTATAATAAAATCTGAGCCCCTAAATTACACAAAAAAGCAATTCTTATAGTTTCATTCCAAGATGTGTTACAGAAACTATTATAATTCTCTTGAACAGGACGGTGAACATTCTTACAAAAGACCACGACTAATAATGTCACATTTAGGAATAAATACCTGCAAACTTCCCTTTGCTAATAAATTTTAATGACTTAATTAATGCATCTGCATGTATAAAATTGCATGGGAGGTCTACTGTCTTCCAAACAAAATAGGTTATAAACATAAATAAGCACGTCAAGTATAATTCTGGACCTGTCCAATTTTAAAGTGTCTCTTTAAAGTGAGAAGGAAAAAAAAATGTACGAAGTGAGAACTTCAGAGTATCTAATAATCAAACTAGCATTTAGCCTAAAACTGTCACATTTAATAAAATGCTCTGCATCTGCTCCATTTGTTAAGTAAAGTACCTCAACCCCTTCCCAAAGTTAGTTCCCCCCCAAAAAGTAAAGAGTAAAATTAATCACATCCGAAGAACTAAAACTTTCACCTAATGCTACCCTCTGATTCCATATATAAAAAGATTTAATAGATTATGCAAACAAGCTTTATTCATTTCAATTAATTTCTCTGACAGAATACTTTTTTCCAACCTAACTATATCAACAGAGACTGCAATGGTAGCCTGGTGTATCTAATGTTCTAGCTTACTAGCAAGACTACACAGACATGTTTCTCTAAATGTACGCAAATTATGACCTTCATCTGCAATTCACAGCTGACATTATGACATTTCTTACAATTAGTTCACACTATTACTTATTTAAACCTTTCTTTATACTGCCAAAAGGATTTTTATATTTTTAAAAATTTCTTTTTCTTTTTTAAATGTTCCTTCAAAACCTTTAAATAACGTTAAGTCCCAAATACAAAAACTCAAGAATTTAATGACACTTGCTCATCATTTCTATTCTACAATTTTTTGAGGTACAAAATTTCCATAAGAATAACATATAGACAGAATACAGCGTTTCACAAAGAACAAATTTGGGCCCACGCCCTCCTTTCAGCTCCAAGTTTAGACAAAAGCCATTGACAAGCTCGTATTTGACATGTTTACCTTTCACAAGATACAGATACTACAGATAGGGACGAATCAAGGCTTTTAACAGCTATAGGATATAGAGTTTCTTTCTCAGATTAACGTGAAAAATACAAACAGATCCATGTACATCCTGGTCATTCATTTACCAACAAATTAAATATCACCCCAGTAGTGTGTGACAGAGAAAAATTGGGGTCTACTGAGTGTTGAGCAGGTTACATAATCTTTAAAAATCAATGGAAAAGCATTATCAAGATAAATGAAGTACTGAACAGGAAAATTATCAGTGTAAATGTTATAAATGAAATTTAAAAAAAATTCTAAATCACACCTATCATTTGTTCATTAATAACTTTTTTAAGTGCAAGATAAATCAAATTCATACCTCCACTGCTTCTATAAAAACGGGGGTAGTAAAAAGTTTAACTCTTTCATTAGATTGATAGATGTTGTAAGGTTGTAAACAAAGCCAAACCTATTTTTCTTTAATTAATGTCTTGAAATAATAATATCAAACTTGATTCTGGTTTAAGTTAATCCACAAAATGAACGTGCATTAAAACCCAATATGGACACTGTGAATATTATCCTTACTAAATTGAATTTACTCAACTTAACTTGCTGTAAATGATTTTTATCTGATGTATACAGTATTTGAAGAAATTGACAATTGACAATGAATATGTACGGGTACTTTTGATTCAGTACATTAGATATTGTACTGAGACTATCTTAGAAGGACTGGATAGATAATCAAAAAAACAAATCAGATTGGAAGTAAAACATGACTTAATGTCCAATCAACAGCCAATTAAGATTATCACAAGAATCTACCCAAGCAACTCAATGAACCAGCTGCAGATTACTATTCAAGCTTTCCATGTAACTCAAAGACTCAGGTTAAAATTACATGTGTACTTCCAAGCAGGACTTATGAACCATATTCAGACCGTAACATGTGCTCAATCTATATAAGAAGGACCCGTGACCCAGACTGAAGTCAAGTTTCTTTCAAATGAGGTGTTTACAAAAGTAAAATAACTTGAATAAAATTGCTAGGACTTCTCAAAGTGAAAACACAAAAAAATTAAAAGATTCATTCAAACTTACCTGAACAATTTTTTTCATCTGATTGGTCGAGACAATCGGCAACTCCATCGCATAACCAATCAGAACTGATGCATTTGCTTCCATCTTGGCAGCGGAATTGCTGCTTAGCACATGGCACAGTTTGGCACACAAATGGTAACTTCACTTCACATGGTCCCAATGACCAGCGATATTTACCAAAGTCACTCACGCTACGTACATTTATAGAAGAACACTGCTTGTGACCTACAAGGCACAAGAACATTGCATTAAGGAATATTATATTTTGTGGTATACATTTGGAAAATAATGAAATTCTTAACATTAGGTATATGAACACATCTCTTCAACATGTTTAATTCAAAAGGTTTTTCAATGGTAGCCCTTAACAAATGAAACAATGAAAAAAATTGAGTACCAAAAAGTTGTATATACAGCCACACTCTGGCTAAATGAGAGAAGTCACTTAATACAGTGAACTGCGGATTGTTTAGGCAGGTTTGACTGTATTTATGTTTTAGGCAAATTTTCCATTGACCATTTTCTATGTGTTTTTATCTAGTGACAGAACAACTACCAAAATCCTTACCATCTTGAAAGCCCAGTGGTTGATTGAGGGCCCAGAAGCCCCGTTCTACATTTGTCACCTGTCCATCACTCCATTGATACTGACCATTTTCATCTCTGAACAAACCTGTTAACAACACAATAAGTATAAGAATTTCTGAAACTTTAACATGTTTACTGATGACAAAAGTTCTTTTACTGATTGCTTTAAGGAATGCAATTCAAACTTAGGCTCAGAACCTTAATGAATATTCCTGAAAACTCTAAAGGAAATCTGTTTTAATGCATATATTTTGCAAAACTGTACAAGAACCACAATTATAGTGACAAATAAAGAAAGACATTTCCCTTTCCCTACTTCATGAAAATCAAATGAATTTTTTATGATTCAGTGACCTTTCCACTGCAAGGTTAATAACACCGAAAATGAATGAAATTTACATTGGAAAGTGTCCTTTCACTTATCATGTATTCCTTGTATGAAGTCAAAGCCCACAAAAATTTATCCCTTGTAAGAAATAGTTTCATACTTTACAATTATGTTTAGTAGAGATACAGTATCATAGGGTGTAGACCACAATATAAATTTTATAAATTAGACAAAATAACTTCTAGAAAAATAGTGTAATTTTGACCCATTTACAAAAAATCTTTGCCAGTTTCTGTATTAGGACCTACTTTTTCTGCCAGTTGGCTGTACTAGACAGATTATATTTAGCAGTAGCACTCTCTGAATGTCGATTATAAAAATGTCAGCTAATTATCAGATGTTTCTTGTCACCTACCAATCCAGAATTGCCCGTTATCCCATCCTTCCAGGGATACAAACTTGTCACTCTGCTGAAATTGCACATTTTCTATAAAATTTCCAATCTGCTGATTTTGATTAAATCCTCTTATTTTCAGCAGCCAACCTCCATAACTGCAAAAAGAAGCATATATTTTTGTACTATTTGAGTGCATACACATAAAATTGCAGTATAATGTTCATTTTAGTTAATGTAAAACTGATTTCCAATAAACTAAATTAGTACCGCATATATTTCCTTGGGGCATCAATTTATGAAAAAAATTCATAATTTTAGTAAAATGTGCTGCAGTACATGTACTTGTTGTAATGAATAAGAACTTTTAAACATATTAGCTGCTTTGCTTTTTATTTATTTTTTTTTTCACTCTTTTTTTTTTTAATACAGTACTTGTGAATGAGAGTGTTCACACTTTTTCACTTCAAGCCTGCTAAATCACATGGAAGAGAATAGCGGAATACATAAGGGTCATTGAAACAATTAACTTTAACAGATAACGCCCAAAACAATGTGTAAACTTATTATGCAGAAGAAATCCTGTTATAAAGTCATCAATCCTTGATGGAAAGTCTGACATACTTACATTAATTACATATTCTAACAGTGTGGTGCTAAGACTCCAAAAATAAGTGTTTTTTTTCTGATTTGAATTACAAAAATATGGTCATATGGATAAAAAAGACCCACCCCCACCACCACCACCACCACCAAAAAATTCAATTGATAGAGAAAGTATTTTTTTCCATTTCATAAAATGGTTATTTAGGGTGGGGTGTGACTGTCTTTAAAATATCATAAGGGGGAAATATGAGAATAAAAACACCTGATCAAAGATAAAACTTAACAGAGGGAAGAAAAGTTGATAACAAAATCTGCTTTAACAAATCTTCGAGATGTTTTAACATCATTAATAAGAGGGCCCTATCGTAAAGTCAATATCTCTGACAACCCATGACCACCAGATGGCGTTTTCATTTCTCATTCCAAGCCTGAAAGGTTCCAATTCATTACCAGGAGGATGGGAAGTCTTTGGACTTGGGTGGCCTATCGATATGATTGAATACTTTTGTCAGAATATAAAACAGCACAAGGAGGAAATAACAAGATTAATGTCAATTGTCAATATCTGATCAGCTATTGGTTTGATTTCTCCTCCACTCCTCTCTTCAAAATCAATATATAAAATATAAAAATTTTGAATTTTCAGAGTGATTCCTAAATGTAAATAAAAAAGTATTGTTTTGAAATTAAAATTGTATGGCCAAACAGTCTGTGACTTAAATTATGAAATACAAAAGGAGATTGATATCCTGTAATTAACTTAAGAATATGTCCCATTAATATTTCATTTAATTTTAGATAAACCTTGTTTCCATTTTTTTCTTTTTAGTTTGAATAAAAAATTAAGAACCCAAGTGACTATCTGACTTGAACCACTTACACTGTACATTAATTGAAAGTTACAGTATCTAGTAAGAGGGGTAAAAATATATGCCACCACACGTATTAGAAGGCACACACTTTTAATTTGTATTTGTGATGATAAATACATCCTGATCCTTTCTATTTACCTTTGACATAATGATTCTGCTTGAGTAAATGTTGCTAATTCTGCCAAAACCAGGACACACTTGCTTCCGACTTTACTCCACCCTGCAAAACAGTAGCACTTCAATTTACCTAATTATCAATGAAAGTCTGACAGGCGAAATTCAACAGATACAATTAGCTACACTCTGCCATATAAAACATGTAATTACTTCATGCTTTTTGAAGCATGTCACTAAAAGGGTAAGTGGTTCACTTACTTTATAACAAGTATCATCTGATATTTGTCTGCTAAATTTATTAAATGGAATGCTGTAATTTATGGCTGGGATTATAACCATATTGAACATGTTAAAGGGAAAAACAATAAAAATATATAAAAACTTAGGGAAAAGATTCTCTCCTTTACTCTCATATACACTGTTAAATTTTCAACACCATTTTTTAAAATAAGAGAATACAATGGGTCAAGAAATCATATTTCAATTTTGTTCATCACTATGATATAACACTGAATTTTGAAAGCAATGAACCCATCTGTTAATTTAACCTCCCCCCTCTTCTTACTCTCTGTCCACATAAATCTTAAGACTTTACTACTACATAATTTTTAAGGTTAAGACAAGGAATGAAATAAATCTGTCTGCAAATATCATGGACAGTATGTGACATTTTTTTTCTATATATTTGTGAACATCATAAACTAGAAATTTAATATTGAAATAGGTTCATTGTTTTTTGTTTTAAATTTAAACATTATTCAAAAAAAAAAACTATTTTAGTTTAGAACATTTACAATGGGAATGGGACACCAAGTGGATCCCCTTATAGGCAACAGAGCAGTCTATCTCAAAAGCACAGGTCTGTCTAACAAAAACGATGAAAATCTAATTAGTGCACTAACTGGTAAAATCGGTCAAATTCGGTCCATTTGTCAGAGATTTATTTTGGTTGGGTTTCAAATTTAATATTTTCTATCTGATCGTATTGATCGCTTTAACTTATAACAAAACACATTACCAGTAATAAAAACATTTTGTCGATCGTGATTGTTTTAACATATTTTCACCATGATAGGTCTAAAATATTTCAATGGGGCAGTACCAGGGAAGAAATTAATGTAGAAAAAAGAAGCCTCCGAAGGAATATGAGAAACACTGAAGAGACTACCTCTCAGAGGAAATAATTTCAAATTGGTTGAAAGTGTACAAAAAAAAATGAAGTAATATTGTCATGATCATTATATGATAAAAGTTTTAGACTGGTTAAAATTCATTTGATCCTGTGAAATTAAAGAAACTGTCTTTCCAAATGTCCTCTGGTGATTTTTTTCTTTTTCATGAAGACTGACTGAGACTGGTAAGTGGTAAATGGTACCTATAGAGAGATCCATATATATTGTAAATCTCTCTATATTTGTGAAGCCTTATTTACGTGAGATAACTTTAATTGTTTGAAAATAAAGTTCTCGTGAATAAAATGTGATCTACAGTAGCTAGTAGTAGTGTATATCATGTTTCATTCATGAAAACTTTTTTACGTCTCCTCACAAAAATTTCTTCCTTGCTTACACTTTATGCATTAAACAGTTTTTTATGAAAGTTTTCACTAGCTTGTAAATATATCTCTGACCAAAATAAGGGTTCACAAAAATTTGGTGATCTGCCTTGTTTGGAGAACCCTGTATATGGTATATGCTATATAGTCAGTGTTTTCCCTTTATTTCAAAGTAAAGGGTTAGAGATCAGTTGTTACAGGCAAGGAGCTGAGGTTTATGAACAACAAATTTTTATTTCAAAGGGGCATTTTTGTCAAATGAAGCAGTCAATTTGGCCGGTAGTGGGTTCTTAGGGAAAACACTGATGTAGTATTTGGAGAACCCTGTGTATGGTATTTGGAGAACCCTGTATATGGTATTTAACCCTGTGTATGGTATTTAACCCTGTATATGGTACATGTATTTGGAGAACCCTGTATATGGTATTTAACCCTGTATATGGTATTTGGGGAACCCTGTTAGGGCTGTATATGGTATTTGGAGAACCCTGTATATGGTATTTGGAGAACCCTGTTTATGGTATTTGGAGAACCCTGTATATGGTATTTGGAGAACCCTGTATATGGTATTTGGAGAACCCTGTATATGGTATTTGGAGGACCCTTTTTATGGTATTTGGAGAACCCTGTATATGGTATTTGGAGAACCCTGTATATGGTATTTGGAGAACCCTGTATATGGTATTTGGAGAACCCTGTATATGGTATTTGGAGAACCCTGTATATGGTATTTGGAGGTGGTATTTGGAGAACCCTGTATATGGTATTTGGAGAACCCGGTATATGGTATTTGGAGAACCCTGTATATGGTATTTGGAGAACCCTGTATATGGTATTTAACCCTGTATATGGTATTTGGAGAACCCGGTATATGGTATTTGGAGAACCCTGTTTATGGTATTTGGAGGACCCTGTTTATGGTATTTGGAGAACCCTGTATTTATGGTATTTGGAGAACCCTGTATATGGTATTTGGAGAACCCTGTATATGGTATTTGGAGGACCCTTTTTATGGTATTTGGAGAACCCTGTATATGGTATTTGGAGAACCCTGTATATGGTATTTGGAGAACCCTGTATATGGTATTTGGAGGACCCTTTTTATGGTATTTGGAGAACCCTGTATATGGTATTTGGAGAACCTTGTATATGGTATTTAACCCTGTATATGGTATTCAACCCTGTATATGGTATTTGGAGAACCTTGTGTACAATAAGCGCCTATGTGTTCTGGTTTACATTTACTAACCTTCAGGACAAGTTAGCCATGGTAAGTTTCTCTCATATAACTGGATTGTAAAGTCTTGAACAGAAACCTGAAAAACACAACACAACAGGTTAGTAAAAGTAACTTGCATTCAGTATGTTCAGCCATTGTCCATTCACAATGTGTTATTCTACTAATTTTTAAAACCATTTCATGACTATTGTAGAATGATTTTATTAATACTATTGCAATTTAAGATCACAACTGTTGAAAAGGAAAAAAAATGTCCACAATAAATAAATGGTCGAACATATTCACATTTCACAGAATCACAGAGAGCTTTCGATCTGCAGCTATCAGAAAATTTTTTAAATAATGTGGCTTATTAATAAAACAAAACCCAGAAATTCGTTTAAGACGAAATAGGAAATTTCCTGTGGTAAGTCCAACTCCAAGTCAAATACAGAAGTATGGTCAAAGTGGTAGATTGCTGCAACTAACCACCATCTACATGTTTATTTCCCTTCCCCCTCTTAACTCTAAAATTACCACCGGATGTTGCATTAAAGTGCCGTCTGCAGCACTTTCGGTCTAAAATAGCAAAACTTCTTATATCCGGCTAAAAATGGAATATGGTCTGGATGCATGTACAAGAGCCCATGGGACACATCGCTCACCTGAGCACTGTGGCAAGGAAAAAGTAGAAATTGGTTTATTATTAAAAAGTTTAAATATAAAGTAATCCCATGACCAATCATGGCTTTGCTATTCTTGAGAAGAAGAATTTTAAAGAATTTTCCTATCTATTTCTATGTAAAACTTTGGTCGGCCATTGTGGCCCCGCCCTACCCCCAGGGGTCATGATTTGAACAAACTTGAATCTACACAACCTGAGGATGCTTCCATATAAATACGATCAATTATGGCTTTGATATTCTTGAGAAGATATTTTTAAAGAATTTTCATATATATTTCTATGTAAAACTTTGGTCGGCCATTGTGGTCCCGCCCTACCCCCGGGGGTCATGATTTGAACAAACTTGAATCTACACTACCTGAGGATGCTTCCATATAAATATGATAAATTATGGCTTGGCTATTCTTGAGAAGAAGACTTTTAAAGAATTTTAAATATCCTATATATTTCTATGTAAAACTTTGGTCGGCCATTTTGGCCCCGCCCTACCCCCGGGGGTCATGATTTGAACAAACTTGAATCTACACTACCTGAGGATGCTTCCATATAATTATGATCAATTATGGCTTTGTTATTCTTGAGAAGAAGATTTTTAAAGAATTTCCCTATCTATGTCTATGTAAAACTTTGGTCGGCCGTTGTGGCCCCGCCCTACCCCCGGGGGTCATGATTTGAACAAACTTAACTTGAATCTACACTACCTGAGGATGTTTCCCCACAAGTTTCATCTTTCCTGGCACAGTGGTTTTTGAGAAGAAGATTTTTAAAACATACCATCAAATTTTCATTAATTCCCAATTATCTCCCCTTGAATGAGGGCATGGCCCTTCATCTGAAAACAATTGAATTCCCTTCACCCAAGGATGCTTTGTGGCAAGTTTGGTTGAAACTGGCCTAGTGGTTCTTGAGAAGAAGTTGAAAATGTGAAAAGTTCACAGACAGTCAGACAGACGGACAGACGAACGCCGGACAAAATGTGATCAGAAAAGCTCACTTGAGCCTTCGGCTAAAAACTAGAGGGGCTTCATAAATAAAGAAGATTTTTCTTTAAAATGTAGAGTCTAATTAGATTATGTTGTTAACAACATGTTTTAATACAAAAATATTATATCAATCAATTAAAAAATATGAAATATTTTAAAATATCTATAATCATAAGAAAACACCTTACATGTATTTAGCTCAGTGACACATGCACGCAAAATTAATATTTTTAAAAATTATTTTGTTTGTTTGTTCGTGCGCTCTTTCTTTTTTTAATTTGTTTGTTTATTTATTTTATTTTATCTATGTTGAAAATTATTTTGAAGGTTATAGACGAGCGTGTATGTAAAATGGTCACGTGCAAATGTTTGTAGACACGAATACCGTCCCTAAGTAACCCTATATTTTCATAAGGAGTGAGAAATGGTCTTATTCTACGTGTGGTCATCATCGACAATCTTTATCAACATCATGTATAAAGATGGTGGTCATACCCCAAACATTTTGTCAGCATATACCATTCATTAGAAAGCCAACTTAATGTACGATCTCTTCTCAAATACGTTTGATGAATTTTAAATAAAAGCCCCCCCCCCCCTCGTTGAAACTGCTTCATATATGGGCCTTTGTCGAAGGAGCGAAGCTATGGTTTACAAATGTGACGAATCTATGGACTGTACCTGTCTATGGAAGAACGAATTCAAACCCTAAACAAGAGTATAGACAAAGAAAAAAAAATACAAACTAATACAATAATAATTACTCCAACTAGAATGCTGACAAAATTTTTCATGTACACGACAATGTAGATCGAAAACCAAATAATGACATTGTGTGCAGTGAACACCCCCATGTTAAACCATGACTGTATTAAGGAAGCGGCTCGTTTGAATCGGGATGTGACACGCCCGACTCCAGCGGAAAGATAAACCAAATCAAACAAAGGGCCATTTCCGAGTACATGTAGTTCTTTATACCACCAGTCTGATTGTCAAAGAATTTTTTTTACAACAAATTCAGAAAGGAAAAACATTTTTACACAAAAAAAAAAAAATAAAAAGAAGAGATATCGAATCTGCTGCACGGCTGGAAAATCTGTTTTTTTTTTAATTTCAAACAATAAGTAAATAAACGTGAACGAAATAGACCTCCCTAAACATAACCACAATGTTCGCACCTGTCTTGACCTGTAACCCTGACCTATGATTTACCATGCTTCATTTTTTTGAACTGGTCCTCAACAAACTTGATATAAACTCTTTGAAAGTTCATATTTTATAAAATATATACATGTCAGTAGTTGTGCTAAACAAACTAAATCACGGACAGATCCAGCATATATATGGCTAATTTAGAAGAGATCTAGAATAAACGGCGCGATAAACACTAAACAATATTCTAGTATTTCAATGGGTGGGGAAGATGTTTCTGACAGTGGAACAAGATTTGTGGTAATTTATATATTCATATTCTATCGCACGAAATTCGACGAAGAATCGGGTCCACCCATCAAGTACAAAGCTTTTCTGCATCGTTTGGAATTTATTGCTTAGCGCGCGAAAATAGATATCAACCACAGAACATCTTTCTTTTTGTAAAATAATTGACCCCTCAGTTCACTCAATGCTTCTAACAAGAGAAATTTTTACTAACCTGCTAACAAATGGATGATTAATAGAGATCGATTAAAATTTAAACAAGATTGCTGTATTGTAAATCATTGGTACAGTAAAACTTTTAAAATTAAATTAAAGTGAGTGCGAAGTTAGTGATTGTTACAAGTGTCGTTTACTGATTTAAAGTCGTGTACTTGCACTTATTTTTAATTTTCAAATAAAAATCAGTACAAATCCGCTAAGTTTGAATAATTTCAGGATATCTCCAAAAATCAAAACATTACTGTATTCTGAGAAGCTCTGATGCATGTCAACAAGATGTTGCATTTTAAGAATAAACGTTGCGTGTCCTTAAAGTTAATCTTTACATGTCCAGTGTTATAGTGTGGTAGTATTTTATAGTAAACGTATACTTAACAGGCTTTGCATAATCCATAAAGACATTAAAAGTTATGCTTTAATGAATATGATAACAAAATTCGTAAATTGATTGAAGATGATTGATTGATTGTATATTGTTTAACGTCCCTCTCGAGAATTTTTCACTTATATGGAGACGTCACCGTATGCCAGTGAAGGGCTTCAAATCTTGACCTTTACTCGGCATTCAGGGCCATTGAGCAGTGAGGGATCTTTATCGTGCCAACGCCTGCCGCTGACACGGGGCCTCGGTTTTCAAGGTCTCATCTGAAGGACCCAAGTGATTGAAGAAGATATAAATATAAATCTTGTCTATTGAATAGGGGTTTTGGAAATTTGTTCGTATTAAAAGAATGCATATTATTCCTTTCTCATTTAAATTCCGATTGCTTTATCGTTTATAATTATTATATATATATTTTTAGATCTTTTATTATAAATTGAACCTACAGTATAGTAACATTTTTTTGAAAGCCTTTTCCCTCCCCCCCCTCCCCCACACACACACCCGACCCTCACAAATCTACAGCTTATACTGCTTACTTATGATTGCCAAAGAATTTTTCACAAACAAATTTTTACATTTTATTAAAAAGCTAACGAATCAGAAGATACTTTTTGGAAGATAACAATTTTATAAAACAAATTATTTCTTCTTTTTTCACGGTAGCAATCTTCCCGCCAAATATCGCGAACTTGGTGAAATGCCTTCTACTAGTACTTTGAAATATTTTTTTAAAATATAGTCGAACATGAATCTAGAAATTCTCGATCACTGGACGAAGATTTTTCAAGAAGTTTTACAAATTTAAAATACAATATATTTGGAAAATGTATTTTTTTAAATTCCTTTTATATTTTTTCAATGTTAAAAGTGTGGGTTCTAAACATAAGAGGATGGGTGCCGGGTATCGTGATTTTTTGACATGGTTTACTCCGCCAAGGAATTCAAAATTAAAAGTTACGCACGTATAATTAATTTTAGTTTGATTTACACATACTTTATTTGAATAAGAAGCTAAAATTTCTTCTTGAAAATCTTGAGATTTATGAAGAATAATTGAGAATGCATTAATCCACGTGACTTATAAATGCAGCATATCACGGAACATTGAAACCTGGCATTTTCATATCTATAGTGTAGGGTAAAAATTCTACTAGACGTTTTTATAAATTTAAAAGTAAAATAATTTAAAAGGGAAAAAATACAATTCACGAAAATGGGGCAGGCGCTTTTCTCACCTAATTTTTTCGATAATAGTAGATTTTTTTTTTTTACTGTGTTATACCGGAATAAAGATATATAATAATACATGTATAATTTTTAATAAATACTTATAAATAACTATGCAGTCAAAACAGATGAACAGCCTTGCTGTGATCTATTTCATTTTTTCCCATACCTCAAATGAAGGATAGGAATGCATAATGTGCAAAAAATATACACCCCTCTTTTCCGTTAAAAGAGCGATTTTTAAAGGTGTGATTTTTTCAGCAGATATATATACATTCAATACTCTTATATATTCATTTTCTGACTCGACAGTGTTTTTTTTTAATTTCAGCTTATCAAAAGGGATGATGCCTATTACACAATATTTCAATATTAATGGATTATTTATCAGTTCTTATCTAACGTTTTATACCTACATGCATCAGATACATTTATAACACACGTGTAATGTACTCTAAACAACCTTGACGATATACACATATAACCATTCCAATTTCAATGGACATGGAATTCTTGAAAGCTTGCGATCTGAGAATTTTGACAAAACTTCACCTTTACAAATGTACACAGAACAATGGTAGGCCTTTGATCACTTACTGCACACTGTGCAGACATAATGCGCCCGTATGAATTTGCTGGTGAATAGAATGCATATTTGATCACGTGTTTAGCTTTAATTTAAAGACTTGGAACATATTTCTTTATTTCATATGATGACGATACTAGGGTGCGGTGCAGTTATTAACGAGATTATGAAAATCACGGACTGAACTTCTATCAATTTTCTTTTGAAATCTTCCAGATTTCAACTGCTATATCACAAGTGAAGCTATCATGTATAAGCATATTACATGAGCTCTCTCTCTCTCTTTCTCTTGGCCTTTTCTGTCAACTGAAAACCAGAATCGTTTTTAAACGGTTGCAGTTTTAAGTGCACCTGTTTGTTTAACCACTTTTATCTGATTTTTTCTTTGCTTCAAGCTGATAAATATAACATGTGCAACATGCAACAATAGGACTTATCGCTCAGTATAGCGGGGTCAGTCGTGTACTCACCGACATGCCCCGCACCAAGCAGCGCTTCAATCCGCCTACAAACTATAAACTGACGCTCTATGTTGAATGTTTTACGAACCTTTGACGCAAATTAAAAGAAGCATTCAACTTGCTCAATACAAAGAATTTTGGTTAGGGATAAGCTACAGGAATTCTAAGTTTTGATGACATTGCGTGCATGCATGGTTGCAAGATGTTTTACAATGTGTCTACTTTTATCAAAAATACTTATCATGTACGGTGTATTTAGCATTCTTTAATGATAATTACGTTATGCTGTGTTTACATTTGCATTTTATTTATATCTCCCGATCCGTTCGATGTCATTGCCAAACTATTACATCATTTTTAGCTAGCCTTAGCAAATATCAGTCACAATTCAAAATCGGATTTTAAATTTGGCTCAATTTATAATTAACTGCTGGGAATTTCTGATAATTAAATGATTTTTCTTCGGGTCTTGTGCAGAATCCCAGGCTGCAGCACGTTAACACTGACTAATACAAAGCATATGGGGACCTGCAGTTTATTTGGTACATTAAAACTCCCGAACTTCCGCGTTATTTCTTGTTAGGATATTAAACGTCCACCCAATCTGTGGCTTGTCAATTTCAACAACCATATGACTTGTTTCTTTCGCATGCCTAAGTATATAACTGCAGATTATGCTTCAAGCATATATTTGATTATGTTCGCGCCATTTTTTTCTTTTCTAAATCTAAAAAGCTATAAAACATGTTAAAAAATATTACAGAATTTGATTAAACTATAAAAGAAAAAAAATTATTTACAAAAAAAAAAAAAAAAAAAAACGCATTAATTTTAAAACAATGTATTATTATTTTGTAAAACAAATAATTCAAAAGAATTATATTTTCAAACACTGTGGGTGAATTTTTTTTTTTTTTTTTTTACATAGGAAGTTATCATATCTTCGTTCGTCATTTGCATGTGTCTCAGAGACAAACTACATTTTCGTCACGAAGCGCAAAATATCAAACTCGTCTTTGATGTTGGTAAAATTAAAATTAATGAAGAACAAGAAAGTCACGACCTGTTCTAATTACGATATAGTTCCTCTTGGTCTTTTTGACAGTGTTAAAGTGATAATAAATTATTGATTGTTATTTGTGTGATCCAAAATAATTAATACTCGCGTTAATGATAGCAGAAAAAAAAACCATAACCACCAAAAGTGACTCAGAATTTTTTTTTCTTCTGATCGCATGCAATGACGCGGAACATAATCTAAAGGAAGGTGGCGGATTCAAACTTTTTTTCAGCTATCTAATTTTTCACCATTTGAATTTCTGTTGTAATGTTTGAAGATATTTCTCGTGTAAATGCAGAAAAATAACATTTCTTTAATACTGTAATTATATAAACGATGTAGTGGTTTCTTTTCTTTTTGACTGTTGAAGTGACAAAGATATAACCTTTTATTTGTCGAAAATAAAATGCATGTTACATGAATGATAAACATACATTACGTACATTCAAATTAGAAATTTCTTTATATCATTAAAAGGTAGAAGAATAATATTTCCATAAATTAGTTACTTTCTAATTAAGAATGCGAGTCTTTTAAGCCATTAAACGTATCGTGAAACTTTTCAAACCACTTTCCCTTTGCACTTCCGACTTGCACTGACTCTATATACCATGAGTTTAAGAGTACACACTATACATTAAATCAAATATATGGGTCATGGGGTAATGGATGGTGACCCTGCCATGACCTAATTAACTCACCTGAGAGTGGACGCAGACAGAGTTGAACACTGACCAGAGAACAACAAGGGTTAGAAAGTGTTGCGGTTTGGACATCAGCCGAAATGACCGGACCATTTGCTTGTAGAATGGGAAAAAAGTTCACACCCCGAGTCCGGCCCGGGCATCGGGAAAGTAGGACAACGAGACCACCAAGAATATCCAATTATTTTATTATTATTCTGTGCAAAGAGTACATTCATTTAATCCCCTGCATGTACAGTACGAAGAGCGGTTTCCCAGCATCTATGTTTAGAGACCACGACAATAAACATAGTGTTCCTCAGAATCTAATTCCATTCAGTAGTATATTCCTGACAAGAGGAAAAGATTCCCAAATACATCAAGAATGAACTTAAAATCCATTTTTTTCAATCATCAATATATATAATAATTTCAATCTAACTTTGTCATAATACCGGCGTGGAATGATAATAATACCGTGTCGCTCATCGTAATACGAGATCACAAGGGGCTTTGCACGGGGAAACACACATTCCAAATACACATCCGCATTTCAGCAGCTCGGCTAGATTAAATGCTCATAAAGTATCGCATATACAATGTCAATATCTCTACAGTTATTGGGCCGAGGATCATTTAGTTTTTTACTTATTGAAACTATGAATTTTCACCATTTTTATCGGGAATTGATGTCAATAATGCCCCTTTAGTAGCCTCATTTGTAGTATAACTGCTTATATTGCGCTAAGACTATAACAGCGCCCAATGGGAAGTCACATAAATGTTCATTCATACCCACCCAAGAACAGCGTTTTGGTGGAATAAAATGCGAAATATACAGAAAAATCAGTCAAAATTCTTCATCTATGTTTGAATAATGCAGATATGTGAAATGGAGCTGTGAAAACAAAGCCAGAGAATAAACAAGGCGAAGGCGGTCTATTCCTGAAACAGACTATGCCTGACCTAAAACCAAACAATATCAGCTGTTGTGTACGATGGGTGTGGTTGCTTATTTGGGGATAATTTGCATCATTTATGGATTTAGGAACCTATCATTCAGTCCTCGGGGGTCTTAGCTAAAGAAATGTCTATGATTTATGACCGTGCGGCCAACTGAAAATGTTTTATTTATCGAATTCCGAGGCCACCCTCCCTCGTTTTACGCCATTATATAATTCAATAATTGAATCGCGAAATCGATCGAGAAGGCCACAGAAACTTTTCAAACAAGGATTAATAAATTCATAATTATTCGACAGCGTATTTCAGATCCTTAATCTTTGTTTATGATAGCGGTTGTGTGATGGAAGGGCGTAGCGGGTTAGAGAGAGTATTTATTTTACGAGGATAAAAACACCTATTGACCTCTGGTGTCGATGATAGTGCGACCGCGTATCGCCGATTAATTAACGTGTGGATATTGAAACATACACATGTATATACTAATGCATAAATTAGCACAATGCATGTCTTTTTTTTTTACCGACAACTGCAATAACTTACACCTTAATCAATGTTTAACATTTTTTTTAACCTGCAGAATTCTATTTTTATCCCGAAATAAGCAAAAATGGTTATAATTTGAAAGAAAAATATATTGTTTCCCTGAGAAGATATGAATTTTAGAAGAATTATAAATAATAATAATGATAATATCGCTTAAACTTATTAATTATAACGTACACGTAGTTTCAGTCAGGGAACATACAGATTTTCTAATGTTCTGTGTATTACCACGTAACTATAAAATTCTAGAAACATAAATTATCCCAAAGTATACCCAAACGTTCACAGTTTGATGTATAATGCCATTACTAAATATGCTAAGTAGTAAATGATCCGAGAAATAATTCGTGGAATTTTCACGAAGCTGTATCTTTCTCCGTGTTTGGCATACAATCTTCACCCTTTCTCCTTCGATCAAGTCAACAATATGTAAATTGGTTTAAATTTAACCACAATTATTTTTTTATTTCCTTTGAAAAGTAAATAAGAGACAATACACACATCTCCCAATGAGAGAAGACTCCTTTTTCTTCAACAGACCCATACATTAATATCTTCAAAATAAACTGCGCAATTTATTAATTGATATTGTCTTTTCTTATGATACTGAGGCAGCAAACATGTCTATTTGAATAAGCATATCATAGATCATATAAAATATACGTAAAGACAATTATCTAAAGACTGCTAATTCTTGAAAGGTGAAAACACCATCTTTGAGAGAGAGAGAGAGAGAGAGAGAGAGAGAGTAAATTACATGTATGTACGTGGTCTAATATTATCCGTAATGTAAAGGAAATTTTAATTTACAGACCTGGCCTTTTCTGAAGTGTGTGTGAGTGACGACCTTTTGGTGAAATTTGCGGAGCTTGTCAAGGACTTCCTAGGTCACTTCATTATAAGATTACCTTGATCTAACGTTTCATTCTATAACGCAAGAAAAATGTAATATTGCTGTGAGAAATAAAAAAAAATATTGAACTTATCATAGTTCCAAAGTTACGAAAGATTTTCATTCCGTACTAAGTTTTTCGTTAATTATTCCGAATGAAAATAATAACTGATTGATAACATCATGCGTTATTTGACAAGCAATTAATTTCGTTATGAAACAATATGTCAATGAAATTACGCATAGGATTTTTGGTATAACTATTTAGGGTATTTTTTCTATATTAAAATCAATATTTTTGTATTATTTACTTTCAAGAATTCTAGATTATCACAATTTCCAAAACCAGCGGATTGTGAAGATAATAGGTAAAATATAGGTTTAATAAACCAAACTGAAAAAAGTTTTAAAAAATATATTCAAGATCAGCTGAAAATCATGGTGGATAGATTCTAGGGTACTTTTTGTTCAACGTAGACATAGATTTAAATTAGACAAGGATAATGTTCTTATTTGTTTAGGCCTAATTCAAGCAAAATTACATTAATTATAATAATGTTAACGACTTGTATAATGAAATATATGCGTTTGGTTGCCAGTATTTATTATACGTACATGTACATAAATAAAACTGTGACGGCACAGATTCTTAAGCTTCCCTCACAATGTATAAATACATAAATTTGGTGCCGATACACAGTAACTTAGACCCAGTTAACATTTCTAAAACAACTATGCATGGGTAGAAGACCAGAAGCAAGTCACTTGAAATAGATGCGCATGCAGATTGATGTAAAATGTTCTTATTTAACATCGAATTAAAAAAAAATTGTTAGAGGTTGCAAAAAAGTTTAAACATTATAACTTTTCCCTAAACTTAATTAATTCAGAAGAATTATTGACCACATTTGGAATTACATGTTTTGATGCCCATAAGCGGAAGAAGTATGTTATTCAAACACTCTTTTTAGATCATAAACGATTCGATTCTTGTTCTCAACATATAAGAACTAGGCTCTTTGTAATAAAAACAACGCAAGGACAAAATTAGAATACATTGTCTTTGTTACATTTTAATCAGTGAAATGCTTTGTTTACTGAAGTTAAATTGAAATCAGACCAAAACTGTAGAATGAGTAGCGTTTTAAAGCAATTTCACAGAAAATTCTATTTTTAGTAACCATGGCAACACTTCATCGAAATCAAAAACCGATGACGCTTAGGCACATGTGTGCCAGATTATATTGTAATCAGACCAAATCTGAAAAGGCGTTTTAAAGGAATTTCACAGAAAATGTGTGTAACCATGGCAACACCGTTCATCGAAATCAAAAACCGATGCAATTCTATGTATCTTAGTGTAGTCTACTTGTATGCCATGTTATACTGAAATCAGACCAAAAGTGTAGAAAGAGTAGCATTTTTCATTTCACAGAAAATTCTATTTTTAGTAACCATGGCAAATTTTCAAAAACCGATGCACTATTCTTTGTGTGTAGTCTACTTGTGTGCCAAGTTATATTGAAATCAGACCAAAACTGTAGAAGGAGTAGCGTTTTTAAGGAATTTCACAGAAAATTCTATTTTTAGTCACCATGGCAACACCGTTTTAAAAACCGATTTTTTTTTCACTTGTGTGCCAAGTAATACTGAAATCAGACTAAAATTGTAGGAGGAGTAGCGTTTTGAAAAATTGTTTACAGACAGAAAAAGAAAGTTACCTTTCTGGTCTCTGACAACGCAAGGACAAAATTAGAATACATAGCTTTGTTTACTGAAAAAAAAGATATTTTGTCACAGATATTTCCCTTTACTACACAAACTTCCTCGGACGCTGGCACACGGCGGAAAAGGGTGATTTGTGTGTTACTGCAATAAAAAAGGCAATAAACTGGAAATTTTATCTAGGTGAATGTTTAATTTCACTCTTGTGAATGTCCTTTTTAATTTTTTTTTCACTCTTGCTTCGTACTCGTGAAAAATCAAAGAAAAAAGAAAGTCCTTTACATTCCAGAAATAAATTCCATTATTTGTCTGCAATAAAACTATGGATGTTCATTTACTTCTGATGTTGCAGATGCCTGAAAATTTTTGAAACTTTAATAAATCGATTTTCACACCATGGTTTTAATGTTCGAGTTTAGTCCTGAAATCCGAACTTGGTGTGCATTTGTAATTGTCAAAACCAGTGACGGATGGAGTACACTCACTGCATGGTAGATATATTGAATGCGCCCCACCCCTAAATTGTCGTCATTTACCGTATATTACCATTATTATAATATATATTCTTAAAAAAACATGCCAATAGTTAACAAGAAGTATTGTACAGACGCTGAAAAATTATAAGCATAAAGATTTAAAAATTATTTTGATTACTAAGAAATTTGATGTCAACAGTTTTTGAGACTTATAATACATTTCTTAAAATAACTGTCTTTCATAATGACGAAAATTAAAATGCATGCAAGACCCGTCATCATCCATACGGAACAAAATTTGTAGCCATGAAGCATGAGGATTTATGGCGTTAAAATTTAATCTAGCCCGAGAAAAGGGCAAAAAATTATGTGAACATAAAACTTTCTTGTGACCGCCCCGGATTTCATTAATTTAACATCATTCTTTTCCGTGCACAAGTATTGCTTTTGGGTAAAAGGCGTTCAATTTTTTGCATTACTGAATTATTCAAAATCATGAAATTGTCGATGTTTTAAAATTACATCTTTCCCGCTGGGTATAGGAACTCCCCCTCACTTTTTAATGACACAATTACCTTGGAATGGGAAGTTTATTCAAATCTAGATAAAAACAAAAGTGCTATAGACATGGCAATTTCATTTTACGGAAAATATAAGAAACATAACTCTTGGTACAATAGGCGATGTGAAATCATCGATATCATTAGAGTTACCTATCTTTACAAAGCTTGAAGTTGAAGAGTTCCACTAAACGAAGGACCTATGTTCAATACCTTTAATGTCTATATATGGATTTGAACACCTCTTCTAAAACAAATTTTGACGGGAAAAAATCTGGAATTTATGTTTCGTAATGTTTGTATATTTTTCTTTGAATATTGCAAAAATTTTCGTAAATTAATATCTTCTAAAACACCCTAGTAAGGCATGCTGATTTTTGTCTATGAACATCTGATGGCACTATAATCTGAAAATAAGAATATCTTGAAAAATTTGAAAAATTATCAGTAGGTAAGGTACCTTGCGTATGTCCTTAAGGAAAAATAAAAAAAAATTCTCATTCTTTACAACTGACTGCCCGTTTTGCGACCCACTTTGTCGCCAAACGGAATGATAAAAGAACATGCGTATATGAAGATACTGTAAGGAGGGAGGGGGGAGCTAAATAAACTAGAACTGTCCAAAAGGGAGAAATACCCCCCCCCCCAAATTAAATATTTTATTTGTTCACAATTTCTTTAAACATTTAAAGATGATAATATTAATCATATTATATAAATGAACAAAACAAAGATGCAGCCTAATAAAAAAAATCAATATTTTTGCAGAAAAAAATTATCAATATCTGCATTGTATTTTCTAATTGCAAATATATTTTAGGTTTTAAACACACCCTAGGTATCCAGGCATTCATGAAATTGTCATGATTTATCCTTTTATACTTATTTAGGAATTTTTTTTTTTCAGTGACCTTCATCATATATTCACACCCTATAGTAAATAGTGTAAAAGGCACACCAAATTTTGCTATCATTGCAAGACACCACAAATCACTTTTATGTCATATCATGCTAATAAGCATTGGTCAATGGCCATTAGAACCTAGATTCATAAAAATCTTTGTGTGAAAACTGTTCAAATTTTTTTTTCCTTTTATAGAAAGGTACAAATATCAACTTTCATAAATTTTTCTTTTAGATATCCAAAACCCTTGAATCTTATAAAGATTACACACAAATGAAAATTCATTGTGTAAAATGAAAAAATTACATTTTCCATAAATTTTGATGCATTTCAAATTCATTATTAATTTTTGCAGTTATCCTTCCTGGCTGAGGATCGGATTTTTAAGCATAGCAACACTGTCAACATGGCTTCTGCTGCCTCTGTTGACAATTTTCAATGTTACACGCAACTACATGCAATATCTATATGTATATAAAAATTGTTGCATTCTCTTGTGATTTGTGAGAAAGCTTGTTCTAGTACCTATATTTAATGACAAATTCTTGGGAAAATTTATACTTTTGAGAAATGTTGTCTGACCTTAATATGGAAGCATCCTCAGTAGAGTTGATTCAAATTTGTTCAAATGATGACCCCCCAGGGGTAGGGTTGGGCCACAATGGAAGATCCAAGTTTTAACTATAAATCAGCTAGGAACAGAAAAAGATTAGTCATATAGGTATGGAAGCATGCTCTGGTAGCACATTGAGAATCTAAATTTATTCAAATGACAAGCACAAGTTGTAAGGTGGGATTGCAATGGGGATTGGAGTTTTACATTAGAATAATGGGGGGGTGGGGGTGAAAAATACTCAGAAAACAGCATGGCCATCATTTATAGCCATGTATCAACATTGGTAGCAACTCCAAGCATGGTAGATTCAAGTTTCTTAAAATCATGTCATTTCCATAAAATATTTTCACCCCGCCCCCCCCCCCCCAGTTATTCCAATGTAAAACTCCAACCCCCCGTTGCAGCCCCACCAAACTTGAGGTCGCCATATTTGAATAAATTTAGATTCTTCCAGAGCATGCTTCCATACCAATATGACTTATTTTTTGTTCTTGGATGCTTTTCCAAAACGATACTTCAGAATTTATTATCATTCACATGATGGATTCATGTACTAAGATATTATAGCTTAAACACTTGCAGATATCTTTAATCAATGAATTTCATTATATCCCCCGCTTGAAAAGTGGGAGGGTGTATAGTAATCGGTATTTCCGTCCGTCCGTCTGTCTGTTACGCTTTGGGGTACCCATCTCTTATCCGCAACTCCTCTTATACCACTGAGTGAAATATAATGAAACTTTCACAGAATCTTTATTATATATTGCCATTGTGCACCTCCTATTTTACTTTTTGATCCGACACATATTTTGGGTTTCCTGGACACAACAAAACATGAACTTTTCCATTGTAATCATATGGGAGGCGGGGGGTATCATTTAGTGAGCTCGATGCTCACAGTACCTCTAGTTCATTTTGCTGTGCACAACTATTTCCATGAGATAAACATAACAACCCAAAATTTAAGAAACCTTTATCTAAAAATTGAAAATGCACACTTGTGTAATGTAGCCATTTGCAGTCACATATTAAAACAAAGTAAAATAAAAATTCTCAGCACCAATCACCCAATGTCATCTCCCATACATTGAATAAGTTAAAGCACCAGTAGATATATAAATCCAATCGAACACTTCCTTGCAGTCATTCTATTTACAGTAACGCACCTTGGTTCCAATAGCTCTCACTTAGCCTTCTTCATTTTCTTCACACTTTGTGGCCTCTTTGGAGTCTGAAAATATTAAAACAACTGAAATGTATCATTTTCTGTACATAAATCTATGTGTAATTCAATATTTGCCATTCATGATGATTTGGCGCCACAAATCATCAAATGCCAGCCTTTAACAAGTTTTTAATCTGTCGCATCAACATTTCTACAATGCCACATTACGTTATGGTATATTTTCAATTCATCTTTATCAATAGTTTGCGTTTTTGCTATTAAAAATGAAAATAAAAATGGAGTTACCTTTGGTTTGACGACCTTGACAGGTGTTTTCTTCACCTTCGCTGGAGACTTCTTAGCTTTAGGCTTAGGCGACTTCGCTGCTGCTTTAGGCGCCTTTGGTTTCGTGGCCTTGGGTTTGGTTTTCTTGGCTGCCGTCTCCTTTTTCTTGGTCTCCTTTGGTTTTGCCGCCTTTTTGTTTTCGCTGTCCGTCCGTTTCTTTTTCTCTGCCGCTTTTTTAACCTTGTTCACTTTGAATCTGCTGGTCATGATGGGTCTTTCTTCGGATTTTTTAGTTTTTAAGATCATGTTTTTCTCCACGCCCTTCGCCAGAGCTTGTTTGAGGTGGAAGCGAACTGTCGTAGGGTCTACAGTCTTATATTTTTCAGTAATGTAATTCCGGATTGATGGCACGGAGGCGCCTTTGGTGTCTGTATTGGCCTGAATGGCTTCAATGGCCATGTCCAGGAAGGTCGGATGGAGTTTAGGGGCGCTTTTGGCGGCAGGTTTCTTAGTGGGAGATTTCGTCGGAGACGCCATTGTTCCTTCCTCGTGTGAAGTCTAAGGGAAATGCCTCGAGGTCGAGTTACGAAATATATACTATAAACGCGGACGTCCTCGAAAACATCGGATTGAAACTTCACTTCCGATTTGCATTTTCAATCCATATTTTGCTCACTTGGTTCATGTACAGTGAGGAAAATACGAGTAAATACCATATCAAAATTTATAAACGGAAACCGTAACCACAAAATAAACCCGACTCGAAATCTTTTAAATATTGATTTTCTAAATATAATTAAAAGAAGTCAAACATGAATAACTATTCCGCTAGTTTTTTTTTTGGGGGGGGGATGCTCATGGACGAGCGACTTTCCTAGTATGAAATAGAAAAAAAAGATTTATTATCAAATCATGGCCCTATGAACATAAATGAACATAAACATATAACATATATAACTAGGGCTAATTGTAACGGGAACCGTTACAGATGTTCCCCAAACGCTCCCCAACTCCCTTTTGGTGCCTTAAAGCTTCATTAAATAAGACGAACTCTATGCCTTTTAGACTATAACAATGTTTCCCAAAAGTATATTCAGTATATTCAAATTTATGCATTGCACGCATGCGCATTTGAATGCATGTGCGTAATGACCTTATCATCTTGTCTACACTATTTATATACTAGAAATTACAGCGTTTTATCCAAAAGTATTAAAAAATACGTTTTAATCTAGTGTATTTGTAAATTTACTCATTTCACGTGCACGCACGTGCGTGCATGTCGACCATATTTTCTTGTAGGAGTCTGTTATGTTTGTCTATGTTCTAAATCCCATCCTGTTTGGTTGAAAAACGAGGAAGTTATTGCCATTTTAAGTTTAAGCCAATCAGATTGCAGCGCACGTGTATGCACATGTTTTCATGACAACTGTTATGTATCATATTGTAGGACATCCTAATGCATGATTATGTTTAAAATCTTAAAGCATTTCGTCAAAAATTAAAAAAAGATATTGCGATTTTTGTTTCAGCGAATCACAGCAAAGCACACGTGCATGCCTGTGCATGACGACCATACCTCCTTGTGGGAGTCCATTATGTTTGTCTATGTTCTAAATCCCATACTGTTTCGTTGAAAAACAAGGGAGTTATAGCCATTTAAAGTTTAAGCCAATCAGATTGCAGCGCACGTGCATGCGCGTGTTTACATGACAATTGTTATATATCATATTGTAGTACATCCTAAAGTATGCCTATATTTTAAATTTCATAGCATTTTGTCAAAAAACAGAAAAGATATTGAGATTTCTGTTTCAGCCAATCAGAGCGAAGCGCACGTGCATGCGCGTGAGTTCGTGCTAATTTGACAGTGTCACATTATCTACACTATGAATATATCCTTATTAAATGAGTTTTAAAATATTTCATCAAAAAATGTTAAAGTTATGGCTATATAAAGTATATCCGTCATTTCACTCATTTCACGCGCCCGCACGTGCATGCGTATGCGCGCAAAATAACCTTCGTGTTGCACACCTACACTACACACCTATTAACCCTAAAAAGGTTTTAGCTCAGTTGGGTGAACAGTTTCTGAGAACACTCGCGGACAAAAAAAGTACCGGAGAACAAAGAAGAAAAAAAAGAATAATAATAATAATAATAATAATAAGAAACCGAGTAAAAACAATATGTTCCCAAACTCCGTTTGGGGAACATAATTACACGTACAAAGTAAGACAATATTAATATAGACAACCGATTCCAGTTGGTATAGCCGGGTATAGGCCTATAATGTAATCGGTTCAAAACGAATCATTTATTTTCTTACAAGGGTTCCATTTACCTAGAACGAATTTAAAGTAACTTTTCGGTTACTTGAAGTAACTTTTATAGGCTGCATTGTAAACGCATGCAGCATCGGGTGTGAAAAGAAAAAAAAGTTTTTAGACCTGTCTGAAAATCCCCAGAGATTCTGTAATGTACTTTGGAACTGTAGAGAATTAAATCTTATTTTTTAATTGGGAAGCGCACGGAAGTGGCAGTATCACCAGTGGTAGACTGTGGCCGCAGAATGGTAGACATAGAACTAGAGGATACGTCATCAGCAATTTTTATATTACATATATTTCAATGTAAAACTTCACTGGCGGATTAAGAGTGCCCAAGGACCCCCTTTTGTATCCAAAATATATACATAAGATTTCATAAACCGTTTTTTAGGGTGTGGCTGTTGGCCCTTACCCTGACCTCAAACTGGTCCCCCTTTTCAAGATTCCAGAATCCGCCACTGAACTTTCAATTTTATTGTGACCCTACCTTATACCCCCAGGGGCCATGATTTGAATAAATTTGAAACATACACTTTCTGAGAATTCTTCCATAATCTTTTAATTAATCACGGCTTTGCTGTTCTTGATATTTTTTTGGAAGATTTGTTCCCATGGTCGGTACGCTTTTTATTGTTTTATAACTTTTTTTTTCATTATGATAATTAAATTCCTACATATAATATATAAGAAATCTAAAGTCAGAAAAGTTCATACTGGAGTTTTATGAAGAGACTTACTTTTACAATCGAAGAGTCACGACTGACTTAGAACTACAATTTAAACAGAGACAAACTCCAGTTACTAAAATGTAAAAGTCAGCTGTCGAATGTAAAAGAAACTCCACTAAGCATCTTTTAACAAACCTTATAGAGTACCACATCATATTAATTTAATCAATAACTAATTGCTAACCCTAATAAAACAACAAAATACAACCACACACGATATTTATTTTAAATAAACAGAGCAAAAATACCGCAATTAGTATAATAAGTACAGAATTGCCTATAACGACGGATGCACATTCAAGCATGTATAAAATATAAAAGATATACAATAAAAAGACAATTTGTATTTTATCTACTAGTACATCATACATATAAGTACAAAAACCTATTCTGCAGCTCGTAAGCAAAGAATAAGTACAGAGGTCCACTGGCCACAACGCTCACCAGTTCTTTATCACTGGCTTCAAGAGCCACAATACATGGATAATCTTTGTACAAATATATCACTGGCTTCAAGAGTCATACTTAGAACATGGGAAATCCTTGTACATATACAAGTTTCTATATCACTGGCTCCACATACATTGTATTAGAGTCACAGTAAATGTAAAATTTCATGTAATCAAACTACACAGACATGCAGTAGCTAACCCCAACACACACCCGTATCTCCCGAAGTTTTAAGTACATGACTCTAGCTACGCGGACGATAGCTTTATTCCTAAAACCACCACTCCTATAATTAGTCCCACGAGGAGGAAGGCGAGCACCGCGGACAACAGGCACCACTTGTTGTTTCTGGCCATGTGTTTGTACCTCATTCTTCTCGTGACCACCTTGAATTCACCGGCCTGTAACACAAACAAATAAATCAGACAAAAATTTTGTTTGTAATTGTTTAAAATAAATAATTGGAATTTTTTGGTAAGTATGTCAGAAATGAATGCAGTTTTCTGTCGCTGTAGAAAAGATTTTTGAATTTGAAATTTCTCTGAAAGTAGGAAATTTTTTTTTTTGTGCGTGACGATAGAATTTTTTTCTGTATGATTTGAATTTCGCTGAAAGAAAGAATGAAAATTTCAGTAAGCATACCCCATAATAGGTATCATAGGATTTTTTTTCTTCAAAAATTAGTAAACGATTATAGTAATTTTTCTATAGGCATGAAAGGATCTTGTCATTAACTTTGACTTGAATTCCTGTGTGACTTTCACTTTTTTCCTGAAGTTTTGATTGAATTTTCTCTGTAAACATAAATGGCAATTTTCTATGAATAAGTGTGGTTATTTCTGAAGCTATATATTAAATTTATCTTTAAGTATGAATTGAATTTTTCTCTAAAGATGAAAGTACTTTTTCTGCTATTATAAACTTTTGAATGAAAATTTTCTAATACAAATTAATCATTGATATTCCAGCAAGTTTGAAATACCAAGCGAGATAAAATCCAATATAAACCAAAAAAATAAATTATTGACAAACATTTTATAATATACATAGACAAACATTTTATAATATAGCATATTCTTTATTAGGGCTATTTTCATAACATATAATTATAAGGAATACTTTTAATTATTTCTCTAATTACACAAAAATAAAGTTCTCCGAATAAAACGTGATTTACAGTATATAACATTTACTGTTATTTCTCTTAGAGTATGTAAAATTCTGCATGAAACATTCTGTTAAATTTGAAAAATGACCTTTTCATACAGTTGATCTGCGAGACCCTCCAATGTTTCCAAATTCCCACCTCTCTTCTGTAGCGCCTCAACATTCGTATTCAGTATGTTGATCAGCTCGTTAATTTGACCTTGAACTCTCTTTATATTATCCGTAGCCTCTTGCTCTTCTTCGTCCACACTGCCTTGATTAATCTGAAATACGTCGATTCAGACATTTTCTTTTATATGTTTATAATAAATTAATAAATAATGTTAAGCACTGAGCAATGAAATACAGTAACTCTAATTCCTCCACATTTTCTTGTAGTTTGAACATTTATCGTTAATAATTTAATTGAACTGAGCTAAGTTTTGAGAGAATAAATGAACTTGACTCCCTGTAACAGAATTCATATTTCTTGTGATATTATTCTATATTATTATAAATCACAATGAAAAAACAGGGTTTCTGTAAAAATTCATCAATATTTCTCAAGGGACACGCGGTGCTTTCTTTTGATTTACGTTCACCAAAGAAAATAAATGTACTCACAAAATGAAAATGAATTCACGACTTTCCATAATCATTTTTTTTTATGAAAACGGACAAACTGTCCGTCAACTACCCACAGCAGACGACAACATTTTAAAAATCTCCTGTATATATATTTAGTTTTAGAATTTCCTGTTTTGGGATATTTTTAGAAACGTTGGACCAATTATATCAAAACTCTTTATATCAAAATTTTTAAAGAGATTTATAATTATCAAGAAAACCAAATGTTATATACAGAATAAGCATGTATTTAACAGTCCACTAACAAAGAGATGTTGCTAACTATATGGCCTGAACATCACTAGTATATATAAACATGATAAATAATCAGTTTCTGTTAAGAAAAAAAGTACTTACTACGACATCCATGCTTTCACTTAAGAAGTTTACAATCACGGGAATCAAAGATAGATCGAAAGTTCCGTTATTTCCACATTTTTGCAAAACGAAACTAGACTGCCAAGAGTATATTGTGAATATATGGCCCAGCAATTAATTTCAGCAATTAAATATGGAGAGCACATGCAAGTTATTTATAACCTTATTCAAGTGATTTTCCCTACAACGGATGCCCCACTTAGTTAAATTTTGTTTTGCAAGACAAACTTGGCAAAACTTAGTTTAAACATGTTAAATCAGAGTAATTTTCTATTCAAACTGCAAGGGAGAATTCAGGAATTTTTTTTTTTTGACTTCAGGTAACTTTTTATCCCCCTTTTTTTTTTTTGCTTGTCAAGGGGGTAAAAAAAAAATTCTCTGGCCGCCCCCCCCCCCCCACTAAAAACGATAACTTTTGTAAAACCCTCCTAAAATACCTCATAAAGAAAATGTGCTAAGTATGAGGAGCCGTTGTAGAATTAATGCCATTAAGTATATAAAATCACATATTCAATCTTGTGATATCACTTTTTTTTTTTAATTTCAAATGGTGTTATTACCTATTAACCCCTTCCATGGCATAGATTTTAAGCATTTCTGGACAAATTGATATTAAGATTTCAATCCATTTTTTGAGTATTTCTTGCAATTTTTGTATTTACCAATGTATATATATATATTCTGAAAGCAGGTATTGTGTAGTTTCTGAAAATGATTATAAAAATATCATTTCAGTTGCCATGGCAACAAAATACACCATAATCATGCTTGAATTTCCATTATTTTAGATTCATATTTACATGTTGTGCATTTTTTTTTTTACAAACCAATTTTAAGTATTTTGGCGGGAGGGTGGGGTGGGGTGGGAGGTAATCACCAGAATTTAGCATTTTGACATATAACATGTTGCCCCCGCATTGATTTCATTTCTATCAAAAAGTTGGTACAACCAATAAAAAAATTCTGTATATTATTTTATCGTAATTATTTTCTCTTTCCAACAGTGCGAGATTTATTCTGATATTTGTAGTATTAAGGAAGTCCTTGTTTTACTATTCAAGAACAAAAAAGGTTGGGATCGGTCATTCATTTCTATGGTAGAAAGAAAGTTATGTTTGACACAAGAGGCCCACGGGCCTTATAGGTCACCTGAGTATCATGTAACCACTTTCCAACAATTGAATTTGATTCAAATTTTAAACCAAAGGCCATGAAATTCACAACTTTGAAAGAGGCACCATTGCTTTTATTACTACACACTTAGCATGGTTACTCTGTTTACTTTATACCCAGAGGTAGATCAGAGTAACAAAGAGAAAATGCATTTCCAGTTTATAACCAGTTTTGCACCCCACATCACAGGAACCACAGACCCTTGGGCCACATATTTCAAAATTTTGGAAATTTTATCATCAATTTTATTATATCATAAATGGTTGATTAATACCAAAGAGCCAGGGGTCCTGAAATTAACCATTTTGGAAGAGACACCTTTCCTAAGATTTCATGAATATGTAATTAGATAATTGGCATAATACCAAGAAGCAAAGGAGAAGATTTTCAAAGAATTAATGAATTTTCACTAAATAGTGATATATTCTCATTACTTATTAGAGCCTGCCCTAAAACACCAGAACCCCTGACCCAAGGGCCATGCCATGAAATTCATAATTTTGGAAGAGGCAGCTTTATTCAACATATCTTTGTATTGGTTAGTTTATGTAATACCTATGACACGCCAAATTCACAAAAATGAGCTAAACATACTTTCACAGTCGATAAACTACAGGTAGGTTTATCGGTTGTAAATTATAGTTTACGGACTGTAAACTTTATTTAACAACGTTAGTCTATATTTTACATCTGTAAACCATAGTTAACACGATAATCTATGTTTCAGAACCGTAAACTATACTTAAAAAAAATCATTTGCATGAAAACAATCATTTGCACTAAACTAGTTTACACTCTTAACTATAGATTGTAAATATAGTTTCATTTGTGAACTATGTTTTACATAGTTCATGTGAATCTATGTTCATCAACAAAATCTATTGTTAACGTTTTATTACTGATAAATAAACTAAAATTAGCATTCGTAAAGTATAGTTAACAACCATTAAATTTAGTTTTACAGATGAAAACTATAGTTATCGAATTGTTAACTATAGTTTACGGTTTGTAAATTATAGTTTACAGTCGATAAACCTAGTTTATCAACTGTGAAACTGTGTTTAGCTCATTTTTGTGAATTTGGCGTGCCATAAATACCAAGGAACAGAGAAGAAGAATTTTAAAGAATGTATTTTCACTATATAATCAATAGAGCCCTGCCCTAACACCAGAACCCGCGACCAAGGGGCCATAAAATTCACAAATTTGGAAGAGACATTCTTTCTCATTGTAACTATGTACCTAGTTAGTTTATTTGATACCCAAGAGCAGAGAAGATTTTCAAAGAATTTATGCATTTTCATTACGTAATCCGTAGAGCCCCGCCCTACATTTGAACCTCAACCCGGGGGCCATGAGATTCACAAGTTTGAAAGAGGCTTCCTTCCTCATCATAACTATGTACTTGGCTAATTTGTTTAAAACCCAGGAGCAGAGAAGAAAATTTTCAAAGAAATCGTGCATATTCACCTATCAATGTGAATCTATAGCCCTGCCCTAGCACTAGAACCCTTGATCCCGGGGCCATAAAATTAACAATTTTGGAAGAGGCAGTCTTATTTAACATAACTATGTAATTGGTTAGTTTATTTAATGCTCAGGAGCTTAGAAGATTTCAAAGAAATAATGCATTTTCACAATGTAATCTATTTAATTCGGCACTAGCATTACAACCCCGACCCTGGGGCCATGAAATCCACAATTTTGTTAGAGGACTCAATACTGATTACAATCATGACAGTAGTTTGACTGCTTGATGTCCAGGAGTAAAGAAGAAGATTTTGAAAGATTGCATTAATTTTAGTGGTTTTTGCCCAACCCCTCAGGTCCCAGGGGACAGGGACCATTAAATCAATAATTTTTGTTCCCCTTCACCCATAGATGCTATATGCCAAAATTGGTTGAGCGGTTGCAGAGAAGAAGCTGAAAATGTTCAAATGTTAACACACAACGCACAACGCACGACGACGACGGACGAAAACAGATATCATCTATAGCAATATGTCACCTGAGTTTACTCAGGTGACCTACAAAAGTGGTGGGCCCTAGTACGCGTCTATGGAAGTAGTAGTTCTAGGGCTCTTCTCAAAACACATTTTATAAAACCAAAATAACGAGTAAGTTAGTTTATTAAAAAAAAAATCGATGGAGAACATTTTTAAAAATTAACTATTAATTAAGAAATGCATATATGGACACAAAAGCATGTAGGCCTCCGATCGCAAACATACAATTCAGAAATGGTATATAAAATAGTTCCTTGACAACACAGTTAGCAAACTCAGGTCAAAAGACAAAAATTACACATGTTACAATCTGTTCAGTTCAGCGAGCCTCATTTTTTCTCTTAGCTACAGCATTTGGCTTGTAATGTCACCTTCATTTCTGTTATCAATGTAAGAAGGGAGGAGGAACATGAATGCTATTTGTTGAATAATAAAAAAACAACAACTTGGGACTCTTAATTTGCATCATAAAGACGTTAATGGTAATCTAACAACCAAGATCTTGCTTACTTCTCCCTTCAGGTGTCTACCCGAGGGCCACAACACAGTCATCTGTTGGGTCCTTTCTAAGCACATGGCCGATCCAATTCTATCTCCTCCTCCTCACCTCACCACTGATGCTTTCTACATCTACCATCTCCAGAACAGTCTTGTTTGGGATATGCTGCTGCCATCTGACCATAAGAATCCTTCTGAGACACCGTGTTTTAAAAGTTGTCAATCTTCTTTTCCTCTGTCTTGGTAAACTTCCAAGTCTAGCATCCATATAGCAATGCAGGGAGGAACAGACTCCTAAAGAGGGAGACTTTTATCTTTCTACTGAAAGAAATCTTTAGACTGTCTGTAGTGTTCCAGATGTTTGCTAGTCGCCTGAAGGATGCACCGGCCAGTGCTATCCTCTTCCTTATGTCAGAAGTCCCATCTCCATTCTTAGTGATATTGGCGCCGAGGTAGGTAAAGTTGTCCGCCTCGTCGGCTTCGCTGTTTCCAACTGGCAGGCTGATTTCACTCTTGCTTTTTATCTTTATCACTTTGCAATTCTTGGCATTCAGCTTCAACCCAACTTTTGCGGATTTTTCTTCCAATATGGTTGTTTTAGACTGAAGATGGTTCATTGCTGATGAAAGTAGGGCAATGTCGTCGGAAGACAATTCAGTGTGAAAATAATGGCCTCACAATTTGAATAAAAATAGGCCAGTAAACGATAGATTGCATTTGCTAACAACATTACTGGATATCTTCAATAGAATTTGCGAAATATTGATATTCTATTATCAGCAACTTATTTTTCAATTCTTGAATCAAAATCTTGAAAATTTATGTTGTGTATTGATAAAAAGCCGTCAATAAATCAGAATGTAGAAATGATGGCCAAAGCAAGAGACTTCCTTTATATATCAGTAAAAGTTATAAAGGGCGCAATTAAACCCTTAAGTAATTCCTACAAGGCTGTTCTCGTCATGGAGGATGACTGTTACCATGACAAACAGGATCCAAAACATTCATCAACTCTTGTCTGAGAAGCATCCTCCAGGTTAGATGGCCCGACAAAATTAGCAAAATCGATTTGTAGCACAGAACAAACCAATGCCCAATAGAAGAAATACTAGGAATGCAGAGAAGGTGGAGCTGGATAGGACACACTTTAAGCAAGGCCCACAATAACATCATAAGACAAGCCCTATCCTGGAACCCCAAGAAAAACGTAAGAGAGATAAGCCAATGCACACCTGGCAAGAGACAAGACCTGAAAAGAAATAGAAAGTATTGCTCAGGATAGAGGGGCCTGGGGGTATCTTGTCAGCGGTACATACCCAAAAAGGGGTAGCAAGCATATGTAGGTAATAGTAAGTAAATCAAATAGATAGTTCAAGACTTTATCTCCAAAAGCTACTAGTTCAGAACTGGTGCGTTATAGTTTTATATACTGTGAAATCTTCAATGTTCGTGGGGACCAATGATTGTGAGCTATCCTTATCCACGAA